TTACACAACAACTCCAGTGTTGAGAAGCAATTTACTCATATTGGTCTCTTTGCTGTGGCCATATATTAAAACAGTAATCCATAGTTATTTACTTATTGTATATTCATTAATTCATATCCAGTTTCATATCTTCCATTCCCATTTCCTGTTGGTCATGGTTTTCCATCCTAATTTAGAAAAAAGATCCTTCCATTTCCTCTTCCTCCATTTTTTCCCCTCCAAGTCCATTCCAAATTGTACACAGGATCCTTTCTTTCTCATCTCTCTCTGGCAGCTCAGAATATTTCTTAATCTTTCTGTCCATGGTTTCATTCCACTTCTCCAACATCATAACTCCACTGTTTGAGTGTTTCACTCTTCCAGTACCTGTGTAGAGATCCCCTCCATTTCACCACCTACTGCCTCCTACTACCATTCCACTCTCCTATTCTGGCAGTCCTCCATCAATATTATTCTCCAAAGGTTCTGTGTCTTCTTTAGCCTCATCTTTTTCAGGTCCATTTTCATTCACATTTTTATGCAGTTCAGCTGTGAGCTCTTTCAGTTGCTCATCCAGTAGTTGCTGCACAATGACAACAGTCAGTGTCCACCGTATTTTTCCATTACTGAGTGTTCTTGGTCTTACTAACAACCCACTTTCCTGAAGACCTTACAGTCTTGGCTCTAAGTCAAAGCCCCCTGGCTGCTTACCAGAGCTCATTCTTTTCTCACAGTAGCATAATTATGTTAATTAGTTTCACTTTGCAACCAGCACTTTCAGCAGAGGGACAGAGGGTTAAAAATCAAATACAGTAAAGATTTCTAACAGTTGGAATACCTCTTAGCTGTTTAAAAAACAGGCAGCCCTGTTTAGGGAAGCTTTTAATGTTTAATAGGTTATTGTATTTTAGTGTTCTGTTGGAAGCCGCTCAGAGTGGTACCTATTTATCTACTTGCACTTTGATGTGCTTTTGAACTGCTAGGTGGGCAGGAGCTGGGACCGAGCAATGGGAGCTCACCCTGTTGCGGGGATTCGAACCGCCGACCTTCTGATCAGCAAGCCCTAGGCTCTGTGGTTTAGACCACAGCGCCACCCACATCCCGTTAGGCACAAACAATTAAGACATACTTTTTGTTTTGCTTTCAGCCTTTTAATTATTGTCTCTTCTTAAGCCAGCAGCTGGGTCACATTCCAGATGTATGTTTTAACTGGTAGACAGATGACCTGAGTCACAATTTATAACAGCCTCACAAATAATTTAAAAAAGGGAAGTTTACCCAACCTTATGTCCCTTAAGACTGTTATGTGGTGTTTGGGCAAGAATGAGATTTCATCCACTCTTAGTCATTCACCCCCATCCAAGTCCCTCAAAAACTTCTCAGTTGCTTAGCATGGAAAGCAGCCTTTCAGAGCATCAGAGGTTAATCCCTGTTATCTCTGTTTTCCCAGAGATAATGTGATAACCAAGTTTTATGGCTTTGCTGTCATTAAAGGTAAAGGTAAAGGGACCCCTGACCATTAGGTCCAGTCGTGACCAACTCCGGGGTTGCGGCGCTCATCTCACTTTATTGGCTGAGGGAGCCGGCGTACTTTGCTGTCGTTACTTGCCACATAATTGTCTCTGTCCATGGTGTGTTGACAACAGATGTCTAGTCCACCATTTTTCTTCCCCAGAAGTTCATATTAATGTTAATATAATTATGTATTTTAATTATATCCTGTCATCCCATTGCATTGCATCTCCAACAACTTTCAGTGGGTGGCTGGTGCAGCGGGGATGCCATTTCCAGTGTTGAGCGCTACGACCCTCAAACGAACGAGTGGCGGATGGTGGCTTCCATGAGCAAAAGGCGGTGTGGGGTTGGAGTCAGTGTCTTGGATGACCTTCTGTACGCAGTGGGAGGCCATGATGGTTCTTCCTATCTTAACAGTGTGGAAAGGTAAGTTCTTGTCAAACACACTTTTCTGGTTCTCTGGAGCTTAACTGCTTGCTCTGATTATAGCAATGGATGTTGAATCGGGTTCCATGCAAGCTCCTATTCCATCTCTCATTTATTTATTTTCTTGGAATGAGAAAGATAGCTTATTCTGAACATTTCAAACCACAATGCAAACTAGAGACTACTACTCTAACTGTAACCTAATACTTCTGCAACAGTGTGAGAACCATTCCCCTCCACAAGTTGTAATCTTTGCACAATATATCTAAAAAAAGATTGATCAAGATCCAAATACTTTCCTAAACAAGCATTTTTTTAAAAAAAAGTATCTGTACGCATGGTACACTATGCACACCTGTTTGCAGTGGTTCTGGTATCTGGCTCATCATTTGGATCTCTGAGAATGTTGCTTTTTTCTTTTAAGGTTTCCAAGTCTGATTGTCATAGAGATTTCTTAGGTTAGAAACTGCACATACACATACACACTGCAGGGATTCACTTTTTCTGGCCCCCTCTCTCTTATCTAAATTGGAGATCAGCCCCTTTTCCCATTAGTGGTGGTGAATTGTAGCCAGACTATGAAGGAGCACATAATTCTTTCATTCCGGCTTTAGGCTGAGGGGAAGGAGGCAAAGCAGCACCTAGTTTCCCTTCCTCTCTTCCCCAGACTCAGCTTCCAGGTGCAGAGCTGAACTGTGGGGAAACTCTCCTTGTCCATGTAGTTCCAGCTGGGTTTTTGTGCTCATAGACATGGACAAGTCAGGCATGTGCTGCATGCATCCACAACTGTGTTTTTAGATTTTTGCGGAGGTGCCTCTTTCGGCTTTTTTCCCGATTCTTCCCTCTTGTGCATGTGGGCGGGCATTTTTACTAGCACAGCATCAACCCTGTAGCCTAAACATCATAAGCAGAGGCACTGATGGCATGGTGCTCCTGATCCCATGTGATCTGAAACTTTGGAAAGGAGGTACTGCCTCTGGAAAGAGTACCCCATTCCATTGACTAATCTGTGTCCAGGTTATAATGTTTAGCCTCTACTGACATAGACCAACAAGAGGTCTTGAGGGAAGGGCAGTAAGTAATGAGAAAATGCAAAAGGTTTAAGAAATCCAGGTGAAATGACCATAAAGACCTGACATGTTTGCCTTTTCTAGATACGACCCAAAGACTAATCAGTGGAGCAGCGATGTAGCGCCCACCAGCACCTGCAGAACCAGTGTCGGAGTGGCAGTTCTTGGTGGCTACCTGTATGCTGTGGGTGGACAGGATGGTGTCTCCTGTCTTAACATTGTTGAAAGGTATCTTTTTAAGGAGTTGGGAGCAGGGAGCACTCTCATGCATTCCTATGCACATTGCCAGGAATCTTTTGCTACTGTTATAATGTGTGTCTGTTATGAACACGTCTTTGCCCTTAGCCTTATGCTCACAAAAAGGAATAAAGGAAGATTGGTTTAGTACATGAAACGAAAGTGACAGTATATGAATGCTGCTTTCAGACAGCAGAGTTAAAATATAAGAAGTCATCAACTCACATGCACAGCATGATCTATAGAGAGAAAAGGATCCCTATCTATCCCAAAAAGCTTAGAGACAGTGAATGTGACAATTTTGCCACAGTACTCATGCTAAAAGTCAAGTGAGAAAGGAGAGGTAAGTAAGCAGAACCTCAGTTAGGGATTAAGAGAACTGTGCCTTTCATTTGGGAATTACCGTATTTTTCCGTCTGTAAAACGACCCCTATTTTTTTAACCCAAAATTAAGAAAAGCACTATGCACTTATCTGTGTATAAGACAACCTCTTATTTTAAACTATATAGTCTTATACACGGAAAAATACAGTGTTGCTCTCCTCATCAGTGACCCATACTAGCAAGGCTACAGCATCTCTCACCCATGCCTTAGTCCTTGGTCCAGTGAAGCAAAGGGTTGATTCCCAAAATTTTAGAGTGAAAATGAGTCCCTTGTTGGAGCTTTGAGAGCAACTTAAGCATTTAAAATCTGGGGTTTAAGTACTCTTTTGAGCCAGGAGGATTTTCTGGTTTTTTAGATGAGTAATTAATTAATTAATTATAATTGTCATAATACCTCCCCCCCATTGTTTAGTTTTCATAAGTTCCTGTCTATTCATTATTTTGTTTACCTTGCCCAGTTTATGGTTGAAAGGACATGACCCTCTTGACAAATGAATAACTGGTTACTGCGTATATGTTTCCCAAATCCTGGTTTATCTCTGGTAGAATATTCTGTTGTCTATATGGTATGGAACCCATTCTGTTTTCAGGAGGTGATAATTGAGTTTGCTAGTCTATTTTAAGTATTAAGAGGTCAGGCTATTTACCAATGCCTTCTAAGACACATTTAAGATAAAGACTAGTACCAGGGTCCAGATACTTGAGGGGTATTGGTGGAATTGGTCAGACTTGGTGAGAGAGATGCTTTTGTGTTTTGTTTGAGGTATGACCCAAAGGAGAACAAATGGACTCGGGTGGCTTCCATGAGCACAAGGCGCCTTGGGGTGGCTGTGGCTGTGCTAGGTGGCTTCCTTTATGCTGTTGGAGGCTCTGATGGGACGTCACCTCTGAACACAGGTATCTCCATGCAAGAGCCGGTAATTTACTCTCCAGGTGCTTCTGAGGAATTCTGACATGACTCATTTGAAGGTTTTCCTGAGAAAATGAAAGGGCTGGTGGTAGTAGAATTCAGCTCTGGGTGGTTTGGGGTTTTTTTGGTCGTATTTTGCTAATTTTATATTGAGTAGATATGCAGATGTCTCCATCTGATAGGCAATTTCCCAAGACAAATATCTGAGAACTGTTTAAATCCTAGACTTTCAGTTTTCTCATGTAGGATAGCAGTGGCTACTCACCATTATAACTGAATAGCCATTGAAGTTGAATAGCTGAATTTTCTCCAGGTTCAGGGGCATTATACCTCAGATTTCCAGCTTCTGGGAGAAAAAGGTGGGGGCTTCTTTTGGGTTTCCTGGAAGCATCTGGCTAGCCAGGATCACAGAATCATAGAGTTCAGAGGGACCCTGATGATCATCTAGTCCAACCGCCTGCAATGCAGGAATATGCAGCTGTCCCATATGGGGATCAAACCTGCAACCTCGGTGATGTCAGCACCATGCTCTAACCAACTGAGCTATCCAGGCAATATCAGAAACACGATAGCACAGTTGATGGTCCCTTGGTCTGATGTAACAGAAGAAATAGAAATGAGAACGAACAATGGCTTCCATTGTGTTTGGCTTTTCTTTTCTTGTGGCTGTGCTCTTTTGCCCTTGATCCATGTATGCAAATCTTCCACAGTGGAGCGCTACAACCCTCAGGAGAACCGTTGGCACACAATAGCGCCCATGGGCACTCGGCGTAAGCACCTAGGTTGTGCAGTATACCAAGACATGATCTATGCTGTGGGAGGCAGAGATGATACGACTGAACTTAGCAGTGCTGAGCGATACAACCCCAGAACGAACCAGTGGTCTCCTGTGGTAGCCATGACGTCACGCCGTAGTGGGGTAAGCTGGGGTTGATTTGGCTGCTGACCTGCTCAGCTTGAATTCTTTAGACCAGAGGTGGCTAACCTGAACGCTGGATTCAGTCTGCTAAGCTACAGGAAGTGGCCTACCAGCTACTGCAGCTTTTATCTTCCATTTTGAGCAGGAAATATAGCTCTCTGTTCTTTAGAAAGCAATCAGAATGCTTTAGGATCTCTAAAGAGCAGACAAGGGAGACCTTTTCTCTCCAACCTCTGCACCAGGGGTGCCCAAACTTTTTTCAAAGAGGACCAGATTTGATGAAGTGAACACACGTGAGGGCTGACCAAAGTTGTTGAGCTTTTTAAGGGATTTTACCCCGGGACATATACTGCTGCGGGAGCCAGATTAAGTCGACTGGTGGGCCGGATTAGGCCCCCAAAATGGACTTTGGACATGCCTGCTCTACACTAAGCAGCACAATGCTAAGATTGGAGATAAGCCCTCTGACAGCTCTTTAGATCCTCCAGGATAGAAGGCATTTCCAGGCCCACCCCCCTCCAGTGCTGGAAATGCTAAGGCTGGGTGGGTGTGATAGGGAGAGTGCTGCATGCTTGCATGTTTGGCGTGTGTGTGTGTGTGTGTGTGTGTGCATACCTTGGTTACACCTGTCACTAATATGTGGCCATCAGAGGAAGACTGACCATCAGTGCTGCTCTTAGGCTGAAAAGAAAATTCAGACTTGGAGTGAAGCAGTACAATTCTGTCAACTCTGGATGTAGACAGTATGTGCATTGAGATATATAGCCTGACCAATGAACTAGTTAAACTAATTAGCTCTTATCCATCTCTTCTTCTTAGTTTCTCTTCCACCAGTGGAAAAATGTAAATTGTGTACTTGCCCCCGCTGAATATCCTTCTGCAGAAGCCCTTGTGTTTAGAACACTAGACTGTATTGCAACACTCCAACTTACACAAATCACTTATTTGGTCATTACCTAGGTTGGCCTCGCAGTTGTGAATGGACAGCTAATGGCCGTAGGAGGCTTTGATGGCACAACGTACTTGAAGACTATTGAAGTGTTTGACCCAGATGCCAACACATGGAGGTAAAGAAGTTTAAAGATCATAATTAGGATGCATTTTGTCTTTCGAACAATACTGTTCAGAAGCAATGCAAACCCTTGCTTTGGCATTAAATGATAGAATTTCAGTACATGCCAGTGTGGTGTAGTGGTTAAGAGCAGTGGACTCGTAATCTGGTGAACCGGGTTTGATTCCCTGCTCCTCCACATGCAGCTGCTGGGTGACCTTGGGCCAGTCACACTTCTCTGAAGTCTCTCAGCCCCACTCACCTCACAGAGTTTGTTGTGGGGGAGGAAGGGAAAGGAGAATGTTAGGGTTGGGATGTCAAATCCAAACTCTCCTCCTCCTCCCATTGTGCACTTCGATTCCCTCCCAGTTCTACAGAAAACCTTAGTTTCTGCTTTAAAGTTGGAATCATTTCAGACTATGGTTTGCCCAGAAGCCAGAACTGAAAAACACAATCAAGCAGGATTCAGCTAACAAGCCCCACCAAAGAAAGTCTGTGCAGTGAGACTTTCCTCCTCTCTTCCCCCTGTGTGCTTCCATTGGCTCTAGGGGTGTGTCAGAAAATCCAGAGCAAGATTGTTGACAGAGCGATTTGGTTGCATTATGCTGAATTCCTCCCAAAATATGGCTTCCAGTGTGGGCTTGAGGGCAAACTCCAGCTTGTCACAAAATGAAGGGGGGAAGGGAACAGACAAGTCTGAGTCTTGCTCACATAATATGAAAGCATGGTTTGATTTGGTGGGTGAACCAGCCTTTTTATTAAGACCGTGTACAGATTCCTATCAACCCTAGGCATCAAAATAATCTCAAGACTTTTTTCTTCAGTCTCTTCATATTTTGCTGGCCTATATCCCACTATTTAATAACAGGCATGCAAGCTAATGATTATTCTCATATGGCAATTTCTCTCTCCTAATACAGTCATTTGGAGAGCATCCATGTTGACTATTATAAATTTGATTCTTGCACTTCTGTAAGAATAGGGGTTAAATTAGAGTAACAAAGTGTGTCTTTTCTTTGCAGACTGTATGGAGGAATGAACTATCGTCGGCTTGGAGGTGGAGTAGGAGTTATAAAAATGACACACTGTGAATCCCATATATGGTAGAAAGCCAATGGGAGAAATCTCTCTCACTCCGAGTTCATTCCTATTGAAGCTGGTCAGCTTGGTGACTGCTGAGCTCTCTGAGGCTCTAGTAAAATTGAGATCACATTTATATTATTCGCTGGTGCCTCTTTCTATGGGACTATAATGGATGTTGCAAGCATTTCCCCCTCCTCTACTAGTTACAGAAGACCAGACCAAGCAACCCCAGGAATATACCTGGAACACATAGTTTTCATTGTCTTTGTCTCCCCATTCTAATTTTACAATCTTAATGAAGAAACTGGAATGTAATGTTATTCTGAGCAATGAAGACCTCAAGCTGTATATGAGTTCCATCAAAGACAGGAGCCTAATGAGAGGCAGACAATGCATCTGCATAGACAAATGTTTCTCTGACACATCATTGGCCTTGTTTAAAGAGGTCAAGTCAAACAGGGCCCATATGCTCCATTTAAATGAATTAGTTGCATAAGAGCCCGTTCATTTCAACAGGGCTTTGGCAGAAGATGCTGCTGCTTGAATTTTACATTGCACTGGGGGAAATTCTATATATGCTGAAACCTGTTCCATTTCATTTCTACCATATTGTTGATATCATGGTAATGTGATTTCCCCCCAAGTAAAATTCTGATGCAGCTTTCTAAATGAAGCTGTTTGTAAGCTTTGGCCTAGTTAAAATCTTTGGAAGCAAAGGGCTAGCCAACAAAAGGTTGCTGGCACTGTGGGTCAGTAAGAACAAAGATTTTTAAAAAAACAAAACCAGAAAACAAGTGGAACAAGGAATAGACACATAATAATTTGAGCAATCTACTGGGAAGTTCTCCAGCACAAGCCCCACTGAAGTCAATGTGGAGCACAGCAGAATTTGTGTGCTGCTTCTGTTCATTTCTGTACAGGTTGTGGAGGAGAATGTCTTGGTAGATAGTCTCCCTTTGTATAGACTTTATGCTCTAGTGTATTTCTCAGTTACTGCACTAGTAATGTTAACTAGTGTGACTAAGTACATATACAAGCCTGATTTGGATTAAAGAACAGAGTACTGTATCAGAAATAGGATACCTATTTTATCTCCTAGTAATAATTTGTACTTCAGAGCCACACACTGACCGTTAGTGAAATGGTATCTACATCTATATATAATGATGCCTGTCTTGTCACTTTTGAAAGACATGCTTAGAATTATAAGCATTTTGAATTTGTCTGAGCTGCCATCTTTATCCTTAAAGCATAGTTCTATCTAAAAACTCAGCTGTCACGACTGTAAGCTAAATTAGTGGGCTGCAGGGCAAGGATGGGAAACCTATGTCACTGCAGGTCTTGGTTCTAGGCAACCCCAGCAAACATGGCCAGTGATGGCTGGAGCTAAAGAACAGTTATGTATAACTTGTGTCCTATTCTTGTGGTGCCAAGGAAGCAGCAGAAAGGAAAGCTGATCGCAGCATTGGGTGAGTTGAGGTGAGTTGCAAGGAATGCCAATGAAATTAAGTTTTACTGACATTTCCTTTAAGAAGTAGCTTTATTTGTAAACTTCAACATCCTTAATGTCTTTGGGTGGGTGGGGGAACTTAACACAAGTGGATTTTCAAGAAAGGGGAAAACCCTTCTTGGCCTGAGAGATGGCATTCTTGTGTTTACATTTTGAACATTTGCACCTTTACAAAGAAAAAGTATTCTGTAAACAATTGTTTACATATCATTTGTGCTTTTTCTAGCATGAGTTGATTTGTATAAATAGTGTTACCTTAATAAAATCATTTGGTGTGTTTTCTCATGACTTAACTGAAAGAGCAGAAGTTGCTGGTTTATAAACTTACTTTATAGCTCCCAACTCAAACCCTTTGGGCTAGTAAATTGAAAACAGTATTTGAGCAAAATACCTCTGTATAGCCTTAATATACAGTAAGCCCACAACATATCGTATTTACTCGAATCTAATGCTCACCTTTTTTGGCCAAATTACGTCACAAAAATTAAGTTGCACATTAGATTTGATGGCACATTTACGTTCACCAGCAAATACTTTTTTAGGGTTTCAAGGTGCACATTTGAGTAAATACGGTCCATGGGGGTTACATTCTGGAGATCATGTCCAAAGCCCAAATCATGTCTAGCCAAAGCACATTGGGCTCAGTGGTGGGTGGGCTTGCCAAAGTATATTTTTTGCCCAGCACGTAAAAGCTGAATGCACACAAGTTGTGGGCTTACTGTAGTATCAATTTCATGTGCAGCTGAAGAACTTAAGAGCCTGCTGGATCAGGTGTGTATTGGAAATCTACAAGCAGGATCTGAACACAAGAGCACTCTCCCTTCCTGCAGTTTCCAGCAACTACTTCCAACCATAGAGGCAGAGCATAGCCCTCATGGCTTATAACCACTGATGGCCTTTATCTGCCACGCGTTCATCTAATCCTCTTTTAAAGCCATCCAAGTTGGTGACCATCCCTGCTTCCTGTAGGAAGGAGTTCCATTAACTATGGGCAGTGTAAGGTGCTTTCTTTTATCTGTCCTGAATCTTCCATCATTCAGCTTCACTGGTTTTTATGGAAGCAGTGGAAAGAATCCTGCAGGTTATGTAGTCCAACCCCACAGAGTGCAGGAATCTCAACTACATCATACATGATAGATGGCTGTCTATCCTTTGCTTAAAAACATCCAAGGAGAGTCCATTCCACTGTTGAATGACTCTTACCACGAGACAGTTCTTCCTGATGTTTAGTCGGAATCTTCTTCCTTGTAACCTTGGTTCAGGGTCCTACCCTGCAGAGCAGGAATCTTGCTCCATCTTCCATGTGATAGCCATCTTCAAATATCTAAGGGTTATTATTTCCTCTCATTCTCTTTATCAGGCTAAACATACCCAATTCCCTCAACTAGTCCTCGTAAGGTTTGCTTTCAATACCCTTTTGGTTGCTGTCTCTGCACACATTCCAGCTTGTCAATATCCTCCTAAAACTGTGCCCAGAACTGGGCACAGTATTCCAGGTGTGGTCTCACCAAGGCAGAATAGAGTGGTACTATTACTTCAGTGATCTGGACACTGTACTGTTGATGCAACCTAGAAAAGCATTAGCTTTTTTTGCTGCATCATCACACTGTTGACTCATGTTAAGCTTGTGGTATACCAAGATCCCTGGATCCTTTTCACAAGCCAGTTGCACCCCATCATATTTGAGCAGACAGTTCTTCCTGCATAAGCGTAGAAACTTACATTTATCCCTATTGAAATTCTTGTTAGTTTAAGCCTAGTTTTTCACTCTGCCTTGCCCCCCCCCCCACTACGCTACTGGTTAGCAGAGGAGGTTGGCCCCAGGTGCAAAATTCTGAGGGGTGCAATCTGGCACAATGTCCACACCCTGCACCCCTGTGCTGGCCAAGCCCAGTGTCGGCAAAGCCACCCAGCTAAAAATACATGGCCACCGCCACTGGCAGCCATGTGCCTCATGGGCTCTGTGCGCACACACCCCGGGCACATGCCTCCATCCCAGCTGCCCAGTCCACCAGGGGGGCACATTACTTGTCCTGCCCCAGCAACCCATGCTATGCCACTGCTGCCAAGGTCCTACCGAATTCCAATTCTGCCTTCTGCAGCATTGGCCACCCCTGCCAGTTTGGTGTCATCTGCAAATTTGATGAGCACCTCCTCAATTCCTTCATCCAAGTTGTTTATAAAGGCATCAAACAATGGGCCCAGGACAGAACCTTCCAGCACCTTACTTGCCATTTATTTACAGGATGGTGATGAACCATTAGTGAGCACTCTATGGATTTGTCAGTTTTTATTTTGTTAAGCCTAGAATTTTGTCTCTCTTCTCCATAATCTGCCTCAGTTCTCAGACTATCCTAGGGTCCAATTATCTAGGGCACCCTTTCTCAACCTTAGGTCCTCAGATCCTATTGGACTGCAACTCCCATCATCCCTAACCACTGGTCCTGCTAACTAAGGATGAAGGGAGTTGTAGTCTAACGGTATCTGGGACATAAGGTTGATATAGGCCATCTATACATTTTACCTCTTTGTCTTGACTGTAATACATATAGTTTTCATTTGTAATCTCAAAATATCCCTGAGCAGTTTGATTGGGACAATAGAATGTCCTTCATACTAAATTACTTGAGGCCCAATATCACCACCCAGCTTGCTGAATTCAGTGCCCTCTCTGACATGAACAGCACCTTCAGTACATCCTTTCTATAATGTTCCTATAAAGTTTATAACCAGTAATAACCATGTCCCATTGGTTCCTTCATTCCACCATCCTCTAAGCCGAAACAATCCAGTTCACAAGAGGTACTGTGATCAAAGAGAGCAGAATAATCACTTAGTACCATACTCACATAAATCACTAGTCAAATATAATACCATATTTATTATTTGTAGGGTTTATATAGTTTAACGTTCCATATTTTCAGGAAGGTGTAAGACTTTTTAGGTTTGACCAGAAAGGTAAAAATACTCTGTACAAACCACATCTGAGCAGACTCTCTCTCACACACAAAAGTCATCTTTGTATTGGGTATACTTTCTACAGCAAAAGCATAGATGGTACAACACTTAAATCACATTTTTAAAACTGCCAGTTCTGTTAGGAATGCCATCGATGATATCAGATGTTGAGCATGAAAAATCTGCAAGAAAGAAATTGGAGAATGTTTAAAAAAGTTGCAGCAGGATTAAAACAGGATAAAATACAGTTTATTCAATGAAGTATTTAAGCTAACAAATGTCAACAGCCCCTATAAACCAGTTTTGTATAATCACATTGTCTGAAGTCAATCTGAAAAGCCAAACCTTCCTGTTTTACATTCCTGGAGAGGTATGAAAGGGGTGAAGAGGAAAGTTGATAGAGAAGAAGAGATCCATGGCTTGAAACTGAAACCACTAGAACATAGGGGAACAATGGAAATCCTTCATTTCCTTTTTCAGAAGTATAAGCACAATACTTTTCAAAGCAGCATTTTAGAATATCATTAAGATGCCAATTCACATCAGATCTAAAGTCATTTGGTATCTATGTGATTGCTGTGTTTCACTGGATTACTAAAGCTTGTGTACTAACTTGTCTTCCCAAATAGAATGGAATTTCATGCAGAGAATAAGGCTTTCCTAACTGCTTCCCTTGGCAGCCCCTTGTACCACTCAAGGGTGCAGCAAATCACAAGAGCAGACACTGGCAAAAATCATGATGTAGGGAAAACCCTGAAGTCAGCCAATGCCTCTACATAGCTCCATCCTCATTTCAAACATCATGATATATCAATATATTGCAATGTTTAGCTGGTGATATACTGTGAAGTTGAAAACCAGATATCGCCGAACCCTAGTGCCTGCTCTGTGGTTTGCTGCCCCCAGCAGGAGGCAGGGAAGAGCTGAGCCGGCAGAGCAACATACAAAAGTTGGCTTCATGCGGTTTATCATCAGGGCAGATATTTTGAACCGGTTTTCACAGTGTGGATTTCAAACCGGCTTTCAATGATATATCACTATATAACCCAGGCCTGATCACAGCAGGAAGTGATCTGACCATGACAAGGGACTGATGTCAATACTCCCTACTTTCATATCACCCTCCTCCTGCCTAGTTGATAAAACAAGCTTCAGAGTGTGGCCTGCCACATGCGTTGGACTAGTGACATGCTGTGACAACCCCATGGTCATTATGGCAGCCATGATGAAGTCCTAAGCCACCCCAAAACAAGTTGCCTTGGCATGGATGTTGAAGACCCCAGAACTAGCATTCTGGGAGTCCTCAACACTTACTCTGAGACCAGCCGTCTGCTCAGGCAAGGAGACTGTTGGGCAGGGAGGCCGGTGGAAACCAGCAGAATCCCTAATCTGTCCTGATTGCCCAACATCTGGAACAAACGCTCTAGATTCCCCCCGCTAACTGGACAGAGCCTGGAGAGATGGAATCTCTACTGACCACAGCAACTCCCTCCCTTCCCCACCCTCAAGCTTGTCCTTGATGCTGCACAGAGTACCCAGTTGGGCACAGTGGGTAACACCACCTCCACCCTCCTTAACCACCCAATCTTAGTGATACAGACCAGATCAACCTCCTCATCTATAAATCAGATCGTGTATGAGGGAGGCCTTATTCAGAGTCAACCTGGTATTTAGCAGCAGCAGCAGCAGCAGCAAACCTGAGGGCTGGCTGATAGGATAACCGCAATTCCCTATGTTGGAGGAGGGGCTGGCATATGGCACCTCCCACACCATACCTCCCCCTACCATGAACCACGGCAGTTGGGGTCCCCCTGCTCAGTTCTTCTCCTCCCAGACATATCTCCCCTCCCTCAATGAAAACAAACCAACACAAATTTAAAACTGTGAATCCACTAAGAACAATACCCCAGCCCATTATTTGGAGAAATTGCAGCAACACACTTTATAATAGGAATCAGCTACTGGTTGCCTGTGGCTCAATATGCCCCCTACCCTGCAACCCAGTCTTCGATGCACACACTTTGTTCTGAGTGCCCAAAGTATTATTCAATATGCTCCCCAGCCCTGCCACTCTTCCAAGCCTTTCCCTACTTAGAGAAAGATGGATGGCAAAGAACTGGGAAAGGTAAGAAGGGGCAGATGCAAAAAACCATTCTATTCATGTGCCAATATTTCTGCCACCTTGTAATTGAGCCATTGCATAATGGAATGCAGAAAAAAATAGTATCTCCACCCCCCATAGCTAGGGAATAGGTAGAAAGGGGCCAGAGGCACAAAGTAGTTGTAGGGAAGTAGTTGTACTTCTCCTGAATGCTTACTTCCAATACAGAAAGGGAGTAGTGTGTGTGCTAGACCTGCCACCAAGCCTCTTCCTAAAATATAAATGGCCAGCTGGTAAAATCAGCTGCAAAGTGTTTGAAGTCTACATTGCAAAATGTATGCCTCAAATATTCCTTTAGGACACTCATCTATTTATAATTTGTCACTACCAGGCTAGTATCAATTTTGGGTGAGATCAATCACCTGCCAAGAGCAGTATTCAAAATTAGCCAGGCATTTTGCACCTGGCTTTTGACCACTTGCGACCAAGTGAAGTTGCCTGGGCGCCAGGATGGTGCCTGACATCTCCACCATCTGGAGATGCAGGCCTGGGGATCATTGGATCTGGACTGTTTTCACACACTAATACTCCATCCTGTAGAATTCTATCAGTTATATTTTATCTCCACAATCAGAATGAATTTCTGAAACCAAAATGCTTTTTCTGTACAGCCTGAGCAGCAGGCAGCATTAAGAAACAGAGGTCAGAATAGGCCAATATATATGTGGGCTGTCCCTGGAGCAAGTGACTTTTCTTCTTTAAGTACTCAAAGCTCTTAGCCTAGCTCAAGGTTGTCATCTGAACGAGCCTGATGCTTAACTGAAAATAAATCACAATCAGTCCATCATTTGAAAATTAGACTGCAGAGCCATCTTGCCCAAAAATGGCAACTAGACATTCCATTATGGCAACTGTAGCCTTGGTTTAAGGAGCCATTTGTCCCCTAACTTATAAATGTTTAAGTTTCTAATACTGGCCAAGAGTGACAGTTATTGTAACTAGTTGCTAGTGGTAAATGAGCTAGGCCCCATACCTTTATTTTCCCAACAGAATGGGCAGAAGCTACTGATGTGGAGACTTGCACCAGTACTGTGCCTGACAGGTAGATCTTGAAGTGTCTATGGAAGTGGTTGTAAAGACACGCCATGAATAATTCCACTTCTTCTTGCCTGACTTCTCCTGGAGTGCTGTGGATTGAATCCCAAAGGGCTTTTGCATCTTCAGGATGGATAGAATAGGAAATATCCAGAGGGTAAGCTGTGCCAAGTGTAGAGAAAGTCAGCTCTGTTGGAACTGTAGGATTGTCCATTGGGCACCCAGTCCACATTGCAGCCATCCAGGAAAGACTGATAGGGGTGATGGGCAAGGGGCTCAGACAACAGTCAAAGGTCTGTTGAAGCCAAGTTTCTACAAGGACCGTGAGAGCCTTTGCCCCATTCACAAGGAACAAGGGCAAAAAAGTAAACTCCTCATCAACAATCTCAAAAAGGTCATTTCCACCAGTACAAGTAAACCAGCCCATCCACACCACTTTCTCTTCTGCATTTTTAGCTGCCACCTGAGGCCTCTTCGTGATCTATGGGAAATACATAAATACACCAATTATGCACATATTGCAACTATACGAAATGGCTTGAGTCAACACAATTTTGGAAACCAACTCCTGCAATTCATTTGTTATGGTGAGGAAAAACTAGGGGAAATATACTGACAGCACTTAATCTCTCAACAGTTCTTCAACAAATGTGCACCTATCACTTTGATAGTACTCTATTCACAGCCATGGACAATTATGCATGTTTTCATGGAAAACCCACTGAATTAAGCAAGACTTAATTCCTTGCCTGGACAAGGAAGCCTTTTTGAAAGTGCAGATCCAAGTGGATCCGCACTTTCAAAGTGCCAGGCTCTGCATGGCGCAGTGTCTCTTGCATGATCAGTTTGAGATTCATGGGTCTGAGACCCAATGGTCACATGAAGTGCAGCCAGAGGCTTCCTGTGCCTGCAGGCCACCTGCTTTTAAGAATTGCTCTGATACATTTTTTCAGAACCACTTTTCAAGAGAAATGGTGCAATCAAGACTGGGTGCAAAGCATCCAGTGATTGACTCACCACCAACTGTAACCATGATTCCCTAGCATCCAAAGCAAATCAAATTAATTTAATAACACTAAGATAACAATGGTGGCATACTGAGATGAACTAGTGTATTTTCTAGACCCAATACAATAGTATTCTCCAATATTGTTAAGACAAACCCATAGATATTAAAATATTGGGACTGTAGTACCTACTTGAATGAGAACTGCATCTGGTTCCTGTTCTGTGATTTTCAAAGCTGAGAATGAAGAGAACGTCACTTTAAATTGAAGTTCATATTCAATTTCCACAGGTCTCCTTTGACTTTCAGATGCAATAAAGCGACTCAACTGTCTAGAATATTCTTTCAGCTGTCCATAAGAGAATTTGTACAGAGGAGTGACAGCGTATAAAGTCCACTGCTTACACAGAAGCAAGCTTATTTGAGCATCAGCATTTCCCTGGAATGTGAAGAACAGTTTTAGCTTCCTAGGTGCAGGCAAGTGGTGTCCATACTCTACACTTTCCAACAAAAACACCAAAAACAGAGCAAATATCACTATGAGCAACTTTCTGGATATGGTTCATCCAATTCTCAGGACAGTCTGCAACTAATTTAATAGCTACCACAACACACCCCCTACATCAGCAGTCTAAAGCTTTCCCAATAGCACCATTTAGAGGTTCAGGTCCTCTTCAACCTATTTCCCATCTGCTACCTTTTATGGCTAGAATATATAATCTAGAACAGATGAAAGTGCCCTGTACAATAAGTAGTGGACTAATGCAAGAAGGAAAAATATAATTTACCATATAAATTTAGGTCTTATTAAAAGAAGTTCAGATGGTAAAAATATGTCAATCCCTTGGCCAACATTAACTTTTCAGGAGATAGGATCAAAGTTTTAAGACACTTGTAGTAAGTTGTTCTCTCTCTCTCTCTCTCTCTCTCACACACACACACACACACACACACACACACACACAGAGAGAGAGAGAGAGAGAGAGATGATATATTCTAGGCAGGACAATATTACTGTAATTTCCTTTCCAAGTTGTCCTAGAACTATTTCTGAAAGATTAACTATTAGTTACCAGAGGTTTTTTCCCCCTTTGCACCAAATAAAAAGCTACTTCATTTTGCAATATTTTGCCAGCTATACCAAGCTCACCAAAGGATTACCTGCAAGTGAAGAGTTCGTTGAATCATTCTCATAGCTGGGGTCTGACTAAACAGGTTTCGTCTGAGGGATACAACATGTCTTGAAAGATGTGCAGTGTTAATGATGTTCACATCATGATCTACAGTTTTTTCTCCAAAAACAGAAAGTGTCCTGTAGTCGCAAACCCTCGTATCTTCCACATGCTGATAGTTTACCAATCAATAGGCAAAAAGGAACAAAAGTTAAAAACTATTTTATACAAAGTAAAGAAAATGCAGGTGATCATTTACTCAGCATGACAAGGACTCACATGAAGGCAAGCCAAGATATTTGGGGGTGGAAGTGGGCACTAAGAAACCCTGTCGAATACTAGAATAATAGGTTGCAAAGAAATCTGGGGACAATCTATTTCTCTCATTATAGATACAGATTTTAAAGAGAACAAAATAAAAACAGCACCACAAGGATTTGGTAACACGAATCAAGCTATACCTTCTCTCTACAGCACAGGACTGGCTACCTTCCTAGTGTGCTTTAAACAGTTTTATTTAACTCAGCATTTTGTCATCCCCCCCCCCTCACATCTGCCAGCCTTTGGAATCTGAGTTCTTCACGGGAGGCTTGTCTTGTGGTTCTGCCAACAGCTGCAGCCCCATCATGTCAGGGCCTTCCCTGTGGTGGCACCCAATTGATTGGCAAAATCCCTTCTCTTTGGCAGCATGGCCATCTCCCTCACCAATAAACTTTTGGCATCAGTCTAACATAATCTTATCTTTTCACACAGGCATTTCAGTCAGAAGTGTAAGCCAAGTCTGGGTGCCTGTACACATCTCCATTTCTATTGCAGAACTGTTTTTAGATATTGTGGGTGAGTTTCTCTCAGAGCAGACCTACCAAACTGGCTTCCTTATTTGATTTGATTTTTATTAAATTTATATGCCACCTTTCATTCTAAGTTCACAGGTGGGTTTTACAGCATGAAAGCACATAACAACAACACCATAAAGCAGGAGGGGGATATTATAGGGAGGGCAATAATATGAATTAATGTGGACCAAGCCAAGGCCCGTTGATTTCAATGGGTTTTACACGTGAGCAAGACTTGGTCGGATCATTAATTAAAATAAAACACTCGACGGCACCGGGTATGGATTTGCATAACTCGGTTAAAAAACCGAAAAACAAGAAACCCCAAAACAATATCCCCGCGCGGAGAAAACGAGCATTTAAGTTTCAAGGAAGAGCGCCAAGAGGTGGGCCGCAATTGCTCGCCTCAGGCAAGGCCTGCCTGGCGGCCCTCCTCCTTCAGAGGTAACGAAGGCAGCAGCTCGAAAGCCCAACGCTTTACCTGTCGCTGAACCCTCGCCATCACGGGGCCGAGGCCTCCCTCTCCTCACCCGCTCGCTCCCAAATAACGAAGCCAACCAACCAACCAACCAATCAGCGGCTCCCCTCAAGGCGGCGGGCGATTTAAAAATATAGTTCGGCGCCCGCTCGGGACACTCGCCGATTGGCTTCTCCTAGGAGGTCCCGCCTCCCCCGCTCGACGTCGCCTCGGGCCTGGAAAAGGCTCTGCCGAGGCAGGCGGTCCGAAGCTCCTTGCCCGAAGTAAGGATGGCGGTTGTCAGCTGCGCCAATGGCCGCGAGGGGTCGGTTCACGTGACCCCGCGCGGGGGCGGGGCCTGGCCGTGGCGTGAGGCGAAGGCGAGGAGCGATGCCGGCGCTCTGGAGGACCGCGCGCGGGCTGCCGGGCCCCCTCCGCGCCCCGCTCTCGCGGCTCTTCCCCAGCGGGGCGGCCCAGGGCGGCGCCAGGCGCGTCTCCGGCGGCACTCCGACGCTCCGCGCACCCGGCGCTGCAGGTCCGTGGCGCCCGCGGAGGGGGTCGGGGGGGCGTCGGGGCTCCTGCTGAGGGAGGGGCCGGACCTTATTCCCCCGTTGCCGCACCGATAAGAAAGCGGGTGGTTTCGTGTGGCGGCGCCCGCTCTCTGGAACTCGCTGCCTCTGGAGGCAAAGCCGGCGCCTTCGCTGCTCTTGGCGTCTGCTAAAAATAGTATTGTTTAGACAAGAGCTACCAGGATGCTTAGGTGAATATTGATCCCTTTTTTAGCATCTTAAACTTTTGTAGGTTTTAAAAGTAGGCTTGTGAATTTGCTCTCAGGTTTACTGTTTTATCTTTTTGCAAACTGCTTTGAGGTTTTTCTTACCAACCAGCGGTGTATGATTCTTAGGAATTATATTTATTTCTTTATTAAATTTCTATACTACCCTTCATGGCTTCATCCAAAGATCACAGGGAGGTTTATATAAAAGCACACAAAAATACCGTTATAACAAAAACAATTACACACACCCCAAGTTTAAAAGGCCAAGCGTTTTTTAATCACTCAAAGGCCTGGTTACAGAGAAGTGTTTTTGCCTGGTACCGAAAGATATGTAAAGAAGGTGCCAGGTGAGCCTCCCTGGAGGAAGCATCCCACAAGCAGGGAATCCCCTGCAGAAAAGACCTGCTCCCATCTTGCCACCCTACGGACCTGTCACAGAGGAGGCATACAAAGAAGGGCCTCAGATGATGATAGCAGGGGAGAGGCAGTCCTTGAGGTCTTGCGGTCCTGGGCTGTTTAAGACTTTATAAATCAAAGTCAGAACTTTGAATTGGGCCTGAAACTAAGTGGCAGCCAGTGTAGATAGGCCAGGTTCAATGTACAGAACTATGCTGAAGTGGTCTTGCCCCAGTGAGCAACTTGGCCACCAAATTCACTTTGAAGTAATCTAAACTAGAGGTTACCAGAGCTATCCCTGTCCAGATATGCGCACAGCTGGGCCACCAGCCAAAGCTGATGAAAGGCACTCAGTATCACAGGCCACCTGAGCCTCAAGTGACATCAAAAGCTCCAGAAGTTCCCCCAAGTTACATATCTGCTCCTTCGGAGGGAGTGTAATCCCATATGATTATCATTATTCTTTTTTTATTTTAAATATTTATTTCATTGAAATTTATACACAGCTTGATTTCTTGGGGGGGGGGGGACACTCAAAGCGGTTTACAAAAGATAAAACAGTAAAAATCAAGGAAAACTTGACAAGCCTACAGTGATACCTCGGGTTACAGACACTTCAGGTTACGTGTTTTCGGGTTGTGCACCGTGCCGGACCCGGAATTACCAGAACAGGTACCAGAATTGTGACCCGTGTGTGCGCAGACGCAGCGCTGCGGGTTGCGAACGTGCCTCCCACACAGATCACGTTCGCAACCCGAGGTTCCACTGTATTTCCAAAATGCTAAAATGGATTAAGATTTGCCTCAACTTTCTTAAGCATCTGTGTAGGTTTGTCTAAAAGAAAGGTGTTTGTAGCAGGTGCCAAAGGGAGTACAGTAAAGCCGCCTGCTTGATCTCAATAAGCAGGGCAGACACCTGAACTCAAGGCAGTTTGCAGATTAAAAATAAAGAACAGCTTAAAAACGTAAGAGGGGGGGAAAGAGAAATCCCTGAATAGGTTTGATCATTGGTTCTCCTTGTAAAAAACAGTAGACAAACAGATCCACCTGTTACCTTCTCTGAAGAATATTTACCGTACCTGCCTATTTAGATGATCATTGTATCTGACGGGGTTTTAATGCTCAGAAGCTTCTGCTGCAATAAATGTGTTTTAGGGTACCACAAGATGATGATGTTGATGTTTGCAACAATTAGTATAACGCTTCGGCTTCTCAGACCAACAGACCAGCCAAAAATAGAAAACCTATAACTTTAAATAATGTCTTGAAAATCTTGTTGATAGTGTTTGAAATCTAGTGTTGCATATCGTGTGTTTAATGGAAGATGCAGGATCTTCTGGTTGAGGAAAAATAGTGTCAGCACAACTCTAACTAGAGCTGCCCCCTAAAGATTATAATTGTGTACAAACCTGCTTAAATTAATGGGCCAAATTCTCCATAGAATTAGTTTGTAGTCATGCAAACAAAATGGAATACAGTGGTGCCTCGCAAGACGAAATTACTTCGTTCCGCGAGTTTTGTCGTCTTGCGAGTTTTTTCGTCTTGCGAAGCACGGTGTCGGAAAAGTTTTGGAAAAGCTTCAAAAATCACCAAAGTCTTTAAAAACCTCAAAAAGGCTACCACACCGCGTTCTATGAGTTGCTCCTCGAAGTCAAGTCGCAACTGTATTAACGGTGTTAAGAAAAAGGAAACAAACTTGCAAGACGTTTCCGTCTTGTGAAGCAAGCCCATAGGGAAAATCGTCTTGCGAAGCAGCTCAAAAAACCCTTTCGTCTAGCGAGTTTTTTGTCTTGCGAGGTACCACTGTACTCAGGATGTTCTAAATGTATTTCCTCTAGCTCCTCCTGACTGCTCTTGAACAGTTTTTCTCATTATGAGCTCTTTCAAGATGCCTCATAGAATGAATTGCTACTTTTTTGCTAGGAAGCTTCACTATGTCTCTGAGCAGTGCTCCTTCATTATGTAAGCTTTTGCCCATTGTTTGGCTCTTTCACACTAATGGCTGTTGCTGCTTTGAAACTGGGATGCTGCTGTTAAAGGACACTGGAACAAGGGAATGGTTGTGCCTTTAAGCTGTAGCTAGTCAAGTAGTTTTGTGGAACCCCAAGTAAGGAATTTAAACCACTGGCCAGTCCAGTTTGGGCACTGTAAAAATCAGTGGGGAAACTGATGAGCAATAGCTATGTAACATGACTAATGACATTAAATGTTATCTAGCTACCTTGTGCAATTAATTAATTAATTAATTAATGCTTTACATCATTTATACCAGGCACATACAAAGTCTGTCCGGGGGGTGTGTGTGCCTAATCTGGCCCCTGTGGCAGTTTATTTCCGGGAGTAAAATCCTTAAAAAAGTCAATAACTTTGGTCGGCCCTCACAGCCCTTCACTTCATCAAATCTGGCCCTCTTTGAAAAAAGTTTGGACACCACTGATTTATGCAATAACCACCCTAGTAAGCCTTATTGAACTCACTGGAACTTACTTTTGAGTACACATATAATAGGATTGCGCTATTAATATTCATGCCCATAACTGGCATCTCTATAATTTGTTTTGATAATATTTTATCCTGTGTTGAAAATGTATTACCTTTCTTATGAATGTAATTAAGTATAATTGTTTTTTTCTCTACACAAGATGTCAATAGTTTTGTTTCCCGGACCAAAACTTGTGGGGAATTGCGCTCTGCTCATGTAGGTCAGGAGGTCACCCTGTGTGGATGGATTCAATATCAGAGGTAAATAAAAGCATCCAGGATTGTAAGATTGAAGGTGTTATGGCAAACCTTAAGTTGGCTAACAGCATTAGAATTGCTTTCCAGAGTCAAAACTAGGGTCCATCTATTCTAGTATCTCTTCTGTGAACTGAAAAAATTACGGAAGTGTTGTAAATAGATGAGACTTAAGTACCAGTTCCCACATTGTTAACCTTAGCCAAGCACAATTGGAGGAAACTGATTTTCTGGACCCATTTCTGCTGATTCTACTTGATCTCTTGATGGCTTTCAATATCCTTTTTGTTCCTACAGCAGTCTGCTTTGGTTGCTAGTGGTTTCACTCCAACTTGAATGGTCAGTTCTGAAAGAGGAGAGTGTGCTTGTGGGATATAGCATGTTTGGGACTCACTCTTGGGAAGAAGGTCCTAGCCTAGCCTTTCCCCTGATTTTCTGAAGTTCAATATGCAGAGATTTCTTTTCTCTTGGACATGAGCATGAAATAGTAGCCTCAGGAACTCTGTATTATATTATTTATCTGCATATGTAAACTGACCTCATTTAAGCTTGCTCTAATGTAGAGGTTTTACCTGAAGTATTACAAACATTTCTGTTTGTGTCTCCTGTGATTAGACAGCAGCAGTTTGTGGTTTTGAGAGACTTCCAAGGACTCACCCAGATTATCATACCTCAGGATGAGGTGAGCTATCAAGGCTTGCTTCTGCAGTTGCACTGGTTAAATGATTTATTGTCGTCTGTCATGTTGCCCACCAAGCATTGCAATTATTCAAACATAATTCTGATTCTGAATATGTAACAGCAAACTTGATTTCCCATAACTACTTCTGATCATTTACAAGTGGACATACAACATATAGATGTTCATTCTGTGTGACTACACACAAGATTTATCAATGAATATACAATCATAAGTAGGTTATTTTTGCTTATATTCTGTGCTCATTTTAAAAGAAAAGTATTATCATTGGTGCCCTTATTGGTGTTATGAATACACTTAAACACATAAACAGTGCCTGAAAAGGGCTTTGGGATTCTTGTATTGTTTTTTATTTGTATATTATATTGTGTTACAGTTTGAATTCTATGAAATGTATAAGCATTAAAAGAAGCAATAAAATACAGTGGGACCTCTGGTTACGTACTTAATTCGTTCTGGAGGTCCGTTCTTAACCTGAAACTGTTCTTAACCTGAAGCACCACTTTAGCTAATGGGGCCTCCCGCTGCCGCTGTGCGATTTCTGTTATTATCCTGAAGCAAAGTTCTTAACCCGAGGTAATATTTCTGGGTTAGCAAAGTCTGTAACCTGAAACGTCTGCAACCTGAAGCATCTGTAACCCGAGGTATCACTGTACAATTAAAAATTATACAACATCTAGCACAGTGTATTACAAATTCTACGGCAGGCAGAAAAACCATCTCATGATCTCAGCAACTTTCAAGTGGTCTGGGATCAGGGGAGTTGGGAACCGCTGGCCTACAAGGATAATGCAGGGAAGTGAGCTTGACAGTAAGGTGGAGGAAGAGCAGAAGCTGAATGTGACTTGTTTAAAGGTAGAAATCACAGTCTGCTGTTTATCTTGCCTGCCTGCCTGCCTTTTTCTTCTCATTTCAAGTAGGATAAAAGGGGGTCATTTATGCAGGCTAAGCACCCGCAGAAACTACGAGCCAACTCTATGCTTACTGCCTAGGATTCTAGAAAGGAGTGCTGGACTAGGTGGGATTTGATCTGATTCAGCAAATCACTTCTTATAATCTTAAAATAGAATTCATCAGCAGGATACTTCATTCTTGCTTGTGAATTTTGGGCTGTGCAAATTCTGCTTTGGCAGAGGAGCCTAATATTAGACTGCAGTACTGAAATTGGCCCACAACTAAGGTAGCTCATCAGTTCTAAATCTGTGCTCCTAAACGATGTACCTATGCAATCTTATGTGTTGTTTCCGTCTTTCTGCAGGCAGCTTCCCATTTGAGGAAGATCTTGTATGACACTCCAGTTGAATCTGTAGTGAGGCTGACTGGAACTGTTGTCCCCCGGCCTCCAGGACAGACAAACCCCGTGCGTACTTTAAGGAGAATCTCCCCCTAATTTTATCTTAGTGTAACTTGGCCACTTCAAGACACTACAAACTGTTTCCCGAAAGCTGAAATGTCTCCTCACATGTGACACAGTGTTTGGGTTTGGGAAGTGTGGGTCTGGATTTGTATTGCTTTGCCATTTACTGCTATTATATTTGATAAAGGCCTGGCTGATATATTGATATACAGTGGTACCTCTAGATGTGAACGGGATCCGTTCCGGAGCCCTGTTCGCATCTAGAAGCAAACGTAACTAGCAACGGCACGTTTGCGCACATGCACATTGCTTTTCACCGCTTCTGCGCATGCACGTGACGTCATTTTGAGCCTCTGCGCAAGCGGTGAAACCCGGAAATAACGCGCTCCGTTACTTCCGGGTTGCCGTGGAGCGCAACTTGAATGCGCTCATCCCGAAGCACATTCAACCCGAGGTATGGCTGTATCGCCCAGGATCAGTATGAGGAGTAGACCGCGATGTCCGCTTCACTCAGCAGTATATTGCTGGTGAAACCGCCACAGCTCCTGAGTACCTCTGCTAGCAGCAGTGCTTTTTTTCTAAAAAAAGGTTTAGGGATACTCTCATTTTCCTACTCCTATTGAAATACTGCCCCTCAATAAGGCCAAACTTAGATTCACAAAATGTTTAGGGGTGCATTTTGGGGTGCACAAAATGCATACCTTGTGTCCCCCAGAAAAAAAGCACTGGCTAGCAGTGTCTGCTAGAGTTCCTTCCTCCAGCGGTGCTGCTAGCAGAGGGACTCGGGAGCAGTGAGTGAAATATATTGCTGAGTGAAACTGCCATCACACTCTGCCCTCATACAATGCGCCAACACAGCTTGTTCCTCCCTCTGCATCTTTAAACTACTTGACTGAGGAGTATGAAGCTGTCCTTACCTCAGCCGAGCAGTTAAAAAGGAGCCCTCAGCCCAGGTCTGGTTCCCATCAGCCAGTGGCCGGGTGGGGGCTCTTTGAAACTTCTCAGCTGAGGGTGAGTGTGCTTGCAGTGGCGAAGCTGCACGCTCTGACACTGGGGGCGGAGAGGAGGCGGGGCTGTGACTGGCGCACTTCCGGGGGGCGTGGTATGCGTACTGGGGGCGTGGCACCCGGCATGGGGGCGGCTGCAATGGTACCCTCCCTGATGCGCCTGGGTGAAACCACCTCAGTTCTCAGGGTGAGAGCTGAGGGAGTTTCACCAGGTGCTTTGCAGGCAGAGGCCAATGCAGCTTGTTTTTTCAACAGTATATCGCCAAACTGTGATGTTTGGCTGGCGATGCACTGTGATGTTGAAAAGCTTATATCGGCCAGCCCTAATTTGATAATAAAGGGCTGTAACCTCCTGACTTCAGCCTCACCTGAAGTTTCTGGTCTTGCTTGCTAAAAGTAGGCTGCCCCATTTCCACTTGCCCCAGTGAGTGTAACTGCCATTATCTGGTCAGTATTTGCCCAAGCCTGGAGCTGCAGAGGTGGGCAAGGATTGCCCTGGTGGTTACTTAGCAACCCCCATTCCCTCTACGACAACAACAAGGTTGAGAGGAAGGCTGGGGGATCTTTGCTTCTGTGTGATTCCACCTTTCTTCCTTCGATCTTTCATTGAAACCCACCTTTCTCATGACTTTTGCTTGGCTTAGCCCCCTGGCTCCCGTATCTGCCTGCAGCTCAGCTTATCACATGCAGCTGAAACAGTCACATATTTTTTCCATGCTAACTTCTGCTTCCACTTCCCTCCCCTTTCTCTGTTTCCCATATGTTGCATTTTAGATTGTAAGTTCCTTGGCACAGAGACCTGCCTTCGGGTCCTGTGCACTGTGCCTTGCACCTTGATGGCACTATAGAAATGATTAATAATAATGCTTAAAATAAGCAATGCAGGGCCAAAGTGGCTAGGGTTAGTTTTTCCTGCTAAAACCAATTTCTGCCTTCCCTTCCCACCCCCAGTGGGGAGGAGACAGGAGGAAGAATTAATTGTCATTCTAAAGCAAAAGTTCCCAAACTTATTTGGCCTACCACCCCATTCTCAGCAAAAAATTACTCATTGCCCCCTGGAAATCTACCTTCTTTAAGTGAACAGAAAGTTGCAGTGACAAATTTGTGTTCTTTTATATACTGTATCTATATTTCTACCCACACCCTAAAACATAATAAAGAAAGATGTTGTAAATAAAACACCTTGAGGCTTGAAATTATATTTTTTATTATTATAATCAACTGTAGTAACATTCACATTACAGAAAATTAAGATAATGAAGGATAATATTAAAATAAAAATTATGTATAACATTAAAAATAATCCTAACGAAAAGGATGAACCTGGTGTGCTGCTATCAATTTATTAATGTTTGGTTCTAATTTTTGTCAGCAGCATTCTTAAATCACTGTGATTAGTTATTTGTAGTCAATTTGTTTTTTTAGTTGACTGATTTGCTTGCCACTGGCCAAATAGAGAGGCAAGCTGTGATCCACTTTCTGGGTCTGGGTGAAGCCGAAAAGGGTTCACTTAAGCCCGGGAAAACCCCTCACCTCCAGCAGCAGATCCAGGGGAGGTATCGCGGTCCCCCAACAGCGCCCAACCTGGCAGTAAGCCACACAACCGATAAAACATGTATGAACGGTTTTTCAAAATTTTCTTTCTTTATGCTTCCACTGCCCCCTTAGTTTTATTCAACACCCCCCAATTGCACCCAAGGCTACTACCACGCCCCTGGATCATTCCAGCGCTCCCCACCACCCGGGGGTGGCATCACCCACTTTGGGAAACACTGTTCTAAAGTGAATGTTCTGTCAACACAAGGATTTCAGCTATTCTCTTCCACATGCTGTTTTGGGGGTTCACCCAACATCCCCCCACATGAGGCAGGGAGCTAGTTGTGCTAGCAGAAGTTTTTGTGTTGGCTTCTGCTCGTGGGATTAATTAGTTGATTCCGGCCCAGTGGTGACTGGGAGCTTGAAGCCTGCCTTGGCCTTTCACGTCCAGCTGAACTGCAGGAGGTGTGGCATGTTGCCTTGTCTCTGTTCTGGCCGGGTGGTTTAAGCCCAGGCAAGCCTTCATCTTCAAAATGGAGAAGGGAGACAGAAGTTTGTCTTTCCATTGGATAGGCTTAACAAAAAATTTAAACCAGTAAAATAATAAAAAATGGCACAAGTGCAGATAGCTATTGGACCATCATCTCAGGAAGGTATGTAAAAATAGTGGTGATTATTTTTCTCTTTTTTGTTCATTTTTAGAGATTGCCTACAGGTGATATTGAAGTTAAGGTGAAAACAGTAGAGATCCTGAACTCCTGTAAGAAACTTCCTTTTGAAATAAAAGACTTTGCCAAGGTGATTTTCTCTTTATTTCTGTGTGGTTGGCTGTTTGGTACAAAGCATATTTGAAATTCTTGGGTGACCTTGTTCTTCCAACCTTCCTCCTGTCCAGTCTTGTAGAAAGAAGGTTTGGGAAGAAGCGTGTGTTGATGATGTACAGTTCCAATTAACAGCTTTGGGGAAATGTTCCATAATTTGTCTTCAACTGAAAAGAATGATTAGCGATGGCTGGAGAGCAAAGGAAATATGTGAGAATTATTATCAGGCTTCAGAAATACTTCCATGACCTTATGATCATGTGGTGGAATGCCTTCCTTACTGAAATTCAAGAGGCTCCATCACTACAGTGGACGGTCGGGTTGCGAACGTTTTCTGTGCGGTATGCACGTTCACAACCCACAGTGGCGCGTCTGCGCATGCACGGGTTGCAATTCGGCGCTTCTGTGCATGTTCGACCCCCAAAACCAAAATATTATGCAAAATTTGATTACCCTTATCACATATATATAAAAAGGCTAATTGAAAAGTTGGGGTAATACGTCCGTTTAAGATCTTATCAATATCTCTGTATAATGTTGCCCAGATTTATTGAACTCCAGTACAGCTGCACCATAGGTAGAGATACGATCCAATTTCTGAACATCCCCTCCACCACCTTAGAAGTGGAGATGAATTTATATAAAAGAGTCTTCTAGGAGTCTTGTACTGCTTATGAATCACCTTTAACGACAGTTCTTTATGTTTAGCTGATATATTATGAGAAGAATGGTTCCCCCCCCCCCCACATGGCTAAGTATCTTCAGTTATGTCACATTCTAAATCAGTGTTCCAGGACATTTTTAAACCCGTTTGGTGTCTGGGTTCATATTTGAGCAAAATTTTATAAATATTTTAGATTATACCTTTTGAATAGTGTGAAAAAATAAGAATTAATTTTTCAAAATGGGAAAAATTACATGTGGGAGAGGTCTGAACCATTTTGCTGTGAAGAAAAGCACTAATTTGTTGCCATTTCACTGTGATGTGGATGATTCCTAATTTATTTTTAATTTCCTTTCCCCCCATAGGCTTCCCATTCATGTACTTTCTTGTTTTTTTCTTCTGACCTACAACCCCTTCCCCTTCTCAGAAAAGCGAGGCCTTGCGAATGCAGTATCGCTATTTGGACCTGCGGAGCGCCCAGATGCAGTACAACCTACGAATGAGGTCCCAGGTGGTGATGAGAATGCGGGAATACCTCTGCAATCGTCATGGTGAGAGAAGTGCAGAGAAGTGGACAGGGGGTGTAGCTCAGTGGTAGAGTACCCGCTTTGGGTCTCTTCTCTGGCTCATTCCTTGACAGGCCTGAGAATATCCCCTGCCTGAAACTGACAGTACTGTTGACAGTAGATGGACCAGTGGTCTGACCTGGTTTCAGGCAACTTCCTTTGTTTCTAACTCATAACAGCAATTTAGTAATGCCTTTTTTTTTCTCCTTTTACTCAATAACAAGTGATATATGAAATATGTTTTAGGCTTTGTGGATGTGGAAACGCCAACACTATTCAAGAAGACTCCAGGGGTAAGTATTTTCTCTGTGTATATTGCTTTGTAAAAGTTTCTAATTGTTTGATTCAGAAAGGATTTTCATCAAAGTGGGAGGTTGAAGACAGCCATTACTCTTCCAGAGTGTCAGAGATTATTTGAAGCCGCTGTCTCTGCCCTCAAAACAAATATTTTCTCTCTCAATCCTGAGTTCTGAAAAAGAGGGTGAGTTCTGGAAGAAGGGCGTTGGTATGCTAGCAGAAATTTGAGTTTTAACAAGGGAAGAAAAGAAAAAGCAAGCAAGTCCAAGTTCAGGTTCTGGTCAGGTAATCTCAGGCAAGACATGGATCAGTTTGCATAAATCAATATTCCCTGCCTGACATCCTCTAGATGTTTTGAGCTACCACCCCCGTTATCCCCAACCATTAACCCTGCTGGCTGGGGCTGACAGGAATTGTGGTCCAAAACATCTGAAGGGGAGCAGGTTGGGGGGAAGTTGCCATAAGGCAAGGACAAGCAGATTAGAGGTCAGATTCTTACAAGGCAAAGCAAGTAGCACCCTGGGGAGCTGCATCTGAAGCTCAGACTGAGCAGGCTCCAGTGTTGCTTTCAAGCAAACCCAGACGGAGCCTTCTTCAGGGGTACAACTCCGTCTGAGTGGCTAGCTGCACCTTCAGTCTTGTCTCCAGGAGATGTGGAATTGAATCTCAAAGAATCATAGAATTGTAGAGTTGAAAGGGACCCCAAGAGTCATCTAGTTCAATCCTTTGCAATGCAAGAATAGAACTAATAGCACTAATAAAACTGGACATCATAGTTTAAGAATAGATGTAAGGGTCCAATACATGTTGAGGGGGGCCTTCCCTTCAATATTCCCGTGACAGCTGTTTTGCTGTATTCGTACTGTTGTTGGTGACTGTCTTGAACATCACTTGTTGAAAAAAACAAGTTACAGGGTTTAACTTAATAACTAATAAATTAAAGCTTAGCTCTATTGTAGATATTTCTGTTAGATCAGGGGCCTCCTGTATGGTGGGTGGGAGGAACTGTGTGTACAAAGTTGAATCATGTTTACGTTATTTTTTAGTTGCTGGTTTTCTTAGCATTGTTTTATAGATTGTAATTGTTTTACTGGTGATATTTATTAATTATATGTTTTCTGCTGTACTTGTGATGTTCCATTAGGTTATAATTATTTATTTTTGCAAGCCACATTAGGGTTTGTTTGAGTGGAAAGCAGCTTAGAAATGCAATCACTCAATCCTGGGGGGGTCATGACACTTGCTTTGTGAAGGGATGATTAAGTGGATTGTGGGAGTTTTGTGCCTCTGGCCTCAACTCCCATGGCGTGTGGCTCCCACTGCCATCTGAAGTGGGGAAGCCTCTAGGAGTGCTTCAGACCATGGATCTATTATTGTGCAGGGTTTCAGGAGCTAGGGAAACTTACACACACAGTGTTCCCTGCCTTAGGTGCCCCACACTAATGTGTAGATGGGGGTCAGGTGGAGCCATATGCCATGCAGTGCCCCTTCATGCAAGTGTGCATGAAGTTTCAGGCTGAATCAAAGAGAAGCCTAGTCGCCTTCTGATGCTGAATGTATTACAACTTTGAGGGAACACCGATGCAACAGCATCCATGAGATCACCAGTCTCCCATTTCTTCTCCACCACAAAACAGTTTTAGTTTATCATTTGTTATTTAATTTTAAAAAGGTGAACTGTAAATATGTGTAAGCTTCTGAAAAGAGGACGTGAACATCCCACCTGACTTGCAAGGGGGGAGGTGAAACTAAGGTTAACATGTTTATCAGGTGAGATTGTTTTGTGCCAATAGATGTGAAACTGGGTTCTAAGGGCAGAAGAAGAACCTGCTCTACCATTGGAAATAAATATAATGTGTTTATTTGCCTCTGGTGTGTTTTAGGAACCCACATTAGTACTGACAATTATCATTATTGCATGGCAACAACTGCGACATGCAGGAGACATGATTTGGGTTTGGTGAGCAAAGTGCATTAGTGGGTAAATGCTGTGGGAGGGTGTTGAATCTTTCAAAGGGAGCTTGGTGGAGGCAAAAAATATTTGGGGACCTGTTTTGTGCCTTACTGATCTGAAGTATAAGTTTCTGCATTTTTAAAGTCACTGCAATTCCTGCTGTCCTACCCTTCTTTTAATACCAGGGTGCAAAGGAATTTGTGGTGCCCTCACGAGAGGCTGGGAAGTTTTACTCACTGCCCCAGAGTCCTCAGCAGTTTAAGCAGCTATTGATGGTAGGAGGCCTGGACAGGTGAGTTTCTTGGGAACCTCCTGGTAAAAGGAATGTTACACGAGTGTCTCCTCCTACATCAGGGAATGGAAACCCCGTTCCCTAGAGTGGGGTGGGGGTTGGGCGGCAGAGGTAACTTGTCACAGAAACTGACACCACCCTAATAAGAAGAATAGGGTTCACAATAAAGTTGGCACTGCCTAGTACCTGAGGACAAGCCACTGCAAATCTGCTCAGCAGGAATGCATTCTCACGGTGCTTTGGCAAGGTAAAGGGTAAAGGTAAAGGACCCCTGGACAAAAGGGCCCCTGCTCATAGCAATGTGAGACCCCCCTGCTGTCTCCTGAATTAGTGGAGCAGTTGCACTGCTGAGTTGTAAGGCAAACAGAAGCAGCAGTAGAGACACAAACCTCAGCAGTGTGGCGGAGAATCTCCTTTTCTCTTCTCCTCCCCTAGCTTTCTCTGGCAGTGCAGAGGAATTGTTCTGCAGACAGGTCAGTGGTGACACCAAATTAGAACTTGACAGGTAATCAAGCCAAAGTGTGTGGAGCACTGAGTACTGGTTCAACGATCATGAAAAATACTCACTTGGGCATAAACCTCCTTCCTCGGACCACTGATTATTCCTTCTCTTCTGTGTCCACTAGCTTCGTGCTAGTTATCATAGCCACTACTCAAGCAGCTCTTTCCTTCTGCCTGCCGATAGTGAATATCTTTGGGAAAAATGCTATTAATACTTTGTAAGCAGAATGGTGACAGTGGTGACCTTCAATTCCAATGGCAGGTACTTCCAAGTAGCCCGCTGCTATCGAGATGAAGGTTCCAAGCCAGACAGGCAGCCTGAATTCACTCAGGTAATTTATATCCTTTGCTATGTATTTTTTACAATTTGATGTAAGATTTAAAAGCTCTAAGGAAATCTTGGACACGTGATCGGCACAACTTGTACAGCAGTTACAAGACATGATCTTTTTGTAACATAAAGTGTCCTTTTGCTACAGTGTTTAAAACAGTAATTTCTAACATCCCAAAAACACATTAAGGACCAAGCCAAAAAGTTAAGGTGTGTCAAGTGTCAATTACTGTGGGATTAGAACTTTGGCAAAATATTCCCTGGGAGCTTTTCACACCTGGGCAAATTAATTTGCTGTAAGGAAGGTTTCCTACTGTAAGCTTCAGATGCATCTGATAAAGTGGACCGTAGAACCTGAAAGCTTATGCAGTAATAAATGCATTGGTCTACAATCCTATCCCCACTGACTGTAAGAGGTGTAGTTCCTTTGAAGGGTATATATTGTAAAAAAAAAAGGTTTTAAGTTACAACAAGGAGTAGTGACATTGAAATATTACAAACGAATCTCCAGTGCCAAATCCCCAAAGTGCAAATCCTCCAGTTTGAAATGGGTGCTGTGAACCTCAATAAATTATTTTAATTTATTATCTGTCCTTCACCATAAGGTCCCATTATGGGCTAAAACAACTTAAAATCACAAAACTAGGGTGGGTTGTAAAAATATACATCTCAGGTGTTAAAAGTCAGAGGTGCAACTTCAGTATTTGTTGAAAAATGTATAGTGGTTAGGTGCAAGCTTACTTACTTGATTTGGGGTTCGGCAGCTGTCCCCCTGCCTCCCCTGGCTACGACCATGCCTGGAAATGAACTGGCAACCAGTGCAATTGTTTTAAAACATGTGGTCTGAATTTTGAAGGGAACCCCAACCAATAATCTGGCTGCTACACTTTGGTCCAGTTGAAGTTTCTGAGTAATCTTTAGGCACAGCACCACATAGAGCGCATTGCAATAATCCAGTCTAGAAGTTACCAGAGCATGGAGTACAGTGGTCAGTTCCCCACCCTCCAAAGGGGCTGTAACCAGTGAGCTAGCCAGAGCTGAAAAAAGGTACACCTGGCCACTGAGCCTGGATTCAAACACCTGTATCTTTTCCAGAATTTAGCTTCCATTGTACTTCTCTTGTTTCAGTTATAAATATCTATTTTGTAAGAGTTTTAGATACGGAAAAATAATGTTCTTATGGTGCCTTTGAACGTTACTTATTCCCCTCCCTTTTTGTCTCTCTTTAATTCCCCCTCCCTCAAGATTGATATTGAGATGTCATTTGCAGACCAAACTGGGATTCAGGCTTTAATTGAGGGCTTGCTGCAGTATTCCTGGCCTGAGGAGAAGGGACCCATCACAATACCTTTTCCATCCATTACCTATGATGAAGCTCTGGCCACCTATGGGACCGATAAGCCAGACACTCGCTTTGAAATGAAGGTGTGTTCTGGAAACTAAGTCCTGTTCAGGAAAGTTTACAGAGTTGGGTATGATAGTTACTTATGTTTTAATCAAATTTCTTAACCATCCTTTACTATATAGCTTTACATAGCTGTAAGGAAAGATACACAGGCTGCAGCCTACTGCTTTCCTCAGTTGGTGGTAAACCTGCTTCAAAGCTCTAAGCAACAAGTGCAAATGCCTTTTCAAAATTGTATTAAATGATCATTGTTTCTGTATGTGCACAGAAAGCACAACAAGAGTTGCACATAAAAGCAAGTAGTCTTTTTAGTTCCTACAGTATCGCAAGGTCTACTTGGTCAGGTGCATCAGTGAACTGTGGCCCACAAAAATGTAGCACCACAATAAAAAATTGTTGTCTTTAAAGGGCCAGAAGACTCTCTTTGCAGCAATGTTCAAATCAACAGTGTGGCCAGGTGGGAGACCATGATTTGGCTAAACTTGTTTGGGGGGGCAGTTTAGGCATAGGCCGCCATCTACCCCCCTCCTTCAAGTACTGCTTTGGTGTCTTTGCTGCAGCAGACTAACATGGTTAGAACTTGAGTCATGTAAGGAATAATTATTCCAAAAACTTCTGTTGTGATTCACTGTGAATGGGTGTGCAGGGGGGGCAGCAAAGAGTAGCTCTCTAGACGTTTACTAATGTTGTGGCTTGTGCAAAAATTGACAACTGGCATGCAGAAATAATGGGGGTGGAGAAATGAAAAGCTCTTGGTGGCCAAAGTGTGTGTACACATCCACCAACATCCCTGCCGGTTGCCTGTTTTTGCAGTGCTTGAAGGTGGTGGTTCAGCAGGCTATCTCTCTTATGTGTCATGTGCTGCCATAACAACCCTCCAACTTCTTACTTCTAATGCTCAGATCATTGATGTCACTGATGTGTTCAGGAACACAGAAGTTGGAGTTCTACAGAAATCTCTCAGTGAGTCCCGGGGCACCGTCAGAGCTATTTGCATTCCACAGGGAGCGGTGAGTAGTTCTGCTCTCTTTTCCAAATGTTGTTTGTAATGTTGCTCTTTATATACCATCCGTACAAAAGGGTTCTTGACTCTTCCCCTGCAGAGATCAGTAACAGTAGAACCAACTATCTGACTAACCAACTAGCAACTCAGGTCATGTGGGCAGGGGGGGGTGTTGCAGTGATTTTTAGGAAGTCATTAGTCTGCACCAGGCGTCCTATTGGGAAGACCCAATTTTCTGAGTGCATGTTCTGGAAGTTGGGCAATAGGGGCAGTACAGGATTCCTACTGGTGTACCGACCTCCCCGCTGCACCAAGGATTCCCTGCCCGAGCTGCTTCAGGTCGTGGCGGATATGCTCCTGGAGACACCTAGCTTGGTTGTCCTAGGGGATTTTAACATCCATGCCGACACGACCTTACAAGGGGCCGCTCAGGACTTCGTGGAAAGCATGGCCTCCATGGGGCTGTCCCTGAATAAGTTTGGCCCAACTCATAGCCGCGGACATGCCTTGGACCTGGTGTTTACCTCTATGGATGTTGGTGATCTGACATTAACTAAAAGCGAAACAAAAGAAGTGCCATGGTCAGATCACTTCCTGGTGCAACTGGACGTCTCCGCAACCCTTCCCCTCTGCAGGGAGGTGGGACCGATTCGAATGGTCCGCCCCCGCCACTTAATGGATCCAATTGGCTTCCAGAGAGTGGTAGGGCATGTTTTGTCCCAAGTTGATGGCCTTTCAGCTGATTCCCTGGTGGCCCGCTGGAATGCGGAGTTAAACAGGGCTATTGACTGTCTGGCTCCGAAGCGCCCTCTCCGATTGCATGGAGCCCGGACAGCTCCGTGGTTTTCCCCGGAGCTGAGGGTGATGAAACAATCGTTGAGACGGCTAGAGCGCCGGTGGCGGAAAACTCATTCTGAATCAGACTGGACACGGGCTAGAGCTCAACGTCGAGCCTACCAAGTGGCAATGGCGACGGCGAAGAGGGCCTTCTTCACCGCCTCCATTGCATCTGCAGAAAACAGCAGCAGGAGACTTTTTCAGGTGGTTCGCAATCTATCGGAACCACCTGCACCACCGGGGCCTGGTAGGGACCCCAAGATCTCCTGCAATGCTTTTGCAAATTTTTTGCAGATAAAGTCGCTCAGATTCAGAAGGAGGTAGACTCCACCGTGGGAGCAGGGCCAGGGTGGGAGAGTGCTAGAGTTCTGTCTAGTCCTGTTACATGGGATCAATTCCAATCTGTTACCTCCGAGGATGTGGACAGGCTGCTTGGACAAATGAAACCGACCACCTGTCTCCTTGATCCTTGCCCATCCTGGCTGATAAAAGCGAGCTGGGAAGGGCTGGGTGATGGGCTCTGCGAGGTGGTGAATGCTTCCCTCTGTGAGGGAGCCTTCCCAGACCCGCTGAAAGAGGCGGTCATTAAAACGCTTCTTTAAAAAACATCTTTAGACCCAGCCAATTTGGCCAACTATCGCCCAGTCTCAAATTTACCATTCTTGGGCAAGGTGATTGAGCGGGTGGTTGCCAAACAACTCCAAGCACGCCTGGAGGATGCGGACCATTTGGATCCCTTCCAATCGGGATTCAGGCCTCACCATGGGACTGAAACTGCCTTGGTCGCGCTGGTTGATGATCTCCGGCAGGCTAGGGACAAAGGTGAGAGCTGTTTCCTAGTTCTGCTGGATCTCTCAGCGGCCTTTGACACCATCGACCATAACATCCTTCTGGACCGTCTAGAGGGGCTGGGAGCTGGGGGCACTGTTATACAGTGGTTCCGCTCCTTCCTCCTGGGCCGTGTTCAGAAAGTGGTGGTGGGGGATGAGTGTTCAGACCCCTGGGCCCTCACTTGTGGGGTGCCTCAGGGTTCTGTCCTCTCCCCCATGCTGTTTAACATCTATATGAAGCCGCTGGGAGAGATCATCAGGGGGTTTGGACTGGGTGTTCATCAGTATGCAGATGACACCCAGCTCTACCTCTCCTTTAAATCAGAACCAGTGAAGGCGGTGAAGGTCCTGTGTGAGTGCCTGGAGGCTGTTGGAGGATGGATGGCGGCTAACAGATTGAGGTTGAATCCTGACAAGACAGAAGTACTGTTTTGGGGGACGGGGCGGGTGTGGGGGAACTCCCTGGTCCTGAATGGGGTAACTGTGCCCCTGAAGGACCAGGTGCGCAGCCTGGGAGTCATTTTGGACTCACAGCTGTCCATGGAGGCACAGGTTAATTCTGTGTCCAGGGCAACTGTCTACCAGCTCCACCTGGTAAGCAGGCTAAGACCCTACCTGCCCGCGGACTGTCTTGCCAGAGTGGTGCATGCTCTAGTTATCTCCCGCTTGGACTACTGCAACGCGCTCTACGTGGGGCTACCTTTGAAGGTGACTCGGAAACTACAACTAATCCAGAACGCAGCAGCCAGACTGGTGACTGGGAGCGGCCTCCGAGACCATATAACACCGGTCTTGAAAGACCTACATTGGCTCCCAATACGTTTCCGAGCACAATTCAAAGTGTTGGTGCTGACCTTTAAAGCCCTAAACGGCCTTGGTCCTGTATACCTGAAGGAGCGTCTCCACCCCCATCGTTCTACCCGGACACTGAGGTCCAGCGCCGAGGGCCTTCTGGCGGTTCCCTCACTGCGAGAGGCCAAGTTACAGGGAACCAGGCAGAGGGCCTTCTCGGTAGTGGCGCCTGCCCTGTTGAACGCCCTCCCAGCAGATGTCAAAGCAATAAACAACTATTTTACTTTTAAAAGACAACTGAAGGCAGCCCTCTTTAGGGAAGTTTTTAATGTTTGATGCTGTACTGTTTTTAATATTCAGTTGGAAGCCACTCAGAGTGGCTGGGGAAACCCAGCCAGATGGGCAGGGTATAAATAATAAATTATTATTATTATTATTATTACTACTACTACTTTTAGAAGACATCTGAAGGCAGCCCTGTTTAGGGAAGTTCTTAAGGATTGATGCTTTTATTATGTTTTTAGATATGTTATAAGCAACCCAGAGTGGCTGGGGAAACCCAGCTGGATGGGCGGGATAGAAATAAAATTATTATTATTATTATTATTATTATTACCAAAGACTGAATGAAAAGTGAACAGGACTCAAAACACTATTAAATATATATAATGGGAGATATATTGGATTTAATATCCCGCTTTATCACTACCCGAAGGAGTCTCAAAGCAGCTGACATTCTCCTTTCCCTTCCTCCCCCACAACAAACCCTCTGTGAGGTGAGTGGGGCTGAGAGACTTCAGAGAAGTGTGACTGGCCCAAGGTCACCCAGCAGCTGCATGGGGAGGAGCAGGGAATCAAACCCGGTTCACCAGATTATGAGTCTACTGCTCTTAACCACTACACCACACTGGCTCTATCGTTCTTAAACATTTTTATAGACATAAACATTTTTATAGACATAAAAATAAAATAGACAGGTCGATCCCTGGTTGATAGCGGTTGATCGCGGGCTCGTTTTCCTCCGCGGGGGGAAAGGAGCACCTGGCCCCGCCCCCTCGCTCTGTCCTTTATTCGCACACGATTTCAAGAAGGAAAGACAGAGTTAACGCTCGCGGGTTTACTACTTGTTCAGCGATTTATGGCACGTGCCCCCCCTATGGTCATATCAATCACAAGTCTTTACTTATGGAAAAAGGGGGTGTGGAATGATCCTGTCTTCATCCCAACCTTCCTCCAAGGAGCCCAGGATAGTGCATATGTGTTGTTGTTTGTTGAGCCTATTTATACCCCACATTCTAATGGGAGTGCTCAAGGTTGTTTACAATGTAGTTGGGTTTTTTTAAAGTATATCTACAGTAATGATTGACATGGTCTATATGATGTTATACTCATAGCAAACCAAAGACGTAGACTATGCTGCCCAGTAGACTAATGGTAATTAACCCAGAGCCACCTGATGGCTGAGTTGAGGTCTCAGTGGTTCAAGTCCTACACCAGGGGAGAACCTGTGGCCCTATGTTATGTCAGGGCAAGGTAGGCATCTAGTGGTCTACTTTGGGAGCCCTTGGAATTTGGTGTTTGGTGTATGTCACTTGGCTGTGTCACTGTTGTTACACTTTCATATAGTGGGGAGGTTGAACACAGCGCAGTTCTTCCAATAATGGAGAAACTTTCTTAACAGTTTAAATTTGCAGGAGCTCATGCAAATAGAGGACTTTCAAATACTTGCCTTTTTTCTCTCATGTTGATGGTACCTGAGAGAGGTTATTCATTAAACCTGGGCACATTAAATATAATTTTTGCACTGTCGTGGCTGTGCTTTTATTGTACCTAAGAACTGCCAAAGTTTTCTTTGCCAGGAATTACTGTATTCATTACAAGTTTACTTTCCTTGTATTTTGTTGTTGTTCTCTTTTAGTTTTTGTTCAGCTATCTTGCTTTGTATTCTGCATATTGCTTTTATAAGGTAATTGATTCCTTGTAAAAGTGTAACATGGGGAGTTTTAAAATACAATGTGAAAAAGTTTAATAAAATAGGGAGCATTAACCACCACCACTCAGCATAATTTTAGGAACAAACAGATGAAGGTAATAATAATGCCCTTCAGAGTATATAGGCTTAATTGAATGATCTGTTCTTCTCTGTTGTTATCTTTTATTTAGAAACATCTTCGGAATAAAGATTTGGAGTCATTAAATGAATTGGCAAAATCCCAGTTTAACCAGGTAAGGCACAGAAACTTCCACTACCATCAGTACAGTGGTACCTCTTATTACAAACAGGATCCGTTCCGGATCCCCGTTCGCATCCTGAAGCGACTGTAACCCACGCATGCACGGGGCACGATTCGTCACTTCCGTGCATGCGTGTGACGTCATTTTGACAGTCTGCGCATGCACAAGCAGCGAAACCTGAAAGTAACACGTTCCGTTATTTCCGGGTCACCACGGAGCGCAACCCGAAGGCGCTCAACCTGAAGCATATTTAACCCGAGGTATGACTGTAATTTTCTTCTAAACTGCGTGAGATGTGATGTTGCTCAGCTCTCATTCCTTTCAGTGAGGCTGGGGCAGGAGGAATTTCCCATTAATTGATTGTTCATCCGCTGGTGTTAATTTGAAGAGAGAAGATAAGAGAGTTGAATGCAAACAATACATGAGAACAAGATCAAAATTAAGTGAGAACAAGATCAAAATTAGCTCTGAGGACAGGTCTGTCCAGGACTACTAGCCATAAGTGATCATATTTGATGGTTTTGATCCCTGGATGCTGGGGATGAGGAGCGTGGAATGAGTATCGCCATCATGCTCTGCTCTGCAAGAAGTAGCTGGTTGGAGATAAAATGCTGCACCCAAATCTGATCCAGAAAGGCATTTGCTAGTGTTTGCAGTCTTTGCATTAAATAAAAATATTCAAACATTATTAGACCATGCATCTTGGCCACCAACCACAGAACAAGAACGAGCACCTGAGGTGCATAAGGAGCTGCGTAGCTGAGTGTGGAGTTGTGTAGCAGGATTTCAGAGCTATTTTCCTGTGTCTTTGCTCATGGGAAATAGAGTATCTGAAATTTATCAGGTAACACTTGGGGTTTGAAGTATTCTGGGGAGTTGGATTGAGCTGTGCCAGGCCTTTCCACACCACAATGGTAACTGCTTTAGAATTATGATTACCATTTGTGTCTCCTCTTCTTCAGTTTGCTCCCTACCTTGCCTCCTTTCCATGCTTTCAGGAATATGGTCATTCTTTTGCAGAAAGCCCGCAAGCAAATGATGGCTATATAAAATTGGGTTGGTTTTTTTTTTTATTAAACCTTTGTCAGTTGTGTTCATTGCTGACATGGATTTGGACTACTTGTATCTGCTTGCTTTTTCTGGAACTGCCTAAGTTTCCCTTCTGCCCTTCTCTCCTGAACAGGGAATATTGCACTTCATTTTGAGGTCTGATGGCAGACTTGGTAAGTTCCTGAATGAAGAACAAAAACTGGAGCTTGTCAGAGCACTTCAGGCCAATGTGGATGACGTCGTGTTGCTGGCAGCTGGAGAGCATGAGAAAGTGGTAAGCAGAATATTTGACTTTGTAACTTATAAAGTAGCACTATATGCCTTGGCAGCTAAGAAGATCAGGAGAAAAGAACTAGATAAAATAGCGGTCAGTTGCAAAGGTGATTCGGACATTTAAGCTGGCACATTCTATATGAGAACCCCCTGCTATTCTATCGTATGCAACAAATAATTTTTAGGAGAAGTGATCGTGGTTTATTGTATCTGCAGTGTCTGATGTTTTTATGGTTTTTATGCTTATTGTTGCTTTTCTTTTTGTTCCCATTGTGAATGATGCCATGGCCTTTGGCTAGTGCAATAAAGTTTATTATGATGGTGGTAAGGAGAATATTGGGTCCCCAAGTCTTTTATTGTTCTCATCAGCATAATTACTGTCAAGTTTTCTGCTTGATCAGCTGTTTCAGATCAGCAGAAGATTTGGCAGGCCCACCTCCTTGGTGGTGTTTAGACAGCAACCGAAGGCTGTTCAGTTCTGATGTACCTATCGCATAACCAGTTTCAGGTTTTCCCACTCCCCTTTTGTAAATCTGTTTTATGTGCAGTTTTCCATTAGTATATTAAAACACATTATTGTTTAAGAAGTGTGTTAGACACCTTGGAATGGAAAGGCAGGATATAAAATATTTTAATTCCTCAAAGTTGAACATAGCCTAAGTACCATATATGATGACTTCCACAACCTTAACAGCTCTCCAGCTGTGTTTAGGCTGATGAGTGGAAAGTTCCTTATTCCTACTCTGCTGTAAGACTTTTAAAACCTTGACTAATTCCCCCAGATCATCTGCAAGGTCAGAATGTTTCCCATTTCTCTCATAGAGCCAAAGGATGGCTTTATAGCTGAGGCACTCCTTATAAAACAGAGACCATATGTTATATCCCAATGTAATGTAGTTTTGAGAATTTTTAAAGTAGGAAGTACAAACTCAATGTCAGATAACTTGGATGCAAGATGGCTAAATAGCAGCTGTTTTATATTAGAAAGTGTTTTCTACCTTTTTTGATGTTTGAAGAAATGTAAGTTTAATCCAAGAAATCTTAAGTGAAGCATCCACTAAATTATCTGCCTCTGTTATTCACTCAATAAAATAATGTGTAGAATATGAATGTTGTTGCCTTAAGCTACAGTCTTTCTCTCTCCCCCCCCCCCCCCCGTTCTCTTTAGTGTTCTACATTGGGAAAGTTGCGCTTGGAGGCTGCTGATCTTCTGGAAGCAAGAGGCCTGTCCCTTCGCAACCCCTCTGCCTTTCATTTCCTATGGGTGGTGGATTTCCCCCTTTTCCTCCGGAAAGAAGAAAACCCCAGGCAGTTGGAGTCAGCTCACCATCCCTTCACTGCCCCCCACCCCTCTGATGAGCACCTCCTCTATACAGATCCTGCCAAGGTGACTTGGTGCCTTTTTTGTTTTTTGTTTAGTGTATTCAAAGAAGCCATGCAGGGTTAGAAAAGGAAAGGCAAAACAGCCTTGGAGGATTGTTCCACTCCCTTGAGCAGATTTCTGTCTCTGATGGAGCTAGTATTCACCGTAGTTCAAAGCATTTTTATTGTAGCTAGTTTTCAATAGCTAACATTAAGTTGGTTTTACTTTTGCTGTTGGTACAATCCAGCCCATTTTTCTTTCAATGAGATACGTCACCAACCAGGACAGCTGGATCCATAACTTCCTGAATCCCTAAATAACTCTGCCTCACCTGGATTTATTGATTCCATCCAGGCACTCAGGAACTTCATTGCATAGTGGTGAGCTTTCACCCCAAAATCTCCAGAAGATCTTACCAAGCAGTTTCCTGTATTGGTTATATAGTGTGCAGCATAGGAATTTGTAAGCCTAACACCCAAGAAGCCAAATAGTAATCCTTGCCAGCACCACCTTTTGGAATCTACCTACAAGATAGGAGCAAGAACGCTACTGTTGAGAGGTGTGTAAATGGAAAACTCAGGTTCTTCCTGAAAAGCATGGAGAGATAGAAGGAAACCAAAGATGTGTCAGCCTTACAGTTGAAGGAAAATAGAGGTGGCATCATGCACCGATGATTTATAGGATTTATTTTAATGACCTGTGCTTTCAACCCATTAATTGCAGTGGCCCGTTGCAATTCACTGGATTTTAACTTTTGCTAGATAATGCTTTACAATATAAAAATTGGTTTTTAATAGATGTTTGTTTTCACAAGCCTTGTGTTTTGAGCAGTAGAAGTCTAGAAATGTAGCAGCAGTGGTAGAACTGGGGAAATGTGGAAGTGTGTGATACTGTGGAATTACGTTACTTGGGTCTTTGGACCCCCAATTTCTATCTACCCTGTCTCTAAGCAAATTTCCACCTAGTTCAATAGCACTCTCAGGAGAGATTGTATTTCACACAGATGCAAAGGGTACAAAGAGAAGTATATAGTCAAATTCTCTTCCTGTTCTTTCCAGGTCCGCGGCCAGCACTATGATCTGGTGCTTAACGGTAATGAGATTGGAGGTGGCTCCATTCGAATACACAACGCAAAGCTGCAGCGTTTCATTCTTGAGACAGTGCTGAAGGTAATAGCAAAAGTGATTCTGCATATTATTATTTAAAACATTCAATCATACACTGCTCCTCATCCTATTGGATTTCACAGTGAGCTTCAATCAATATATGATGGTATCAACCAGCTAGTCTGCATGCTTAGTTTTTGCACAATTTTTCTTGTTCGGCAGCAGCCTACTTCATCAGAAGAGGGAGAAGAGGACTATGCAGATTGCAGCTCACAAGTGAATTCCCTGTGTTTCACACTTACACTGAGAAAATCTGAGCTGAGCCACACATGCTCACAGAAGGGGGAGGGGAGCAGGGATTAGAAAGCAGGTTTACCAAGTCTGGCCCTTTAAGTCATGCTGGTTATTAATACTTGCTTTTTTCTAGGAGGACACAGAGCTGCTTTCTCACCTGCTTGAAGCACTGGACAGTGGGGCACCTCCGCATGGAGGAATAGCATTAGGTCAGTATCTGCTTTTACTTGAATCACAATGAACACTGACCATCAACACTAATATTACTTTTCATTGATACATTACACATACCCTGATGCTGGAGTGATTAAACTAACAGTTCCTGAATTAATCTAGCCTTCCACCATGCCCCAGTTGTAGTCCCTAAGAAAAACACGTTTGGATGAGCAGCATTTGTGGCAATCTGATTTCGCTGTGGGCTATTTTATTACCTGGGCACGTGTGTGTGTGTGTGCGCGCGCGGACTAACCTCACCCTTGTCAAAGTCAGTTCAGAAAAGCATGTGGTTTTAACGCAAAAAAATGTATTAGACATACACGGTACTCTTTTAAAAAGTCTGATTGCAGATTCTACACCTTGGGAAAATTTGCACATAATCCAAGTGCTCTAGATCACCACATTGCTGCAAAAGCCCTCAGTCATTTAATCTGCGCCTCAAATATGTTTGCTAGTTAGACTCCCAAGTGCAAGCAAAACCGCTTTCTGAATCTCATGAATAGAACTGCAGCCAACAGCCATCCTGGATGGGAAAGCCCTCACACCAAGAACAATGAACACAAGATCTACATATGTTCATGCACACTTCCAGTCTGTTTTGTTGCTAGAAGCAGAGCTTGAAATAAACAGTTCCAAATGTGCTGCTTGTTAGAGGCCACACATCTGGTGACAAAATCAAACATTATTATACTCGAGTCACTTTATTTAGCATTATTGTTTGCATGCACAATATATATTGGTCATGGAAAGGTTTTGGGGCTATGGAAGAATGGCCTCACAGCCAGACTAATCTTCCCAATGCCCATTGAAATTTGATGCTGCCACTAATAGTCAATGTCTGTCTTTTAGGACTTGACAGGCTGATTTGCCTTCTAGTAGGAGCTGCAAGTATCCGAGATGTCATTGCCTTCCCCAAATCGTTCAAGGGAAGAGACCTGATGTGCAATTCTCCAGATTACATTGCCCCAGAAGAGCTTGAACCATACCATGTCAAGATTGCAGAGCCCATGCCAGAAGTGAAAGTGAAAAGTAACTGACTAGTGTACATGACAGAAATGAAGAGTAAAACATCCAGTAGTGAACCCATTGGATTTTTGGAACTGTTAGGTTGGTCTCCTGTACTTGCTTTTGATGGGAAAATGGAGCGCTTCACACTACAGCAGGTCCCTTTGAGCATGTCTGCTGGAGAAATCAGGCACTAGTGACTAGATGGGTGCATGAGAAAGGGCATCAGGGTGAGGTGTTATCCTGTCTGTCCCACTCACAAGGGTTTTAAAAAATCAGTGACTTGAGCCAAGTGAAGAATTGTTTGTAAGCACAGGCTATAATTCATTTTTTATTGCAAGTTTTTGTACTATTTTGTAAAACACAGTAAAAACTAGTTGTATGATTCAGATTTTGGAGCTCTCAGAAGTGTTTAGGAAGCTATTTTTCTAATTAACTTTAGATCCCACCTCAAGGTGCCATACATGAGTACTCTCATTTTACCCTCAAAATACTGTGAGGTGGGCTCAGCTGCTTCAGTAGCATGACAATTGGGGGGGGGGGTAAGTAGGGCATCAGAACATAATAAACCATAATAAACTGCTAGCTCTTGCCCAGCGCAACTTTTTAGAATAATTAGGTCTTTACAACTCTAGAGGAACAGCCAAATTTAAATACGAATTTGACCCACAGGTGTGAGGCATTTGCAAGCTTTTTTGCGGAGAAAGTCTTGCTGCTCCGCTGTGACCTCCCTTCCAATTTGGATACAGTAACAGAATTGGAGGCTCCTCGACTGTCCTTGGGTCCAGTATTGGACCACTTCGATCGGATTCCTCCGAGCTGGAAGGCCCACCACTTGCCCCCTTGACCTGTGCCCGTCTTGGCTGATTAGAGCGTGTCCAGACGAGGTGCAGGCCCCCCTGGGTGAGATCATCAATCAGTCCCTTGGCACGGGGACTTTCCCAGGGGAGTTGAAGTAAGCAGTGGTGTGTCTGCTCTTAAAGAAAAAATCTGTAGAGCCTTTAAATCTATCCAATTACCGTCCGGTTTCAAATCTTCTGTACTTGGGTAATTGAGTGAGTGGTTGCTGAACAGCTTGGTAGGTTTCTGGATGAAACATTGGCTCTGGACCCATTTCAGTCCGGCTTTCGCCCTGGTTATGGAACCGAGACGGCTTTGGTTACCCTAACAGATAATCTCCATAGACAGTTGGATCGAGGCGGGTCGGGACTGCTGATTCTCTTAGATCTGTCAGCAGCCTTCAACATGGTTGATCACGAACTTTTCGACCACCGCCTTGCTGACATGGGGATTCAGGGCAGTGACAATGGCTGCGCTCCTTTATCTCAGGTCGGGGACAGAGGGTGGCGCTAGGGAGTGAGTTGTCGCCATGGCACTCCTTGGTGTGTAGAGTCCCGCAGGGCGCAATCCTTTCCCTGATGCTTTTTAATATCTTTATGCACCCCCTTGCCCAAATTGTCTGGAGCTTTGGGCTGGGTTGTCACCAATATGCTAATGACACTCAGCTTTCTGTTGATGGACGGCCGCCCTGACTTGGCCCCGGGACACACTGATCAGATGCTTGGAAGCTATGGCTGGATGGCTGCGTGGGAGCCGGTTGAAGTTAAATCCTTCAAAGACAGAGGTCCTCTGGCTGGTTCGAGACAACATGGGGTTGGGGGGCCAACTCCCATCTCTTGCAAGGGCTCAGTTAGTGCAAGCCCCTTCTGTCAAGAGCATGGGTGTAACATTCTAGGCCTCCCTTTCCAGGGAGGCGCAGGTTGCAGCCACAGCAAAACTGGCATTTTTCCATCTCCGCCGTATTAAGCAGTTGGTCCCTTCCTTTCTCACCCTGATCTGGCCAGTGATCCATGCAGTCCCCTCCAGGCTTGAATATTGTAACTCGCTCAACGCAGGGCTGCCCTTGCAGCTGGTCCTTGCAGAGGGATCACATTCATCCAGTGCTTTACCAGCTGCACTGGCTCCTGGTGGAGTACAGGGTCAGGTTTAAGGTGCTGGTTTTGACCTTCAAAGCCCTATGCGGCCTAGGACACTTGTACCTACGGGACAGTACATCTCCTGGTATGCCCCAGAGGACCTTAAGGTCCACAAATGACATTTTGTAGGTTCCAGGTCGCAAGGTGACTAGATTGGTCTCAACTAGGGCCAGGGTTTGGACTCAGTCTGACCCTAATGTTTCCCTGCTTATGGTCTTGATTTATTGGCTAGTTTAAAATGAGACTGCATTTTAACCTGTATTTTAAATTGGTCCCCCCCCCTTCCCCAGTTGTGTTTTTACTGCGATTCTATTGGTGTTAGCCGCCCTGAGCACGACTTTGGCTGCGTATAAATAAAATTTATTATATCGAACAAAAGCCAGATTGTTCAATAATCAATTAACAAGCATATTCTTTGCAGAATGCCAATTATTTTAGGCGGTTAATTTGTAGATGCTTCCAGCTGAGACGTACCCTTTTCTCTAATGTGGGCCAATTTAAAGTCGACCTTTGACCACATGAAATCCCACTTTTAACAAACCAAAATCAGGTGAGTGGGAAAGGAGACATTATGAGAAATACAGTGGTGCCCCGCAAGACGAATGCCTCGCAAGACGAAAAACTCGCTAGACAAAAGGGTTTTCCGTTTTTTGAGTCGTTCCGCAAGATGAATTTCCCTATGGGCTTGCTTCGCAAGACGAAACGTCTTGCGAGTTTGTTTCCTTTTTCTTAAAGCCGCTAATAGCTGTGCTTCGCAAGACGAAAAAACCGCAAGACGAAGAAACTCGCGGAACGGATTAATTTCGTCTTGCGAGGCACCACTGTATTAACTCTAAACTGGGCTTTCCTTCATCTGTGCACTAAGAAAAACCTCAGACACAAGAGGGGAAAAGGTGACAGAATCAACCTTGAGAAAGGCACAAGGGTGATCTAGTCCAGCCCCTGGCAACATAGCAAACTTCTCTATGTACAGTGGTGCCTCGCAAGACGAAATTAATTCGTTCTGCGAGTTTTTTCGTCTTGCAAATTTTTCGTCTTGCGAAGCAAGCCCATAGGGGAATTCGTTTTGCGAAGCATCTCAAAAAACGAAAAACTCTTTCGTCTAGCGAGGCACCACTGTATGGTTTACTGTCAAGAAATGGAATCTCATTGCTATTCAACAACTCTACCCATGTTTATACACCCCTGCTAAAAAGAAGCCGACGCAGTTCTGAGGTTGGATTAAATCCTTTATTGAATATATGTATATACCACCCTTCATCCAAGGAATGCAGGGCAGCTGACAATATAGAACCCCCCAAACAAAATGTTTATAAGCCACCCTACGTCCAAACAAGATTGACAATGGTTAAAGATGCACATTCAAACAGGTGAGATCTTCAGACCACCAAATGTCAGGTGTTTATCCTTCCAGCCTTGGCATATAAGGTGGGCCATTATTACAACTCCCCCACCCCCTATAACTTGACCTCATGAAATCCTAGGGTGGATGGCTGTTTTTTAAAAAAGCAATAGAAGTATAAGCACAATTACCACAGACAACCACCAAGTCAAGATTAGCATTGAACAATTACTTCCCCAATGCCAGTTGTGGCTATGCTACTCCTATCCAAAAATGGCAGCTTTACTTATAACTTGCTGCTGCCTAAACAGTTTCTGCCATCTATTTGAATAAACTGTTAGGTATGAGGATGCACATGCTCAGCATTTTCATTTTGACTCAAACATCTGAAGAATCTACATCCATTGTAACCAAAGCTTATATTGACTATCCAGATGTCACAGAATTTACATTCGGGTTCTTCCACTATTTTAAGTTGAATGTCTTCTGGGTAAGGCTGCAACTTCACATCTAGGATGAAGAAGAAAGGGTGTCAAGCCAGTGCATTCCACATAAAACAGCTGCACATACCAGCAAATGAACAGATCAGACCTTGATATTTTCCATCATGTAGTCAGAGAGAGAGTTCAAGGTTATGTTTATCATCATATATCCATTCCCACATCACCATATAGCATTTGATACACAAAACATACCTACCTTTCACATACAACTGTTAGTTCAAGATGTTCACCACCTACGTTTGAAAGAGATACATATAAAAGGGTAAGGAATATGTCTTAAACACAGAATGGACAAAACCACTAAATGATTTGGAATAATCAAGTTGCACAAGTTTGTGAATCAACCCGTTCTGCGGATGGACTTTTCTATTATTTCATTGCAGTAATCATTAACTCCACAGAAGCAGGCTGTGTTGTTACATTTAAAGTTTTACAATAGAATCTGCACATTTAATGTAAGTGAAGGCTTAAAAAAGGGACTTGTGTACTTGTGGTCGGAAGCTAGATACATCAGATAGGAGCGAAAGACAGTTGCAGTTCTTCACCACAGTTCAGTCTGCTGAACTATGTTATCATCACTGTATCTGCTCATTCTTGCCACTCTTCTCCAGACCCTCACATACAGGGGAACATTCAGGTCCAATTTTTGAATATATATTTCTAACACAACCAATGCATGCTTACCAACATAAAATGTTGTGTTCATTTCCCCCTCCAATCCAGAGCGTGTAGCACTTGCATCACACAGGCAGAGTTCTCCAGAACATCCCCCAATTTAATCTGTAATGAAAGATATCTTATGTGCACCCAAGCAGCAATGCACTAAAAGGGAGCACCATTTCTGTACTGTTTCAGTGCAAATTCTCTTCACTTCTTTTCAGAGAGATTCCCATTGTTTTATACAATTTCATCATCAACAGTACAAACATACCGCGTGTGTGTTGAACAAAAATCTCGGCAGATGCAGTATTTGATTAACATTTAGTTGGGCCCTGGTCAACAGCTTGGAGTTCCCTGCCACCTCTATCACTTACACTTGATTTATACCGTTGGCACTGGGTGGCCATGGGAAGGGTTCTTAACAGTGATACGTGCCATTTTTACAGCTTACCAGTGTATTGTGAAGCTCAGGCCTCTCCTCGCCATCAGTTTCCACTGTGTCTAAAAAAAGATATTTTCCATAGTTTAACCCTTAGTTTATATATCAGACCAAAGACAAAGTTCTCATCGTGAGCCAACCCATGTTTTTGAGTGTACTCTTACACAAAAGAGATGCCTATTAAGAAGTGCACATTCCCACTGCAATAGAAACTTATTAGATTCAGAAGTTCAGTCTTAGGTAGTCAGTGGCCCTTATTCTCATTGCCCCTGCTAAGAACCTAGCACGCCTTGCTGTTATCTGCTCCGTTTGGTCTGATAGGAGAAAGGACACTGTGGCAGTGATTGTGCGCCATGGGATGGTCAGTACGAGTGGGGCGATGATCTCGTTCCTCATGTCTTTGTAAACAGTGTAAGACAGTCTTAGGTAAGTCATGGTACTATGACACACCAAGAGCCACTAGCATGTCTTTGCTCAGCTACATTGTCCACCCCCCAAAAAAAGCCTCAGCGCACAATTGTCAGAAATATTTTCTGTCCACTACTCTTAAAACATCATTGGCTTTTTCCAGGCAGAGCCTGACTTAATTTGTGGTGTGAATTTCAAAAGGAATGAAAAACGTAAAATATGAAAGCTGCTTTGTATGAACTCAGCCCATTGAGCCATCTAACCTAGTAGTACCCACTTCAATTATCAGCAGCTTTCCAGTCTCCTATAAGCTGGACACCAGGAACTGAACCAGGGACCTTCTGCATGCAGTTAGGTGTCAGATTTCAAAACTAGTCATTTACTAACCTCTTTCAGCAGGTAACTCAAAACTGGAGACTCCTCAACCATTTGGACTTTAAAGAGAAAGAAACATTTGTTAATTAAGTTGCAACAGAGGATCTTATTACAGGGAACCAGCTTGGCTCTGGAAAACGTTAAACTCATTATTTTGGCAACTTTTGCTTTAAGACTTGACTGGTAACACCTTCCCACAGGGAAATGCCCAAAGTTAAGGAGAACTGTGTTGGCCAGAACCAAATATTGGCATGGGTGGATCACAAACACAAAGGAACCTGGACCTTCTTATATTTGCGTGTTCTATTAATGTGAAACTAGAAAGTAATTTGTATTTCTATAAGTTTCCTAACTAATGACCACAGAACAATGTAACCTCAGTATATAGAACGGTATGTTGTTAATTTCATGAGCAGTCATTTGGCGGAATCTATTATCATCACTGGCTACATGTGTGGTCTAGTACTGAACAAGCTATAAACAATTAAAAATCGCCCAAAGTAAAACCCTTATTACCATATCTGGAAGATCTAACAGGGAATTGTTGACAAGCAGCCCATACTAATCCCCACATTATTGCTTGATCCTTCCAAAACATTTGCCGATGTTACTGCAACACTGAACAAATTTCATCAGGTAGATGTCCTATAGTAACTTACCATTATCAGGAATGTAACTCTAAGGAGATCTTCAAAGTCACCTTACAACCTAGAAAGAAAGTTTTCTTTAAGACAGCCCAGAGAAAGCTAGCTGCTAAACAGGAAAATGCAAGCAGATGCCCAAGTCAGGTAGAGCTAATTACAAATCTCCATTATTTAAGTCAGCTTCATTGGCTTCTCATCACACAGGCTGCTTGCGTTATATACTGCACATTATAAAAATTTACCTTCACTGATATAGCTAGAAGGCATTGTTCAATGTTATACCTAAGATGCTTCCTAGGCAGGCTGCATTAGCAGTATTTATAATTGTGCTAGGAATAAATGGGACCCATATTTCAAATGTATAGTCCAATAGCATTGGACCATTCTTGAAGAACTTCATAGTCTCTCTAAGCAAGTTTTATCACACTGCTCAACAAATATTGCAGTGAGGCTGAACTGACTGACGAATCACTTCCCAGTAACTAACCCACCTTTTTTGCTTCAGAACTCAAGTCTCATACTTCAATACAGCTGCATTATGGAGGCCTATAAAAGTGACAATAAGTGATTTTAGTCTTCAACCCAGCTTCACTCCTTTTAAAAACTACAATGAACCACTGTATCAGTGTTGATTCAATTATCCTCATTTGGATCAGCGACCTGATTCAGCATCATATACAGCAGGTTTAATGTCTACATATAACCTAATGACTACAGCATTGGCAACTACATAGAATGGCTGCTTTGAAGCCTCTGGAGAACAAAGGCAAGACAGGATAGGACACAAACTACCCAACAAATCCCAACACTATTTAGAAAAGCAAAGAATGTACTGGAAAATTCTCATATGCCTGGGGATAAATAATACTTTGGATCAATACAACCGCAGTGGACCAAACACTAAGGGCTACTGAAATCTCCAGGCTCTTATTGTTGCTGCAATTCATGCAGACCTGAGATTTAAGATGATTTAATACAGGATGTAAAGTGTGTTATGAGTATTTTAAGAAGTTCAAAGACTGATATAATCTGACCCATTACAGCATAATGCAACCAAGTGTGCTTGGTAATAATATAACAGAGTAGAGAGAAACAGAAAACTTTTGGGCAGCCTAAGCATGCTGTGGGTCACTGCCAATGCTCAAAATTCCCTTTCTGCCATAACCACACATTCAAATATTTCCATGAAACATACCTGTTTGGCTATGCTAAGGAGCTGGACTGAAATTTATAGTATAGAAGCAACTAGGCCATATTGCAGCATACAGTGCAAATGCAGACCCTGCAAGAAAATTTTAATTCTGTTACAACTTATGATCTTCATAGTCTAAATCCTCTTTTGCCAAACACTTTCACAATGTTAATGGCATTAACTTTTTGACTAGTTGCCTCAGTAGACATCTGTAGCTTTTAACTAGATAATATGCCTTGAGCTAAAAACGTTCCGTGTTTTTTTCCCCCAAGTAGCAAATAGGCATATTATAAAATGGCCCTCTCCTTGGCAAGCAAAGAATGTTGATGTTCGGCGTTACATACAGAAACTATACCAATGATAGTACCGTCAAAATAACGAGGATGCATCAGATAGGAGCGAAAGACATCTGCATTCATCACAGATTATCTGCTGAACTATGCTTTCATCACACACATCCTTCAATCGCAATAGAGAAACCAAAGCTGCATTTAATGCTGCTAGCTTGCTCAATTTAAGTATATGCCCTTTAAAACTACTAGTCATACCTTGGGTTACGGACACTTCAGGTTGCGGTTTTTCGAGTTACAGACGCGCCAAAACCCGGAAGTAATGAAATGGGTTACTTCCAGGTTTCGGAGGTCGCGTATGCGCAGAAGCGCCGAATCGCAAACTGCGTGTGCGCAGACACAGCGCTGTGGGTTGCAAACGTGCCTCCCGCACGGATCATGTTCGCAACCAGAGCATCCACTGTATATAAAACTCCCAGGAACAGCTGGTAGAGGCTTTTATACAGATTGCTTGATCTTCTGTAGGACACTTACCCAAACATCTTCCTTCTGTAAGTACCAAACCATTTCTAAAACCCTGTAAGGAAAACAGCAAATGTTACAAAACCTTTAAAAACAATTTAGATATCCCTTAAAAAATGTTCAGTGCCTCAGTTTCAATTATAGGTGGTTGAGCATTCTCATCATTCTAATCAAGAGTAGCAAATAAGTGTCATCATTGTGGCACAAAGTTAGTTCTCATTTAAGCAAGCTATATATTGCATTCTGAAACAGCCTAAACATTTTTCTTTTAATCCAAAACAGAAAATGTTACCTCCGCAAATAGTATTGTCTTCACCTTCTGAGCCTACAAGGAAGCACACAAAAAATTATGTTAGACCTCTCAGAAGTTAAAATGCTTCTAAAAACAAGCGGGTCCCCTAACAACCTGGTATTTGACTGGGAATGCAAATCAGCATCAACCCTGCCATTGACCTGAAATAGTATTTCAGCCCAACCTGCAACACAGAAATCTAAGCAACACAGGGCTAGAGCAGCAGTATAACTGTAACCACTCTCAGCTTCAAACCAACCCACATTATGCAAAAGGGTTTTTTTAGTATATGTGGCAAACACTGTAGGGCTCTTGTAAACCATGCAAAGCCTAAACCCTGGTCTGCAATATTCAGTAAGGCACATTAGAGCTGTCATAAATTAACCTGCAATATAGGAGTATCTAAAATTGCACTAATAGGGCTATTTTAAAATGCCTCATTGAATATAACATTGAATATACCCAGGTCCTAATCCTGCTCAGAGATGTTGGTATTCATCATGCTCTCAGATGTCCCTACCAACATCATTTATCATCATGTGCAGGTACAGTGAAGGAAAGCTCATCTTAATCAGGAAATTACTTTGTTGAAAATATGCCATGTGCTACCTTTGGTGCAGCTCACTTTACTTTTGTGAAAAGACTTGACTTGCTACAATGGTTTCCACTACCACACTCCAAAGAAGGATTCCCCAGCGAGATTTATTTTATATCAACTGTCCAAGTTATTAGTCTAGAAAATATACTTAGGGCAGGTGGAGAATTACTAGCCTGCAAGGGGTGGCGGCTCCATTCACTGAATTTCAACGCTAGGTATAGAGGAAGGACAGGGCATTTGCCATTTCTGCGGCTGAGTGGTCAGAGGGGCAGACCAGGCCCCCTGCCAGAAACTCGCCCGCTGATCTTGGGCCAGGCACTCCCTCCCGTCTAGCCCGCCTCACAAGGTGGTTGGGGGCATTAAATTGGCGGGGGGGGGGCGTACTAAGCCGGGGTGGGGGCTAAGGAAGGATATAAATGCTAGAAATAATTCCTCAGCTATTCCCGAGTTGCAATACCCGTTCACCATCAAAATCAAGGTATTTCTGAGATCTATTCGGCCCTCGTGGGAAACTGATCTGAGTGAACGCTAAATAAGCCCAGGGCGAAGTTAAGGCATTGCCAGAACTACGTTCAAAGCCGCCATCTGCCCCACTTAGGTCTCCTCAAGTTTTACCTTTTCGACCCCCCCGACCCCGCCCGGCGATTCGGGCTCCCGACGTGCAGATTTCCTTCCCTCCGAAGGTTCTGCATTTCGTTTGCTACTCCCAATAAGGGCCGCGCTCGTATTTAGCCAGCCGCTCAATCCCGCCTTTCCCTCCTCCTAGGGCGAGAGCTGAGGGCCACTCGGGAGACGAGGGCGCCACTGGCTCGCCAGGCCCGAGCGGCCAAGGGGGCCTCTGCGGGCAGGCGCGGCCATCCGCCTCCATCCAGCGCCACCCCGAGCCATCCGCGGGGGACGACCCTTCCTAGGCAACCCGCGCGCCCCAGGAAACCCGACTGGGGTGGAACTGGCTGAGAAGGGAAGAAGAAAAGCGAAGAAACCCGAACACTCACCATGGTCCCCCGAGAGCTGCAGAGCGTGAGCAATGGCGACCTAGAAAAGAGAGAGCAACGTGGGGCCTCTCTCTTTATATACGCACGCAGGCCCCGCCCTCCCTAGGATCACGTGAGGGCACGAGGCTTTATTTGCATGGCCCCGCCCCCGGGGGCGAAGAAGAAGAGCACTGGGTCCCGCCTCCCCGAGTCCCGCCACCAATCGCCTCCCTCGGGCCCCCTCCCCATGGCGGGCGCGCGCCTCGGGGCGGGGCTGCCTGACGAGAAGCCTGGAGGGAAGCTAGTCAATCAGAACCAACGTCGGGGAAAGGGGGATGTTCTTCCGGGGCGTTGCCCGTCTGGGGGGTTTCGCTTCCGGAAGGGTGTTCGGGCTCGTCCCACCCCCCGCCCCCCACCCCTGGAGGTACGTAGACGGTATATTTCGGTCCCCTCGGGAAAGGGAAGGAGGTCCGGAGAGCGGCAGCCTCTCTCTTCTTCCCCCCGCCCCCCCCAGGCCTCTCAGGTGGACCCTCAGAAGGCCCCCCCCGGGAGGGCCTAACCTGCTCCCGGAATGAGGGGGCTCCCTGCCGGACCCCAATTCGTAGCCCTCCCCTGTCTCTTAGCAACTCAGCTTGCTCCTCCCTGGAACTGCTTCTGGCTAAAAGGTCGTGCGACCCCCACCCTCTTTTCCTGATTCCACCGCCTCCAACCAGGGAAGGAATGTCAATCTTCATTTATTTCGGTCTCTCTCGACTCATTGTTTTTAATTGCCCCTCGTCTCTACCTAGCTGCTTTGTAATGTTCTCGCGTGTTGAGGGCCTTGGCATGCTGAAAGGTCCTGCCCAGGGTGCTGCGCTTCCTGTGGGTGAGGGCATTTGGGACAAGGAACGGGAGGGGTGAAGCCTGAACGCAGAAGCAGAGGACCACCGTCATTAAAACTGTCATTGCTACTGTGTTGCGAATGTATCTCCTAGCTTTTGTATCCTATTAAAGGTTGTTGTTTTTTCTCTTGGGCAACTATACTTTATTCCATTCTAATGATTTGGGGTATCTTGTTTCTATTGCTTCCCTTGTGTTTTCTTAGTTCATACAAGAAAGGGATAGTCTGTGCAGGGAGTATGCAAATAATGTTGACTTTTGTGCCCACTTAAATGTATTTTGGAGCAGTGGTGTCCAGTCATTTACCTAAGGTGGACTCTCTAGATTAGCATTATCCAAACTTGTTTTTTATCCAAGGCATGCTCTGAAACTGTCAAGGAAATTCCTTGCCTTTAAGGAGTGTGATTGAAGTGATAGATTAAACTAAAACACAGCAAATGAGTACTCCCCCTGAAGAATGAAATGCTAAAGCGTTTGTTAGCACCTCAAATTATGAATGTCTAAAGGCCCAGTTACAAAGACTATAGAAGATATGGGATCCAAAATAATATCTGCCCCTTATGTTTGGGCATCATTCAGAATTAACCACCTTTTGAGTATCCCACGTCAGCCAGATTCATTGGTCTTCAACTGGAGTGGACACCCCTGTACAATATGAATGGCTTCACAACCTCTCCCACCTCAAAAGGTGTGTTTTCTGTGTTTAATCATTGCATAGAAGAAGGAATTTAAATTGATGCAGATTTTCTTTTCATAACCCTGCTCCCAGTATAGCAGCCTGGCTATCTTTGCCTCTAACCTCCATATACAGAAAAGGGGGAAAAAACAAACATATACGGTAGACTAAAAGTGGGTCTCCTGAAAATTTAAGATGAGTTCCCAGTCTGAAAAAAATAGTACTACTTATTCACAATACTGTTGTGGTAGGGTACTGTTATCACAAAGCAGGAGGATAGATGGCGCACCCTGTCAAAAGCAGCAGATGAATGAAAGGGTTCTTTTCAAAGCCCCTAGCCTCGTTGTTACAGCCCATTGTCTAGTGCTTGCTGTCATACCCACAATGCTCTATCAGCACAAGCTGCTTCCAGATCTATAAATCTTTGCATCACTTAGAATTGAACCCCAAACCCACCCCACTCTCTGGGATACTGGTTCAGGAAGCATCTGTTTTCATTCATAAGTTTAGGCGGCAGCAGATCTTTCCAGTTAGGTAGGTACAGAAAACCCCAGCTGTAACACAGGGTGTGATTTCAAATCACTGATGCTCCTAAAGCAGGCATGGTCAAACTTGGCCCTCCAGCTGTTTTGGGACTACAACTCCCATCATCCCTAGCTAACAGGACTAGTGGTCAGGGATGATGGGAATTGTAGTCCCAAAGCAGCTGGAGGGCCAAGTTTGACCATGCCTGTCCTAAAGCTTGGTATGCTGATTCCTCTGTGTAGTTAAGATGTTTATTCCTAATCATTCTGCCATAGTTGCTTTTGTGTGGTCTCCATGACCTTCCCATCAGAAATCTGTTCTTAGCAACAGAAAGAATGGCAGAAGTCCAAAGCTGTGTTGGTATCTCTAAAAATAGTGCACAAATTCATGATTTGCCCTTTGAGCACTTTGTAAATTGGTCCCAAACATTTATTGCTACAACTTTTAAAAGGCTTCAAAACACTTATTTCTTCTCTTATTGTTAACTGATGCTGTTCTTTATGGTATTAAGATGAATACCCAAGGGAGAAAGTTTAGACTATGTGTAATGTTATGTACAATGGAGGCCAACCTTGACTGCTTTTCTCAACCCCTCTAAATATGGTTGTGTAAGCAACTAATTTTGAGCAATACGTTCTTTAAAATAACTTGTATTTTATCCTCTTGTGAAACACAATCATACCTGAAAGTGTGTGCAAATTCATTGTCTGAGAACTATTTATGGACACTCTTGTCTTCCTTGTGTAGTATGAGAAGCAGGCATAAAGAGAAATATTTTCTAATGCTTCCTGTGGTGCCATTTTGTTGTTGTTAGGGTTGCTCCACCTGCAACTGGAGCCGACATGGAGAAAAGTGGAAACATTCAGCTGGAGATTCCTGACTTCAGCAATTCTGTCCTGAGCCACCTCAACCAGCTGCGCATGCAGGGCCGGCTATGTGACATTGTAGTCAATGTGCAGGGCCAAGCATTCAGGGCACACAAAGTAGTACTGGCTGCCAGTTCACCTTACTTCCGGGACCACATGTCGCTCAACGAGATGAGTACGGTTTCCATCTCTGTCATCAAAAATCCCACTGTTTTTGAACAACTCCTCTCTTTTTGCTACACGGGCCGGATATGCCTCCAGTTGGCTGATATCATAAGCTACCTGACTGCAGCTAGTTTCCTGCAGATGCAACATGTTATAGACAAGTGCACACAGATCTTGGAGGGCATTCATTTCAAAATTAACGTAGCCGGCGTTGAAGCAGAATTGAGCCAAACAAGGGCAAAGCATCAAGAACGGCCTCCAGAATCTCACCGGGCTTCCCCATCTCTGAATCGCTCTCTGAGTCCACACCACAGCACCCCGAAAGGAAGCCGCATGGGCCAGGTCAGCACTGTGCTGGACATTCGGGAACTTAGTCCTCCTGGGGAGTCTACAAGCCCTCAGATAATTGAGCAGAGCTCAGATGTGGAGAGCAGGGAGCCCATACTGAGGATTAATAGGGCAGGTCAGTGGTATGTGGAGACGGGAGTGGCAGACCATGGTGGGCAGGGTGACGATGACGTCAAAGTTCTTGGAGCAGTACGAATCAAAACGGAGAACCTGGAGGAGTGGCTGGGGACAGAAAACCAGCCATCTGGAGAAGATGGGAGCAGTGCTGAGGAGGTCACTGCCATGGTGATTGATACCACAGGCCATGGATCAATGGAACAGGAAAGTTACACATTAGGCTCATCAGGAGCAAAAGTGGCCAGGCCAACCAGCACAGAGATTGACAGGTGAGACTTTCTGTTATTAAAAACTGATTTGCTTCCAAGAGTGTTCTGGGCATTGTACAGAATCTACAAGCACCATGATTCTCACTGTCTAGAGCTTGCTGTCTAAAAAAGTCATAGAAGATGGGGCATGATTAAAAGGACATATGAAAGTTGCAGTTTGTAGAGGATTAACAGCAGAAAGTGCATAAATGGTGATCTGGACAGTCAATATTCTATTATTTCACATAAGCTCTAGAGTGGGACTTTATCTTCCCCAGGCAGAGATCTGCTCAGCTTTTGTAGCAGGGGAGTGGGGGGGATGAGAAGCTGTGAAAGGCATATCTTCTTCATATTAGAAATTTCTAGAAAAGTCCCTAACATACACAAGATCACTAACCCTTTCTCAGAAGTGGTTTCCATGGTATGAGTTTCATACCTTCTACACCAAGTTTACTGTGTTTTTCAGTAGTCTCATAGCTGCCTGCCCAGCACTGGTATTTATTTATCTATTCACTGTATTTTATCTAAACTAATGGTTGATTCCACTTTACCATTTAACTTGTATATAGCCTGCCACACCCTGAAGGCTCAAGAGATGATAACAGTAATTTTTGTAGCACTTGCATCCAGAATGCACTTGAGCAGCTTCAAAACATAAAATATGCTGAAAACCTCGGCCCCCTTAATCCTAGTCAAAAAGGTTGCACAGGGCTGGCATAGATCACTAAGGGAGAGGAATTCCATAGTTGTGAATCAGTCACTGAGAACACAACACCTCTTTGGTTCATTTCAGCCATCATCCCAGTCCATTCCAAACAGATTCAAGCTGCTTGCCTGCTTTCTTTTTTACATTTTCCCAGTTCTCCCATCTCTAGGTACAATGATCTCTGAAGGCAGAGCAATGACCGTGTGGTCATCACACCAAGACATGATCTTCAAAACATGGTCTGTCTATTCTGACCTCATGGTGAATTTTCCATAATGAAGTTTCTTTACTGTGGTTTAGCAGGATGACTGATTTGACCCTTTTTGTTGGTATAATGTTGCTACTTGAAAAAAAAAAATTAGTACTGAGAGAGCATTGCTGGCTCTTCTTGTTGAGGAGGTGGTCACAGGTTCATGCGTCAGGCATAGCAGTATGTAAAACAAAGGTACAGTGATACCTCTGGATACGAATGGGATCCGTTCCAGAGCCCCGTTTGCATCCTGAAGTAAACGTAAGATGCGAGTGCGCGGGTCACGTTTAGCCACTTCCGCGCATCCACGTGACGTCATTTTGAGTGTCTGCGTATGCACAAGCGGCGAATTCCGGAAGTAACGCGCTCCGTTACTTCCAGGTCGCTGTGGAGTGCAACCTGAAAATATTCATCCCGAAGCTACTTCAACCCGAGGTATGACTGTAATGCCAAGTTAAATTATTCTTAATTCTTTGACAGATGGGAGTGCTGCTGCTTATAAATGGTAGAATGTACATCAACGAGTTGTGAAAAGCTTACTCATAGTTGTAGTGATTTTATTTATATTTACTTATATGCATTTTCTGCAAATAAAAATGTGCTCAAAGCAGTTTATAGAAAATAAGCTGTAAAAATGCAGTAATACAATAACCATGATCAATAATAAAGCTAATGTCGATCAACATAAAACTAACAAGTCAATGATTAACAAAATATGTAAAAAATAAACAAATATTAAGTTTAGCAGTAGGTCAGCTAGCAGTATCCCAAAGTAGCCACCAGGCTACTGGCATTAATACCTAACAACTCATCCCCCAAACATGAACTCAAATGCTCAGAAACCCCCTCAAAGTTCTTTTGGCAGCTGCTCCTTACAAAGGCTCTTGGGGAAGCTGGGTATCACTTGGTAGGTGCAACCAGCCATCACTTGATGGCAAGCACACTCCCCAGTCTATAAATGTTCCATAAATTGAAGTTTGAGGAATATTTCTGGCTTGGACGGAAATATGCCTAATCAGATCCACTGTCTGAACTTCTGCATGAATAGGCCTGTGACACTGTTCATCCTCTTTAGTCACCCTAACAAATTTCCTTTCCCCAGGAAGCTAAGCTGCTCCTCAGTCCATCTCTAAGTTGCTGGGCTGCCTTAAAAGATTTCATTGCTGCCAAATCAACGTTAGTACACATACACACATCTCACATTTTGTCCAGTCCCAGCTGCCCCACTCCTAATGTTATTGACTAATATTATCAAGCAGAAGTTCTGATGCTTCCCATGTCTTTGTTCAAAGTATCATAATATTGCCCAACTATCCATTAATCTCTTTTTCCATTTGCAGATTTAGCCCTTCTGGTAGTGTGGTTACTGTAAACGAGCGGTACAGGTCAAAAAGTGAATCTCCATGGCGGGTGGATGAACCCAAACAACCCAATTCCCAGGTAGGTATCCCTCACTTGGGCTTTACTGCTGCAGTTATTCATATAGATCAGGCATGGTCAAACTTGGCCCTCCAGCTGTTTTGGGACTACAACTCCCATCATCCATGACCACTGGTCCTGTTAGCTAGGGATGATAGGAGTTGTAGTCCCAAAACAGCTGGAGGGCCAAGTTTGGCCACTCCAGATATAGATTGTCTATAGACAGGCACTCTGTAGTGGAGGGCTGGGGAATGGACATACAGCACCCTTCTTGAAAGCATAGTCTGAAAGACATGACACAATGGGGAGGGAAAGAGGTTTCCAGTTTCATGGAAAGATGCATTCATTACTTTGATCCCCAAACAAAACAGTGACTTAACAAAGACCAAGAACTACAGATCTATTTCATTATTGAACTGTGACAATAAACTATATGCTACAATTTTAGCTAATAGATTGAAAAGGACACTGGCTGAGACAGTCCACAGAGACCAGGCCGGGGTTTTACCAGGCCAGCGAAATAAAGACTATATAAGAAATGTAATTAATTTAATAGAGTATTTGGAAGTAAGAAATGAAAAACAGGCTGCGTTAATCTTTCTAGACGCGGAGAAAGCCTTCGATAATATTTCATGGTCATTCATGATACAGGTTTTAGAGAAAATGAAAATAGGTAACTCTTTCGTAGCAGGAATTAAAGCAATCTATACTGATCAATCTGCAAATATATTAATAAATAATATTCTTTCAGACAAATGCCAAATAGAAAAAAAGAATGAGACAAGGCTGTCCCCTGTCTCCACTGCTGTTTATTATCACATTAGAAATATTGCTTCAGAAATTAGAGGTATTGAGGTAGGATGTAGAGTTTATAACTTAAGGGCATTTGCTGATGATGTGGTGCTGACACTAGAACAACCTTTTGAAAATAATTATATTCAATTGTGGAAAGGGGTTAAGAAAGAGTTGGAGATATGGAGGAGAATGGAACTGTCCCTGTTAGGTAGAATTTCAGCCATTAAAATGAATTTATTGCCTAAGATTCTGTTTTTATTTCAGTCAAATCCCAATTGTAAATAATTTAAGATGCTTCAAATAATGGAAAGAAGATATCTCTGGCAGGGGGGAAAGCCAAGAATTAAACATAAAATTATGATAGATATAAAAGAAAAAGGAGGCTTTGCTCTGCTAGACTTTCAAATGTATTATGAGGCAGCTTGTTTGTGTTGGCTAAAAAAATGGATTGTATTGGACAATGCAGACATCTTAGATTTAGAGGGTCAGGATTTAAAATTTGGCTGGCATGCATGTCTCTGGTATGGGAAGGCTAAAATCTATAAGAGTTTTATGAACCACATTCTTAGGAAGAATCTACTTAGAGTTTGGGAGAAGTATAAAAATCTGCTGGAAAGCAAAACACCATCAAAGCAATCTCAATTAAGAGAGTTAATATGGACAGACAATGGGTGACTTACATGGAACTGCTGGATTTTATGGGGGAGGGGATCCAAGCTGAAACCAATGGAAACATAAGGAGTCAAGTTATGGATTGGTTGCAATATCACCAGCTACATTATATGTTTAAATCAGATAGAAATAGTTTATTTTTTGACCGAAGCTCACAATTTGAAAAAGAACTCTTGCAAAATAAGGATAAACTGTTGTCTAAAATGTCTATGAATTTGAAACAAAAGACGAGCTAGTTAAAGCTTCAATGACACACTGGGCAATAGATATAGGACACAATATAGATCTTAAACTCTGGGAGAAATTCTGGCAAAGTGACCTGAAATTTACAGCATGCTATTCATTGAAAGAGAATTATTTGAAAATGATTCATAGATGGTACTTAACTCCGAGTAGGTTGGCTTAGATTTATAAAACAGATTCAGATAAGTGTTGGAAGTGTAAAGTGTGGAGGGAACCTTCCTCCACATGCAGCGGACATGTAAAAAAATGTTCAAAATTACTTTCCCCAAAAAACCAGAGCCCTTTCTGTTGGGTATAACCCAGACTGAAATTCCCAGGTGTCAGAAAAGGTTATTTATGTATGCAAAAACTGCAGCCCGTGTTTTGTTAGCCCCAAAATGGAAAGTGAGTGAGGTCCTAACTAAAGAGGATTGACAACTTAAGTTTACAGAATATGCACAACTTGCAGATTTAACATATAGAATAAGAGAGCAAGAACATATGTTTAAAGAAGACTGGAAAACATTTATTGAATATATGGTCCCCCACCCCCCCCCCCCCCCGCGCCGCCCCCCCCCCCCCCCCCCCCCCCCCCCCCCCCCCCCCCCCCCCCCCCCCCCCCCCCCCCCCCCCCCCCACCCCCCCCCCCCCAAAAATCCTGAGATTTTTGTTATTCAAAGAGCAAGTTTCTAGCCCTGATTCTAAAAGAGAGATTCCTGTTTGTGGTTTCCATTAATAATGTTGGAGCTAGAGGAAGGAGCAGTTCTTCCAGTATTCTAGAGGATCTTGATAGTACACTTTTATCTGTGTGTCACCTTCTTTTTCTTGATGTGTGGCAGAATAAATGAGAATGAAAAGAAACAGAAATCCTGCAGGAAAAAATGCATTTAAATTGTACATCCAAATAAAACATACACATTACTTGAATGTATTCAAGCAGCTGTGATTTGCATTATTCCAGTCAGGCCTGACAAAAGTACATGCCCTCCTTGAGCAGCTGCCAAGCCCTAGCAGGGCCCAATCCGAGGTGTGCTTTGGAACCCAGCCACCCTTTAAAAGAGTGGCTGAGTCTGGGAGCTGCCATGTAAATTTCTCACAGGGCCCTAATGTAGAGTTGCTCTGGGGCATTGTGTCATCTGGTACTGATCCAGACCTACAGCTGCCACCGTGGCCAGGTAAGGGAAGGTCCCACTGGAAAGCATCTTTACTAAGAGTTCCCTCAAGCATGGAGCTGGCCTCGATTCGTTACTGAGTATAAAAAATGGCAGGTGCTTTAATCAGCCTTGTTGTCCGAGGTTCAGAACCTGAGATGGAAGGGCAGGTGGCTGGCAGACCAGAGGACAGAGCCAATTGGTGACTAAAGAGGATGGTTCCCAGCCAGTTAGGATAAGAATTTGGCTTTGCTTGGTGGCTCAGGGTAGAGTCTGCTGGATATGAGGGTGGTCAGAGCAAATAACAAAATCTCTTCAAGCCATACAGAAAATAGCCTGCCCACTTCCTTGTCTCTACCCTGCAACTTTATCCTTTCCCCTGGATACCCTGAATTCAGAACCTGAGACCTGAGTCAGTTCTTTTTTTCCTGAAGTTGGTTCTTTTTCTTTCTAGACTGCAAATGACCAAGGGTTGTAGCCAGTGTTAGACCTACTCAGACTAGACCCATTGAAATTAAAAGACATGAGTAACTTAGGCCCATTATTTTATGTTGGTTTACTCTGAGTAAAACTTAGTTGGATACAGCCCTAACACATGTATGTGTGGGCTGGTGGGTGCATAACACATTTTGTGGGCTCATTTGCAAGGCTGGTTTTGTTGCCCAAACACATCTTCATGCTTTGTGTAGCAATATTCATTCCTGTGTGTTACTAGTGATTTTCAAAAGAAAGTAGCAAATGTCAGTGGTAGGCTTACGTATAACTGAAAGAAAACCATGTGCCAATACTAACCCTTTAACAACCTTTTCTACTGCAGAACAATTGCTTCTACAGCACAAGAGTTACCAAGCTCACTACTATAACCTCAGCCTTGACTCTGCTAATGACCTATGCCATCAGTAGCATTAGCCTAGTCAGGCACAGTGCCCTTAGGAAGACTAAGGGATGACTATACTGTGATCTCAGCCACAGGGAAGGCAAATGTAGGCTTTGTTTGGATTATAAAATGCAGATGAGCTGGCAATCTGCTTTTCTGTTTGGTGCAGCTACATGTTTTTACCCTTGCGAAACGGATTTCAACTGTGATTCAAAGGAGAAGTGAAGTGAAACCCTTTCATATCTTCATACCTCATTAATTAATGGCCCACATCCAGGTAGAATTTAGTTATAGTGAATAATGTGTCTCATTCTTTTCCATGGGACTTAGTAAAAACTAATATTACCTGGATTCGGCCAGTTTCCCCCACTTCTGTTCCAGAAAAGGCCAAGAAAACTTGATTGCTTGCCTTGGCAATTGTCTCTAGAGGGAAAGATCAATTTCATAGCTCTGTGCTTGCAAAACAGTAAAAATAAAGTAATAATAAACTTCAGAATGTGAAACATTGCAGTTATCTCCCTGAGCGTGCTGCTATGTCTTTGTCTTGCCAAAAGCAATAGAGTGACTTTGATGTAATTCTGAACCATATCACTGCTGAAATGGGAAACAAATATGTGTATAGTTGAGAACAATGATATGAAATGTAGATTATAATTCTATGTCCTTACCTTTGAGTAAGCATCACTGAACTTAGTTGAGGTTGCTGATTAAGCGTATATGGGATTGGATTGCGATGGTGGTCTCCGGCATTCCAGTTCTTCTAGCTCAAAAGATTTCCACTTGCAGAGCTGAACTTTCCCTTCCTCTCTTCTCCCCTGCAGCCCCCCATGCTCTCTCAAAATCAGCTCTGGGGGCGGGCACAGTGGGAGGAGAGGAAGGGAACATCCCATTGTGCAAGAGGGGTCTGCTTGCTGAGCATTGGATACAACCCTGAGTTTGATCAGATGAGACAAACTGAAATAACTGGCACTTTCCCAGCAGTCAGAATTTTCCTGCAATTTCTAGTGGAAATACGTGCCCATTTTCGTTTTTAAAGCACCTTTGGATTGTGTACTTTACTACTTTGGAGTGTCAGATGCATTTTTCACAGCATACCTTAGAGGTGACGGTGGGTTTATACTTCAGTGCCTCTCTGTGTGTTGTCATAAAGTGGCTTGAAGATTTATTGTAAAAATGGTCTTAATCCAGATTAATCCCCCCTTTGTGTGCACACATCCTTAAAACAGCAAGTATATACAGGGCGATGCCTGTTAAATATGAATTTTAAAATATTCCAAGTTACCCCACAGAAACAAAGGTGGTTAGGATCAATTATATCTTTCTGTGGCAGTTACAGACCATTCGGGATATTAGTCCAGTGTTCGATGCTTCAAGCTTCAAGTTATTACCATGAAATGGAAACATGGTAAAATAAATTTCTCATGAAGGTGGAGCAATTGTGTAAATTCTACTTTTAAATAAATGCTAGAGTTTGTTAAAAGAGAGGTAGGGATTGTGTAGAACAGTTGTGCAATTTGCTGCTTGCTTGTTCACTGACGGCAACTAGCAATTGTTGGTGAACAGATGTAGAGTCAGTTAACTGAGTGGACGGAGTCAATCACTGCGCCAGGCTGCTCTGCCTTTCTTGGCTGTTCAAAGTCATGTCCGGCAGAGTGAATGGCTGTTTGCAGCAGTCTCTAACCTGGGGATTAAAGCACCAGGCTGTGTTGGCTCTCCATGGAGCTGGTTTACTCTGCACTCTGTTTCTGGGTTGGAAATGGCAACGGAGCCCCACTGACTATACATGGGGGCAAAACGGAGCTTTGCTGATGTGTGTTAGAAATACGGAACACATCTGTTGGCTTTGCGTGTGACTTTCAATCTCTCTCCTTAATAAGCTGGTAGCCAGCCAGGTGTATTCCAGGTATTGTTGGACTGCAGTTCCCATGGTCCCTGATAACTGGCTAGGCTGACTGGGGCTGATGGAGACCAGTATTGTGGGCCACATCTCTTTCCTAGGCAATAACCCTGCCCACAGCTGGGCTGCATTTCTAAGTTACCTCTTTTGGCTTTAAGCAGGCAAGTAGCACTATGGAGCAGAAAATGAAATAAAAAGCCAGCCAGCAGAACTGTCTCTATTTATAGCAAGATGCCCTGGTTGTTGCTATGTTCTTCCTGAGGAATGAGGGGTGCTTAGGCCAGCTTTCAACATGAGCAGGGGTAACTTTATTCCTTTGATATTGGAAAATGCTATCTAAAACAGTTGGGAACCCTTCTTTCTTTGCATATGGAACTTTCCGGGGAACGGAGCTGCCTTTTCTGGCGCAGAGCTCAGTGTGCATACCAAAAACCCTGTGTGAGCCTTAAGAATGGCAGGAAAAGAGCAAAAGTATTGACAAGTGTGTGGGTTTTTCAATAACACAGACTTCTTTGTCAAATAGGAACTTGTAGTATGCACACATTTTAAAGATAATTATTGCCAAGAATTTTAAGTTTTTAAACATTATTTTTCTTGTTAGTGGGATTTTTTTTTATGTGCAGATTCTCTGTTTCAGTATAACACCAATGGAACTGCTATGCCCAGTTAAAAACAGCAACAACCCAGAATCTGCCAGATTCAAACAGGTTCTATGTTCTGGCCAAGCAAAACTTCCTCTTTTAAAAAAAAAATACTGTCCGTGATTTGGCACAAGATTGTACCAGATTGTACCAGCTATGCATGTTGAACAAAATTTAGCTGTTTGATTCAATTAAAGAAACAAACCAAGTTAGTTTAAGTGGAATTTAAAAGCTTTGGGGTCATAGCTGGGAAGGATAGAAAGACCCGAAGTTTGACTGGGAACCATTAATAGGGAACCATTAATCTTCCAGATTGGTATGTGACTTGGTAGACTGTGGATTCTTTTATTGAAAAAATGGCTGGAACCAGTTGCTTTAATATTCCTGGGTTAAAATCTAGTCTATTTGAAAATTGTTTCTTATATTACATATTGTGGCTACAGCATAACTCCCGGGAGATAATGTCATATCTACATAGTTGAATCAGTGTTACGCAGTTCAGGGACCTGCTATGGATCAGATATCTGAATCATGAGTCTGTTAGAGGAAAATCAGTAATATAGTTGGGACTAGTTGGTATGTTTGCACTTGAGAAAATGAAATCTTGCACCTATAAACTTATGCTAATAAATGACTTTATGCAAATTAGACTAAATTATGTACATTATTTAACATTATGCTTTCATTTTGAATATGATTAGCTCTTTAAAATAAAAGCACAGTTAAGAAAATTTGTCAAACATGTTATATTGGTAGTGAAGAAAAAACATTGGCCTTGGATATTAAAGATCACTAAAGGTTATATGCAGCATAATTTTATTTTGTTCCTAAACAGGAAAACAGAAACCTCCTGTACCATTCAAATGTGACCTGTGCTTGGAATAAAATATATGATAGATGTAAATTTTATTTTACATACATTTTCTGTTTGCTCTGAACTGATCTTTGAATTTGTTTGAAAAAATTATAATTTGGGGACAAGAAGCAAGTTGGCAAGAAAAATATGGATAAAAGAGGGATGGGTGAAGAGGGCTGGGCAGAGGTCAGAGTGAGAATGTAACTGGAAGTCACAGTGGTGGAAGGACACACAAGCAAACAAGCTCCTCTTCTTGAAATGGTGGGGCTCTTGGTGGGCTCTGCTAGCACTTTTTCCTGAATAAGAATATAAAAAGCGCCTAGCTGGATCAGACCAAAAGTCCAACTGGTCCAGCTTTCACAGGGAGAAGGGAAGTGCCATTCCCTGCTGTTTGACCTCAGCATCTTGTACTGGTATATGGCCTCTGCTTAGCTATCCTGGTTAATAGCTATTGGTAGAACTATCCTCTCATTTTCTCCAGGGTACTCAAGTGCACATCTCTGCGTTCTATGAGTTTTGTATGTTCGTGATGGAAGAAGCACTTACAAGGCCAAGGTTCATGCAGTAGCGTGTCACAACCATGGGAACAAGAAATATACATTCCTCCTTCTCTCCCACCCCCGCCCTGCCAGAAAAAGCAGGGCAGAGATGATTCTATAGGAGTAGCCAGATTCTTTGTCATGTACCATATTCCAGCTGGAATTCTACATGTGTGGGGTTGCGGAAGTATTTGCCATCTACTTAAAGTGCTTATGTGCTTATGCAACAAATTCTGGAAAGCATCCTAAATCTGCAAAAATTAAAAGCAGAAACAGCCTGAAATTACAGGAAATAAGATTTCTGTTGAGGCGCACCTTTTGACAATCAGTCCATATGAAGTCTGATCTTTAAGGTCCATTTCAGCAGTTTGATGCAGCAAGTAAAATAATAGGATCATACTTTGTGTACTATAATCATTTCACTGCCTGCTCAGGCACATGGATAATTGCCATGATCAGTTCAGAGATTGATGTTATTTCCCAGCAGTTGCTATGTCACATGGAAATGGATGTTTCTGTGTTCAAGAGGATAGCAAATAGTGGTAGATTCCAAGAGCATGATCTGTCTCTGTCCATGCAGGCTGAGGAGAAGTTTTGTTTCCCTGAAGACCGCTTTGTGTGAATGTGGGCCTCAGCACCCACAGCCTGCCCTCCCATTGCCAGTGTGGTGTCACACCACTCAGCTGTGAAGTTCTCAGGGTGACTCTTGGGCCAGACACTCTCTCAGCATAACCTACCTACCTCATAAGGTTGTTAGGAGAGGTTGAGGAAAGATCCACCTCCGCTGCCCTGACTCCCTGGGGGAAGGTCAGGATAAACATGTCGTAACTACATATTAGTTCTCACTTTTGCATCCTCTCCAGAGCCTCCCCCATTCCCATTGCAGCTGCCTTCTGCAGTGGGAATGTTCCTACAGAACGCCAGTTTGTAATGGCTGTAGCATACCACAGGTGTTGTAAACCAAATGTTTGTCCCCTGCCTTAGCTGTAGCTGCTTCTTCCAGATGGACAATTGATGAAACACAGTTTCAGGGTGGGAAGATGATCGGGCATAGCCATTTGAGCTGCTACAGATGCAGGGGGAAGGAAGGTTATTGTTCCATTTCCCTTGCTGCATTTATCAGTGGATTCTAGACCCTGGTTAAGACCTGCTTAAGATGTTGCTGTGTAAGGCAGACCCCCGCTCCATAAGGACGTGGCACTCCTTCCTGCCTTGTTGGTTTTTGTGTAATGCTTTAATGGGCTTCTCAGACCATTTGACATAATTTGAATAGATTTGTGCCCATCTCCATTTTTCCTTCTCGCTTATGTTTATAGAGGATTCTGTTCCATAGTTCCATAGGCCTGCCATGACTTCGTTCTTCAATATTATTCCAATTTGCCGGAGAATCCTGTGCTGTAGAAGAACATGAGAGTCAAGCATCTGTCTTGAAGGCAGAAGGTCCCAGATTCCCAGCATTTCCAGGCAGTGCTGGGATAGAAATCCTGGAGAGCTGAGGCAAATAGGTTCAGACGGTACGGTGAATGTGATTCTGATTAAGGCAGCTTCCATGTTCCCTTCAGGTTTTGTTCCCTGAACAGAACTACTTTCTGCTTCATGGTGCTCCTGGAGAAAAATGCATAATGTACATTGTTGTTTTTACAACTTTAGAACAAGGTGTTTAAAGCACTAGTAGCATATGAAATTACATTTTTATTCTGTTTTGAGGCACGGGCATATGTGGAACGGAGAGGTGAAAGTCCTATGGACTGTGTCTTCAATATTCTTCTTCTGGGACCTTGAGGAATAGTCAGAGGTTGAGATGTGTGTTCCTTTGGATGCTTCAAGTCACCCAAGTGCCATGAAGTGCTGAGCTTTTAGTATGTTCCTGGCATCCACGCTGGATCTTCCACCGTCTTTCGTCAGACAGCCAAGGTCGCATATTTGCTGGCAAGTTCCAGAGCTTGCCAACTCATATCAGTAGTGCTATTTGGGGAAAAAACACTGATGTATTTTGAAACTACTATGCAATGGCTTTGTGAAGTTTTCATGCTCAGATTTAACTGTTGGCTGAAGGTTTCTTAAATCGGTTGTCTTATCTCCTGTAGATGTTGCCAGAATTGCAAAAATGGAGTTGAACCTTACTTATCTCGCAGTACATCTAATGGTGTTTGTTTTAGCCATTGTCTCAAGACATATTTCCCTGCACCTCTTCATTTTTTCTCTTCTAGGGCTTCCTTGAGCTGTTGGTATAAACAGTTCCCAAAAGGGGCCTCTTCAGCACAGCCCCCAGTAGCAAATTCCAGCGTAATTCCCTGAGCCCTTCTTTAGTAGTTTAACTTCATTGTATCATGCACAATGGGGAGAGATGGGACACCACTTGGCAAGCAATTCTGCCATTTCTTTAGTATTTATTTGTGTATTTATTTATTTAACTTGCATAATTGTCTCATGTCTGGCAATGCCCTGCCTGCTTCATCAGTGCAGTGCAATTTTATTGCACAGAACATGCGGACCTCAGCATAACCTGTCCTGGCCCCTCTTACAGGGAAGCAGAACAATGGAGGGGCATGTCCCCCCAAGGGACAAAGATGTTGCCGCCCACCTTTAGGCAGCAGTGAAATCAAGCACACTTTGATTCTTTCTTCCTTTATGGCAGTAAGTCCTTAGCTAACCCTTACCTTTTAACTTAAAGAGTGTTGGCGTTGATGCGAAAACCAATAAAAGAGGACATTTATCGTGCAGTTTCACTGGTGACCTCATTGAAATATCACAGTTGCAGCTATAGCAAGCTTTTAAAATCTGCTGCAATGTGTGTGCATACTAATTTATTTAACCTACTGTGATTTCCTAATTTAGTTTGGCCTTCTAAATTAACGTGCAGCTTTGAATATGTAGGTGCCCCATAGACTATAAGATTCATTCACTACTTAACTGGCTGCACTAGTGTTATAGAGAGAGATATTGGTCGTTGTCTGCTTTTCATTTAGTTGTTACGATGTTTAATCAGAACAAGAGCATGACATTAGTTGCAAGTAAACACTAGTGTTGTCTCTTCTCCAAAATGAATATTTCAGCAATGGTTGGTGTAACAGAAACTTTCTGTTTTGCCTCTGAGGATGGAGCCTATTTCGTGGTTTTCTCGCGTTATGCATTGAAGCCCCCAGTATCTTTTGCTCGCTCAGTAAATGAATCTAATTGGGTGAACAAGCTCTTAAGGGTACACTTTGCTCAGCTTTAGCCAGAAGATAGCTGTGCATCTGCGGTTATAGGGACAAGAAAGCAAAGTGGCCCAGAATATTTTATAAAGTTGGGATGCAAAGTACAATTCAGCTAGAAAAATAGTTGCAGGAAAGCGACTTTTGTAGTAAAAGCTTCTGCTGTTCCTCCTGACTGAATTACATGTAGTTGTTTTCTGCTGCCAAACTTTTAATTCCTTCTGAACAGAGCTTGTGAATGGGATGGTTTGCAATATCTTGGAAGGCATTGAGGGCAGTTCTCTGTTTGTGATTACCTGATAATTGCACCAGACAATGATTAGTTGGATATCTCCAGGAGATTCAAACCCAATTAAAAATATTTAAACTACCAATAATGGCAGTTGTTGATGACTGGGTACATATTTTTCCTATGGGATAGTTAGACTAAAGAGTACAGTTGTACGTAGATTAACAGAAGTGAGTTTTGAAATTCAGTGAGGCTTTGTATTGCATTTGAAGGTCTCATCTGATTTGTAACAAATCAAACTGGCAATTAAGTTTAAATGACTTAATGTGAAGGGTTGCAAATGAGCGCATCCCAGTGTATTGGGGCCAATGTGTTCAGCAGAGACTACTCATTCTTTCTTTTTCCTGAGTACTTACCCCACCCCCCAAAATATCAGGAACCGGAAGGTGTCTCTCTGCCTAAACAATGAGTTCCCTGAGACAAACTAGGTTTGAGAGCAGGGTCGAGCTAGATGTTCTACCAAATTCAGAGTTGCAGTTGAAAACAGTGCCCTGTATGTCTAGTTCCACCTGTTTTCCCTGTCTCCATGTGTAGTATCAATATGTGTATTCTGTATACACACAGATCCCAACCGCTAATGTATAAAGATGGATTAGACAATGTACCACATGGTGAAGACTTAAGTTCTTGTTACCCCACATTATGGGACAGCAGAGGAGGCACTGGCTTGGGTGGCAACTGCATGTTTGCAGGATTCACCTAACCAGACTTCCACTTGTGCAACAGGGCTTTCCACCACCACCACTGCCCCCCCCCCCAAGTTGGCTGGGGGTGTTGAGAGAGCTCCCAGAGAGAGAGCACACTGGGGAGAGGGGTTGTTTCACCTGGCAAACTGCAGTGCTGTGCAGACAGTACGATTGGAGATTGCAATGCTGAATTCCACCCAACAAACTCTTGAATGTTTTCAGTGAGCTCATAATCAGCGCTCTAAACGTCAGCAGCAATTCTGTAGTTCTTTGGTGCTATTACTTGATCTATGCATAATTAAGATCCTACTTTTCAGCTGCTGGCCTTGCAGTCATGCTTTTTACCGCCTAGAGTTCAACCTAATCTGATGCACAAATTTCAGATTACGAAATTCCAATTTACTTTCTGTAAATTGAATTCAGTGGAGTTTAAACGTAAAGTCCACCCAAAGGGGTGTGTGCGTTCAGTCCCTCCACCCCCAACCCTTCTCACTCAGTCCTGTTTTGCAATTTGGGGTTAGTCCAAAAGATGACTTTTTCAGGATGGTTTTTCATAGGTTTTTACTGTTGGTTGTAGGCAGATTCCTGTTATCCCAGGATATTTTTATCATACCCAACAGTGTGCAAGCCAGTTCTTCTAGGTCCAGTATACTAACACAAAGCTTACATTTTCAGATTAGCTGATTATACATTGTAGGTTACAGAAAAATAGTCTGGAACTTCTTGGAAAATCAATACCCAAGATAAAGGAGGGTCTTTAATCTATAGAGAAGCTCCTCTTTGTGAGCTCTAGATTATGTTTCTTATCATGCAGTCTTGTTGACAGGGATGGTTTTCTGGGCCACTTGGAGACCTACGAAACAGATTGCGGGACAAAGTTCTGGTAGGTGCAGGGGAAGTTGGAGCCCCCCTTTAGTGATGCTAGTAATCCCTGGCCTGGATGTGAAATACGCAGCTTCATTTTGCTGACAAGTACAAGAAAAGACAAACCTGTGTTGTTAAAAAATGCATCTAAGTATTACAGCTCAGCGAAGTCTTTCCAGCATCTATTGCAAATCAGCTTTCAAAAGTAGTGTGGCACTTTAAGTAGGTTGTTTAAGCACCCTCACCTCTTTCCTCCTGTCCCTCCCATATGCACTTTAAGCTCTGTGGCTGTTACCTGTTACATGCAGGAGGGTTGTCTTGGATGGACAATGGGTAGTGGTGATGTTAACCTTGCCTGCCATTGCTGCCTCCTCTATCTCCAGAGGCAAAGGCATTGTGTGTACCCTTTCCTGTCTCAGCATATCCACACCACTCAATAATGTGAAAGCGAGAACGTTGGCATGCAGTGGCTTTTGTGAAATGGGCTAGCCGATTTTTGACTGTTCTCATGAGCTAAGCTGTGGTTTTCAATGATCAGCTGAGCCACAGAACCTAAGCTTTTAAAGAGCGATGGACTAAACTGCCATGGGATCAAAACTGTATTGAAATTCTGTAGGTTTTAACTTTTCCACGCGTTTCTCTTCCTGAACTTCTGCCTCAATAATCTGTTCTTGGGTGGATTCTTGCTGAGACAGACTGAAAGCTGGCCCTGTATTGGATGTTATGGGCTAGGGTGCCACCCTCTTGAATGCCACTGATGCCAAATGAGAGTGCCTGTAAAGGACAGGTGGTTTGGAATGCTGTGCTGCTACCTTGAACCCATGCATTATAGCTATGCGTTGTGCATGTTGCCACATCACGAATGAGAGCACCAATGGGATATCTGTCTGAATTGCACAGCACAGATAGATACTTGGTGGCATTTCAAAGGGTGACACTCATGCCCACTTTCTGTGGTCTGGCTTTTGGTGGGATGTGTGGGAATCTTGAGCAAACTGCAGCTCAGAATGGATCACGGTCACTGGTGAATTATCCAATTTGATTCTTCTGCTGCGCCCCACTCCTAAAGTTTTAAATATATAACTCTTCTTTTGTTAAAGAAATATCCTAATCATGTGTCCCCTCCCCTCCCCCTTTAAAAACTAATCAACCACCACCTGGCAGACCCTTTAAAACTATTGCTCTGTGAATCTGAAACACACAAGATATCTGTTGCAGTTCTTGAACTGCTCTTTTTTGGTTGTATTGCATTGCATTGCAACAGAATTCATACTTCACTTCTCCAACAGGCTGAAATGTGATCTAGTTGTTTGACAATAATTGATAGCAGAACAGCCCAATTTATTTTTTATTAGCATTTTCCCAAACCCACATTTGGTGCATCCTTTATTCTCCCATTGATCTCCATGCACATGGAGGAAGAAAACAAAAGGGAGGTAATATAGTCATTATTCTGTGAGTGTGTCTTTTGGTGGTGGTGCTGGTGGTGGTGGTGGTGGGGAGAGTAAAACAACAGTGAAGATAAAGACTTGTACAAACTTATTTAAAGCAGTTTAGCAAAAATAAATAAACTAAAAGCTCTCATTGAACAGCTTTAAAAACAATGTGAATGGAAACTTAGAAACTGGGTTAGGACTCTGAAAAATTCTATAAATGTATACTTGAAATTCTGTTTGTATTTTAAAACAAATGCATTTTCCTCTTTAACACTGTGTAAAAGAAATGTTATGCATGTGAGTGGTTTGAGAATTAAATGGTTTAATACTCATAACTGGAGTGCACTGTCTTTTGTTTGGCTGTCTGTCCACAGCCCTGTGTACCACCTCTTCCATTTAACAGTCCCCAAACTAAGGTTTTTTGTTGCCACCCATCTGTCTTGCGAGACGATGGAGTGCACCTCCAGGGGTGAAGTAAAACCGGTATGTTATCAGCACTGAAGTGACCTCCCCAGTGCACAAGCCTGGGCAGTGTGGATGGAGGTCCTGAGCTGCCCAAATGACAAGATCAGCCTCACTGATGTGGCCCAAAGGAAAGCGGAACAATACTTTTGGCACCAGCTTGGCTGCAGGAGTTGCCAGAAGGAGGCATACAAGGGCCATCCAACCATCTTAGGGACTTCACTCCAGATTTCTGCAGGGTTTACTCCTTAGCCTTTTCTTCTCCCAAAGATGTCCTGCAAGGCAGTGGAGATGGAGGATCAGAGTTTTCCTTCTCTAGATGGACTGCCTTCCCTGATTGAGGAGCCCTGTCTGCCCCTCACTTCCCTCTACAGCACATGCGGAAACTGCATTCTTGATCGTTGGGCCCGCTCTTGGTTTCATCCACCCAATCTGCTGGAGCCTGTCTTTGCATGCAGGGAAGTCCTTAGCTCACCAAGGTTTAAGACCCATCAGCCACCCTCATCTGGTGAAGTCTGTCAGTCGAAGCTATTCCCAGGCTGTGGCTGCTGTTGCATGCTGACAGCTTGTAGGTACCACAGGTGAGAACTGAATGCAAGGTGGGGACCAAAGGTGTGCAAACTAGCCCTGAAGGAGCATACCGGAGGCAGTGCCCCTCGCCTAACAACCCATACACCCCAAACTAAGGTTCACTACTCACGCAAAGTCAGTTTTCGCATGTCTTTTCAATTTATTGGAGCCCCTCACTGGTCTTCGTGGACAAGCTGAAATCATTCAGCTTTCACAGTGGTAGCTTCGTACATGCCTCATGCCATTAATCACTCTGTCACCAAGCAAAAAGCTATGTACAGTGGTCCACCAGGAAAGTTGTCAAGTGCAAAACAAAATATGAGTGATAGGCTGTGTTTGCTTTCTTGGGTCACAAGTTGTACAACCTATCCTTCCTGGTTTTGCCATTGTCCATGGATTGCAGCCCTATAATATCATTCGCTTCTGTGGCAAAGGCTCTTCCAAAAACCACAGCATGGGCTTTAATGAACAACTAAGATAACAGCCATCTTCTTCAGCAATTCAAAAATGTTGCTAAGATGGCAACCGCTAAAGAAACGCTCTAAAGCTGTATCCTATGCACAATTACAAGGATGCAAGGTACATGGAACTAAAGGATTATCACTTCTGAGTAAATATGCATAGAATCAGGCGGCATATACTGAAAGTAGAATTCATTTCAGTTCAAGGTGCAAGTAGGATCTTGAGTGCTCTTCCAGTGCTCTTCAATGCTTCCACTGTTCTTAAGTGGAAATAAATGCACAGATTGCTATATACACCATGGGGCAGGCAGGGTGTTTTTTGTTTTGATACCCCATTTGCTATACCTTGTATCTGTGATCAACCTCCATTAATGGGACTTGGGGCCTTCATTTTATTAATCAAAGTCAACAAGTTAGAATTCAAATTTGCATAGCCAACTGTTTATTCGGTAAAGCTGTCATCAGTTGGGAATGGCTTCCAAATAGCTCGCACGCTGTTCCTGGTCTTTAGGAATAGAGTGGCCATGTTATTTGCAGGGCGGCTGGGGGGAGGGATCATTCCCCAATACACCCCTCTTGTGGTGCAGCTAGCCTCTCCAAACATCTGCCATCTTAAAGGTTAAATAAAGGTAAAGGTAAAGGTAAAGGTACCCCTGCCCGTACGGGCCAGTCGTGTCCGACTCTAGGGTTGTGCGCCCATCTCACTTAAGAGGCCGGGGGCCAGCGCTGTCCGGAGACACTTCCGGGTCACGTGGCCAGCGTGACGAAGCTGCTCTGGCGAGCCAGCACCAGCGCAGCACACGGAAACGCCGTTTACCTTCCCGCTATAAAGCGGTACTATTTATCTACTTGCACTTAAGGGTGCTTTCGAACTGCTAGGTGGGCAGAAGCTGGGACTGAAAGACGGGAGCTCACCCCGCCACGGGGATTCGAACCGCCGACCATGCAATCGGCAAGTCCTAGGCGCTGAGGTTTTACCCACAGCGCCACCCGCGTCCCTAAATTAAGGTACCACCAGTTAATAAACTACTGTCTCTAAACATAGCTGAAGAGGCAGGTGTGTGTAGTAAATTGTGAGAAACAAATCTTTGTATCTTCAATTTATTCTTCCAAGACTCAGATTTTCAAAGAAAAAGAAAATGCTGCTAGCCAGGAAGGACAGATGGAAAAAGAAAGACATGAAAGAGGGAAGACACACAATATGCAAGCAGATGGTGCCTTCGCCTCTGCAGATTGTCCTGCAAGTCTTCCTGTTGTGGAAGGAGGAATTTTTGGGTTGTCTTTGCTTTTGTTTTTATTATGCATTTTTATATATTTGTGTTTTCATATTGTAACTTTATGTCGTGAACTGCCCTGCGGTAAACAAATTTAATAAAAAAATAATAACAGAATAATAATGATGAAGGCATTTCAGAGTCAAAACGCACAGCTGAGTAAGAATGGGTTTAGTTGTAATTTGAGAACATGTCATACTATAAGAGAGATACAGCAATGATACCTTTTTATTAGCTGTTTCAAAACAGGAAGAGGACCACTGAAAAACAACCTGAGGTGTTAAGAGCAGGGATTGGCTACTCTGCCCAGGAAGAGAATGGCATTGATGTCAACTTCCCGTATGAGCACCAAGAAAGGTCTGTTAGCATTGAAGACAAGTTTGTTCAAAGGAAATGAACGGCCTGTGATCATGACTGCTGTGGAAGCAGCTGCCTCGCTGCCTTCTTCATTCACCTGCCAATCAAAGATGCACAGAATTTAGGCCACACGTTTTCAAGAGCAATTGCACTGGAGACCAATAGAAATAAGGGCTTTCTTCTTCCATAATGCCCTATACCTTGAGAACATAACTAGGGTTGCATGTTTCATTTACTAACTGGTTAGATTAATCAACTAAATAGGTGCCCCCCTGATTACTTGGGAAGCAGATTTTGAAATATATACATATGCTGCTCAAAAGTATAGTGGCAGACTCTCCAAGTGTCCTGTTTCCCAGGGATGTCCCTGATTTAGAGAAGCCGTCCCAGTTTCTGATTTGATCCTGGAATGTCCCACTTTTCCTTAGACTGTCCCTATTTCCACTGGAGAAATGCTGGAGGATATGGAGTTATCTGACCCGAGCCATCTGAATGCAATTCTGTATAGGGAAGTTTTTAAATGTTTTATTATATTTTTATATACGTTGGAGCAATGGGATGTCCCTATTTTCATCGGACAAATGTTGGAAGGTATATAGTGGGCAATCACCATTTTGAGGCATCCGCCCTTTTCTCTTACAATGGTGGAAATGTCTCTCCTAAACAACCTGTTACAACATAAATGCCTTTGAGATAGCCCCTGTGTGTGAGTGCTGGAGCTGCCTGAAAGGTGGTTGAAAGCGGCAATGAGAACAGCACCAGCTTACCTCTAGAGAGGCTTTGTGGAATGCTTCAGATACAAAAACATCCCTCCGGGCACCTGAAATTATCCCTGAAAAAGACAAGAATTACAGTAAAATTACAGTATAAATTGGGGGAGTGCAAGCTGCCTATTGGGGAGTTTATGATGTGGCTATTAGGCATTGAGTCTGTGGAGAAATGACCAGCAAATGGTGAGAGAGAGAGAGAGAGAGAGTGTGTGTGTGTGCGCGCGCACCAGCCACATCATGTGATCAATTCTGCGGAGTGGGGCTTACCTGCCCCCCCTCAAATATTTTATTCAAGTTGGCACCCCTGTGATGGAATATATACACTTATGGCACTGCTTCTCATTGCATGAGAAGCTGTAGAGAGGATGCAAAAGGTGGGAGCCATGTGTTTGTGTGTGTGTGTGTGTGTGTGTGTGTGAGAGAGAGAGAGAGAGAGAGAGAGAGAGAGAGAGAGGGGAAGGAAGGAAGGAAGCTGCAGCAGCTGCATCACAAACCTGGCTAAAATTGATTGCAGAAGAGAAGGAATGCACTAGAAGGCCTAGAGCAGGCTGTAGCTAGAATGCCCTCCAGCATATGGTGATGGACTTCTATCCCCCAATTCAAAGTGGCACAAGATGGATCTCTGAACTGGACCTTAGAGATTGTATGCATGTTGACGGTCTGAACTGATGGATCATATAAACCAGGTGTGGGGAATCTCTGGCCTCCAGAAGTTGCTGACCTACAACTTGCCATCACATCTGACTATTGCTAATGCTGGCTGAGGCTGATGGGAGTTGTAGTTCAGCAAAATCTGGGGGGCCAAAGACACCCCCCAACACCTGATATAATCAGGAGTTTCAGGGCAAGACTTTCATTTTATCCACCAGATGCTCAAATACACCTGGGGACGGTGGGCTTTCAAAACCAGGGCAAAAATATAATTGTAAAGAAGTTTGTTTAGTTTTATAATTAGGGTTGTTTTTACCATGTGCTTATTATTTACTTTTTGGTATACATTCTTAGAAAATCTGGAGAGGCTACTTTTATTTTGTCTCTCATGGTAATGAGACCAAGGCTATTCCTAATAAATTGTGTGTGTGGCCTGGGGCAGGGAGGTAGCATATAAGCAAAGTTTTGCATATGATTGTTAAAACTGGATATATTATTTTGAAGTCAATCTTTACTATTTGAAGGTTTTGGATCTTTCATGACAGCATCAGTGTGGCAACAAGAGAAGTGGTGCCGGTAAATAAAGGGGCAGAGAACATATAGTACGTGACTACAGATCTTAGAGTGACAAGCAGAACGTAGAAGCTCCATGAACTTCCTGAGACCAAACACAGGTATGCCAACATATAGAATCATAGAATTGTAGAGTTGGAAGGGACCCCAAGGGTCATCTAGTCCAACCCCCTGCAATGCAGGAATCTCAACTAAAGCATCCATGACAGATGCCCATCCAATCTCTGCTTAAAAACCTCCAAGGAAGGATGTTTTTACAATAAGGAGGTCTAGAAAGTTGTTATGCTTTGAAATAAAATATGAGAATCTTAGGAATCCAAGTTGTTAACCTCCAGGATCTTTGAAACGGAATGCCCCCCCCCTTTATTTTTTAACATTTTTTGCCAGGTGTGAGTTTCTATGCATAAAATGTTATGCTGAGGGTGGTTACTTGGAAGGGCAGAGGGGCATCCTATCCTCTTTCCAAGCACAGGAGCCCTTCAAGACTCACCTGGCAGATTGGCATCTTCTGGTCTGAAAAGATCCTTCAGACCCATCTGCTTTAGCTTCTCCTTCAGGCTGAAGCTGTCCTCCAGACGGAGCGGGGCAGATGCACTGAGATGGAGACCTCTCTCAGGACATTCAGCCAGCCTTCCAGCTTCTCGGCTGTCAGCCCCTGTTCCACGTCTGCCAGGGGGGTCTGTGCAAAGGGCAGGATGAGCACCATGGTGATGTCATCTCCTTTGTAGGGCAGCTCCAAGACCTGCACTTTGGAGCTTGCAATAGAGGCGTGCTTGAATGTCGCTTCCTGATACATGGTAGGCACAGGGCAAGGCTCAGAACCAGTTCTGTAAAAGGTCTCCACCTTTGTATTTTCGAGCTCGAACTTTGATTTCCAGTGGCCCTGGGTTAATGCATTAAAATAAAGCGAACAATCAGTCAGAAGCCAGGGATCTGGACTACCCAGCAGGTTTACTCCCTACGAGGAAATTATTAATCTGGAATAATTACCACACATGGCTCTGCATCACTGAAATGGATTGGGATCTACACAAAAGCATCTGAAGATTTGGGGGGGAACCCCATCTTTGTTAAGACAGGTTCAGAAGTAACTATTTCGTGTTCAGATGTCTTGAGCGAGTGCCCACTGAGAGGGATCATGACAGAAACAGGCTTCAGGTACACAAACTGATGATCTCACTTCCATTCCCACTGATGTTTACAATTATGCCTTTTAAGGTTGGGCAGGCAATCAGACAATGCTCCCTCACAACTGGCTCCTCATCCACTCTGCAGACTAGCTATATTCCTGCCATCGGCCTCTCAGTCAATTTTGTGAAGCCAGCATCATCATGGGGCATGGCTGCCACACGCACTGCCGTCAGGAACATAGCTAGGCTTGGTTTCAGAAAATAATTTTCTCCTTCCATCAACAGCCCCTCTTCCCTCTGTGAGTGGGTTTTAAACCATCAGTTCAGGCATGTCACTCTTGTGACTTTTCCATACCTTAAAGTAAATAGTGTTGACTAGTACCAAAACGGTGAGGGCATCAATGCCTCCTTCCGGGATCACATTCTTGATGAGCTTCTCTGTTTTATTTGCCACCCAATCATTAATGAGTGCCCTAGATAATTCTGGCTTCTCCTGAAACGTGGGACATAGAAAAGGCTCTATGAAATCTCACATTCTACCAGACAACATATTCAGATGTTTAATTATTTAATTTGGTTCAAAGCTAATAGAATTTCTCAACCACAGTCCCTCAGTACTATTGTTCAACACCTACAGTAAAGGACATAATACTTTTCAATAAAGAACTGGAGACAAGACCATCAGCCTATTTGGAAAAAACATGTGGTTGGTCATGTGTCCAAAGTCATGGTTACCAACCAGCCAAAACTATACAGGTCAGTAAAAATTGGCCTCTTGGCCAGTTGACAGAATTGGAGGATTAAAAAACCAAGAAAAATGCAGTATGGGCATAAGTAGCACTCACATGTGCACTAAGGGAAGCGGCTGTGTTTATAAGTGAATGGCACATGCATGCCACTGTAAATGAATGCACCTTGCAGGGCAACTGTGCTCAAATCACAGCAGTTTCTGACTGTGAAAGAGAATTTCCTTGGTAGTAGTTTGCAGTTCTGGAACTTCAAGGGAAATTCAATGGACCCCATTTGTCTTGACCTTCTGTAAAAAGAATAGGACCTGTATATGGGTGGGGAGGTAATATGGCTAAGCCAACACCAATGAAATAACAGAGTAACACCATAGGGGAGGGGTGGAAGCATATTTTGTAGCATACGCTGTCTTAAATGCAGCTTATTGATGACTTGTGACAATGTCTGGTTGACATGGAAACTGCTTCAGGGGTGGGGTTACAGTCAAGTGGTATGTAAATTTTATGAAACAAATGCATTTTCTGAAATAAACAGAAAAAATCCAGAGAACGACTCTAAGCCAAAGCCCCGAAAGTAAAAACCATAGGTGTGAAAATCTTAATTCACACCGAACAGTTCTCCATAACGTTTTTATTCCATTTTTTCCATCATAACAATTCATTAAGAAAAAGGCAACCCTATAACTTGTCCATAACAGCAGCCAAATCCAGAAGTAAATTAGCACAGAATTAGAAAATATTACCACTGAACAAATCAAGTAAAGTTGCAAAGTGCTGGGAGGCGCAGGGCAGCCCAGTAGGAAAGGGCAGCCCAGTAGAAAATAATTGTATACAGCTGAAAACACTGGCAGCATTAAGATAAATTCAACAGAGTAAATAATTTTTGATGGATGTAAAAGTGAAAAACTAATTTGAATGGTTATAGTAAAATATGCAGGAATGTATGATATGTAAAATGAACCATAGAAAGAGAAGAAGGGAAGTCATTGGATATTTTAAAGTTTATAAAATGTTTATTTGAAATTGTAAAACAGAACACTTTATAAAACTTTATAAAAAAATATTATATAAAAAAGAATAAAGGGGAATCAGATAAGGAATCCTGCACTAAAAGTAAAAAGTGTGCTGAGTAGACTCATAAAGCAAAGAAATGATGAACACTACATTTTATTGAGTTTCTGTTTGTATAGCACTATCCATGAATATGACACTTTACAAGAAATGAGCAGAACTGCATTCTAGAAAATTACAGAAGAAGACAGCTATAAAATAGGAATAAAATGGAGATGGAATAAACAATGGAAGAAATGAATGCCATTATTGCAGCTGCATCTACTTATGCGTAAAATATATTAATATAAATCTGGATTCAGCTGGCAAACCTCATCAGCGGGAGTCCTGTGGAAGAACTTCTGTTTGTAGTTTTGCAACCATAGGTAGAAGACAGAATGTTGGTGTTACACATCCCCTCCAACACATTAGTGACAGAGTGTTGTTTATGTAATGCATTTTCCCCAGAGTCAAATGCCAGTGGTATACTAACACAGACTCCTGTTGGTTAGTTATTCCACATATCATTCCACCTTTCTTGTGGAATTACAGTCCCAAGGCCCCCTTCCCATGATGCCTTCACATTGTTAGAGGTTTTCCAAATAGTGTGGTAATGTTGCTTGTTGTTGTTGTTGTTGTTCGTTGTTGTTATACCCCTCCCAACTGACTGGGTTGCCCCAGCTACTCTGGGCTGCTTCCAACAAATATAAAAGCATAATAAAACAAAAAAACATTAAAACTTCCCTATACAGGGCTGCCTTCAGATGTCTTCTAAAAATTGTGTGGTTCTTTATCTTTTTTAACATCTGATGAGAGGGCATCCACAGGGATGGCACCACTACCAAGAAGGCCCTCTGCCTGGTTCCCTTTAACTTCACTGCTCACAATGAGGGTACCACCAGAAGGCCCTCAAAGCTAGACCTCAATGTCCAGGCTGAACAATGGGAGCAGAGACGCTCCTTCAGGTATACAGAGCTGAAGCCATTAAGGCAGTGATGGCCAAACTTGGCCCTCCAGCTGTTTTGGGACTACAGTTCCCGTCATCCCTGACCACTGGTCCTGTTAGCTAGGGATGATGGGAGTTGTAGTCCCAAAACAGGTGGAGGGCCAAGTTTGGCCATCACTGTGTTAAAGGCTTTAAAGGTCAACACCAACACCATCGAATTGTGCTTAGAAATGTATTGGGAGCCAATGTAGGTCTTTTAGGACCAGTGTTATATAGTCCTGGCGGCCGCTCCTAGTCAGCAGTCTGGCAGCTACATTCAGAATTAATTGTAGTTTCCAAGTCACCTTCAAAGGTAGCCCCATGTAGAGTGTGTTGCTGCAGTCCAAGGGGGACTTAGGCCTTGTTCATATAGATCCATCATTCTGTACAGCTCTTTTGACTTCCAGCCTGAATTTGCTTATTTTTCTGCTCATGAACAAAATGTAGATGGTCTAAGAATGGGAACAACTTATCTCTTCCATAACCCCATTGTTGCCTTCGATAAAAAGATTTGTTATCTCTGCAAATAACGAGGGTTTGAGAGATAGGAAAGGAACAAATGATATACATTTATTTTTTAAATCTGTTGATTTTATCTATATATTGATTGTTCTTATAGCTGTTCTTATAGCTATTTTTAATTAACGCTTTATACTGTTTTGTGTAAACCACCTAAATATTTTAACTAAGCAGTGCATATCAATCTCATTAAGTATTTTGGCCCTGAGAGGGAATTTGAACATGGGTTTTCCTAGTTTTAAGCCCCACACTGTAGCCCCCACACCACACAAGCACTCTTGTTATCTTTAGGTCCAGAGAAACTTTAGATCCAAAGAAACTTACAGCCATCTCTTCAGAAGAGAAAAATGACCCTCTTCCCACATACAAACTAGCTCATTATCTTTACTGCTTGTCTGTAATATTTCTCTCTAGGTGGAGGAGTCTGCTATAGTTGGAGTGAGTGGCTATGTTGAATATCTCCGTGAACAGGAAGTATCTGAGAGGTGGTTTCGCTACAACCCACGTCTCACTTGCATCTATTGTGCCAAATCCTTCAATCAGAAGGGTAGCCTGGACCGGCACATGCGGCTCCACATGGGCATCACACCCTTTGTTTGCCGTATGTGCGGCAAAAAGTATACTCGCAAGGATCAGTTGGAGTACCATATCCGCAAACACACAGGAAACAAACCCTTTCACTGCCATGTCTGCGGGAAGAGTTTCCCCTTCCAGGCCATCCTCAACCAGCACTTTCGTAAGAATCATCCTGGCTGCATGCCTCTGGAGGGGCCGCACAGCATCTCCCCAGAGACCACAGTTACGTCAAGAGGGCAGGCGGAGGAGGAATCGCCTCTTCGGGAAGAAGCCAATATGGCGGGGGAGACAGCCCAGGGATCTGTGTCCACCACTGGGCCAGACTGAAGAGGAATGCAAAATGGGTGAGAGGGATCCTCTCAGTCCGTGAGCAAATCCCCTTGAGACGGTGAGCTTGAGTTCTCATTTGTGCAATGTCGCCGCTGGACAAAGAAGCTCCCAAGATGTTGCCAAAATAGAAATGATATGAAAACAAAGTGCTAAAAGCTCACCTCCTTTTCCTCATCTCCTTTTGAGGGGACGAGACAAAAACTGGGTCAACTAACCTCCGATTCAGGGATTGACAGCTTTTTTTTGGATGGGGAGAAGCTTTTTTTAAAAAAAATATCCAGTAGTGATCAAGGAATGACAGCTTTTTCATTTTCTTGGCATCAGACCCTGTGGTCCTGTGGGCTGTAGAGGTCTAGCTGTGATGAGTGCAGAGCACCAGTATCTCTATTCATCACAGTAGTTGTGCCACTGAAGAAGTAATGGGGACAAAAATTAGTTCTCCCTCTCTCTTTCCCCCTCCCCCTCACAAAATAATCTTCCAGGTAATTATTTTTGAGAAGAATGGTTGTCCTGGTAGAACCTAACTTGTCTGAGTGTATTTTATCTCATTTTATTTTGGCGTGTCTTTTTAAAATTGACCCATTACTTAAGGGCTTTCTGTTTTGTGTCTTGGCTTGCCCATTCTAGGTGTGTGGTCTTGCCTGTTTGTGATGAGGCAAGTCTCTTTTGATCAGTATTTTAGAGGTGACACAATATTTAATTAAGTAAGCTACCGAAAAAGACGGTAGTAGCTGTGAAGCTCTGCCATGTTTGGTGGGAGATATTTTCAGTTGTGAAATGTGGATAATGCAGAACACTTTGCAATTCTTGCTCAATTTCTGGGCTCTGCAAAGACTGAAAAGGTAGGATGAGGTTTCCTGTCATGAATAATTGTTTAAATAGCGGCTTTGCCTCAAAGGTCATCTTTTGCCTCCCTTCTAATATAACAGCAATATTTGTATATCAAAATAATCAAATTCCATTGGAGGGGATTATGGGTTGACTGTCTAAGAATGGTTCTCTATTTGGTATTTTTATATTAAAAATGCAAAAAAATATGCATTAGTAATAATTCAGAAAGCTCACTTTCCAGTTTTCTACAAGCAGTGATAGCTCTTCCTTGAGCCTTTGTAGTATTTTTCACATGAGTTTACTGGGAAGATAACAGTGCCGCTGCCAAACCCAGCAAATATGCACTTGCCTCATGTTTCCTAATATATTGCTTGTTAGTGTAAGGATGCAGGCATGGGAGGGCAAATCTCTTGAACTTTTGTTTGAGACTTGCAAAATAAGCAGCAGTTCAAGCTCTGCTTTAGGGTTGCGTTGTATTGATGTACAAAAAAAAAGCTGGTATCATGCCAAGCAGATGATGTGGATCTCAAGAAAATAGCTGATAAGATGAAAAAGCAAGCTAATTGGGGAAGGTATCAAAATGGGGAGGGGAGAAATCATGCTATCATAATGGGAAGGGAGAGATGGCCTTGTGGTAAACAAGCTTGTGCTTTGTACTAATAATTGGCCTTCTTGTAAAAATGAGGATATTTTCTTAATTCATGTTTTGGTTGAAAGAATGAATGAAAGCAGAAAACTTGTTTAACCCCCCCCCCTTTTCATTGTTTGGTGTTAACTGAGAAATTCCTTCTATTCCCCACCTCACAGCACCAAGGGTGCACTTCTCTGTAAGGTGGGGAGTAGAATGAATTTCTCTTTGTGGTCAGAAGACAGGAAACCACCAATAAAGGTCAACTCATAAAAGCTTTAAAGAGTTGGATGAGACCCTCCCAAACTCACACACATACACTCTCTCATTTGGACTGAAGCAGGGAGGGTAATAGAGAGATACAAATATATATGCTGCTTTAGTTATAGCTTTCAAATTTACCAAAAAGAGTAAAATTACACTCAAGAGCATTGGAAAATATTTCTAGTTACTTATACAAAGATTTTAAGCATTTAAAAATAGAACTTTAAAAATATTACCAAACTGTAAGGCATACATTTATTTATCTACACATATGTTATATATAGTTATAATGGGGAAGTTTATCTGCTGAGCTGGTGATGGTGTAGGTGATGGCTATACAGAAGAATTTTTTCAAAAGCAGAATTGCAGCAAAATCCATCCAAGTTTAGGTGGCAAAGAGTTGAAGTGGAATATTGAATGTGGTATTCATGGAGCTGTGAGTTTCTTGAACAAGTTGTAACTGTACTGATACTGTGAACTGAGGAGCAGCCAAGAAATCCGGGTTCATCATGCAACAATTCTCTGCTTGCTGGTAAGACTCCTCTCTATTTAGCCTGGCCAGAGTCAATAAGCACTTCTTACATTTTAGCCTAGGCTTAGTTGTAGAAGAAAAATAAAGCTTGTGAAAGGTGTTTTTTTAACTTGCCACTGTAGAAATTAATCATTTCTAATTGCATGCGAAGGAGCCAATATTCTTGCCCAGATCTCACTGAAGGGAGGTTTACTGCTTGTAGCTATAGTTCTTGACCTCATTTAGATGTAACACTACATCTTCATTTGGTATTATGAGTTAAAGTCTGCATAAGCCTTGAGTTCCCACATTCTCTCCCACCCATCTTTTGATGCAGCCACAATGAGTTCACAAGTTGTTCTGTTTCAGATTAGCTTGGAAGTTGACCTGTTGTCTGAACACAAACTGATGAATCTTAACTATGATTTGTTCATACAGGCTGACTTCAAACCATAGTCCATGACATTGTATTGCTTCAGTGAACTATGGTTAAGATTAATCACAATTTAAACTTTAGATGCTATGAAAAAGGTCAGGTTATCTAAAACTGAACCTTCTAGTTTTCTTTTAGCTGCATTGAAGGAGGAGAGGGAGAAGGAAGTATGGGAGCGCAAGACTTTCTGTATTTCATTCTTGTAACGCTAGACCACAATTTAGCATTATGTCCAAACAGCAACTGTAAGGAATAGAACCAGGGATCATAATTTTGTGTGTGCATATGTGTACAAAGGACTTGGGGGATCTAGACCTGTTTGGCTTTCAGATACTCTCTTAGCAAAATTTAATCGTTGCCAAAAAATCCTGAGATTTTTGTTATTCAAAGAGCAAGTTTCTAGCCCTGATTCTAAAAGAGAGAGATTCCTGTTTGTGGTTTCCATTAATAATGTTGGAGCTAGAGGAAGGAGCAGTTCTTCCAGTATTCTAGAGGATCTTGATAGTACACTTTTATCTGTGTGTCACCTTCTTTTTCTTGATGTGTGGCAGAATAAATGAGAATGAAAAGAAACAGAAATCCTGCAGGAAAAAATGCATTTAAATTGTACATCCAAATAAAACATACACATTACTTGAATGTATTCAAGCAGCTGTGATTTGCATTATTCCAGTCAGGCCTGACAAAAGTACATGCCCTCCTTGAGCAGCTGCCAAGCCCTAGCAGGGCCCAATCCGAGGTGTGCTTTGGAACCCAGCCACCCTTTAAAAGAGTGGCTGAGTCTGGGAGCTGCCATGTAAATTTCTCACAGGGCCCTAATGTAGAGTTGCTCTGGGGCATTGTGTCATCTGGTACTGATCCAGACCTACAGCTGCCACCGTGGCCAGGTAAGGGAAGGTCCCACTGGAAAGCATCTTTACTAAGAGTTCCCTCAAGCATGGAGCTGGCCTCGATTCGTTACTGAGTATAAAAATGGCAGGTGCTTTAATCAGCCTTGTTGTCCGAGGTTCAGAACCTGAGATGGAAGGGCAGGTGGCTGGCAGACCAGAGGACAGAGCCAATTGGTGACTAAAGAGGATGGTTCCCAGCCAGTTAGGATAAGAATTTGGCTTTGCTTGGTGGCTCAGGGTAGAGTCTGCTGGATATGAGGGTGGTCAGAGCAAATAACAAAATCTCTTCAAGCCATACAGAAAATAGCCTGCCCACTTCCTTGTCTCTACCCTGCAACTTTATCCTTTCCCCTGGATACCCTGAATTCAGAACCTGAGACCTGAGTCAGTTCTTTTTTTCCTGAAGTTGGTTCTTTTTCTTTCTAGACTGCAAATGACCAAGGGTTGTAGCCAGTGTTAGACCTACTCAGACTAGACCCATTGAAATTAAAAGACATGAGTAACTTAGGCCCATTATTTTATGTTGGTTTACTCTGAGTAAAACTTAGTTGGATACAGCCCTAACACATGTATGTGTGGGCTGGTGGGTGCATAACACATTTTGTGGGCTCATTTGCAAGGCTGGTTTTGTTGCCCAAACACATCTTCATGCTTTGTGTAGCAATATTCATTCCTGTGTGTTACTAGTGATTTTCAAAAGAAAGTAGCAAATGTCAGTGGTAGGCTTACGTATAACTGAAAGAAAACCATGTGCCAATACTAACCCTTTAACAACCTTTTCTACTGCAGAACAATTGCTTCTACAGCACAAGAGTTACCAAGCTCACTACTATAACCTCAGCCTTGACTCTGCTAATGACCTATGCCATCAGTAGCATTAGCCTAGTCAGGCACAGTGCCCTTAGGAAGACTAAGGGATGACTATACTGTGATCTCAGCCACAGGGAAGGCAAATGTAGGCTTTGTTTGGATTATAAAATGCAGATGAGCTGGCAATCTGCTTTTCTGTTTGGTGCAGCTACATGTTTTTACCCTTGCGAAACAGATTTCAACTGTGATTCAAAGGAGAAGTGAAGTGAAACCCTTTCATATCTTCATACCTCATTAATTAATGGCCCACATCCAGGTAGAATTTAGTTATAGTGAATAATGTGTCTCATTCTTTTCCATGGGACTTAGTAAAAACTAATATTACCTGGATTCGGCCAGTTTCCCCCACTTCTGTTCCAGAAAAGGCCAAGAAAACTTGATTGCTTGCCTTGGCAATTGTCTCTAGAGGGGAAAGATCAATTTCATAGCTCTGTGCTTGCAAAACAGTAAAAATAAAGTAATAATAAACTTCAGAATGTGAAACATTGCAGTTATCTCCCTGAGCGTGCTGCTATGTCTTTGTCTTGCCAAAAGCAATAGAGTGACTTTGATGTAATTCTGAACCATATCACTGCTGAAATGGGAAACAAATATGTGTATAGTTGAGAACAATGATATGAAATGTAGATTATAATTCTATGTCCTTACCTTTGAGTAAGCATCACTGAACTTAGTTGAGGTTGCTGATTAAGCGTATATGGGATTGGATTGCGATGGTGGTCTCCGGCATTCCAGTTCTTCTAGCTCAAAAGATTTCCACTTGCAGAGCTGAACTTTCCCTTCCTCTCTTCTCCCCTGCAGCCCCCCATGCTCTCTCAAAATCAGCTCTGGGGGCGGGCACAGTGGGAGGAGAGGAAGGGAACATCCCATTGTGCAAGAGGGGTCTGCTTGCTGAGCATTGGATACAACCCTGAGTTTGATCAGATGAGACAAACTGAAATAACTGGCACTTTCCCAGCAGTCAGAATTTTCCTGCAATTTCTAGTGGAAATACGTGCCCATTTTCGTTTTTTAAAGCACCTTTGGATTGTGTACTTTACTACTTTGGAGTGTCAGATGCATTTTTCACAGCATACCTTAGAGGTGACGGTGGGTTTATACTTCAGTGCCTCTCTGTGTGTTGTCATAAAGTGGCTTGAAGATTTATTGTAAAAATGGTCTTAATCCAGATTAATCCCCCCTTTGTGTGCACACATCCTTAAAACAGCAAGTATATACAGGGCGATGCCTGTTAAATATGAATTTTAAAATATTCCAAGTTACCCCACAGAAACAAAGGTGGTTAGGATCAATTATATCTTTCTGTGGCAGTTACAGACCATTCGGGATATTAGTCCAGTGTTCGATGCTTCAAGCTTCAAGTTATTACCATGAAATGGAAACATGGTAAAATAAATTTCTCATGAAGGTGGAGCAATTGTGTAAATTCTACTTTTAAATAAATGCTAGAGTTTGTTAAAAGAGAGGTAGGGATTGTGTAGAACAGTTGTGCAATTTGCTGCTTGCTTGTTCACTGACGGCAACTAGCAATTGTTGGTGAACAGATGTAGAGTCAGTTAACTGAGTGGACGGAGTCAATCACTGCGCCAGGCTGCTCTGCCTTTCTTGGCTGTTCAAAGTCATGTCCGGCAGAGTGAATGGCTGTTTGCAGCAGTCTCTAACCTGGGGATTAAAGCACCAGGCTGTGTTGGCTCTCCATGGAGCTGGTTTACTCTGCACTCTGTTTCTGGGTTGGAAATGGCAACGGAGCCCCACTGACTATACATGGGGGCAAAACGGAGCTTTGCTGATGTGTGTTAGAAATACGGAACACATCTGTTGGCTTTGCGTGTGACTTTCAATCTCTCTCCTTAATAAGCTGGTAGCCAGCCAGGTGTATTCCAGGTATTGTTGGACTGCAGTTCCCATGGTCCCTGATAACTGGCTAGGCTGACTGGGGCTGATGGAGACCAGTATTGTGGGCCACATCTCTTTCCTAGGCAATAACCCTGCCCACAGCTGGGCTGCATTTCTAAGTTACCTCTTTTGGCTTTAAGCAGGCAAGTAGCACTATGGAGCAGAAAATGAAATAAAAAGCCAGCCAGCAGAACTGTCTCTATTTATAGCAAGATGCCCTGGTTGTTGCTATGTTCTTCCTGAGGAATGAGGGGTGCTTAGGCCAGCTTTCAACATGAGCAGGGGTAACTTTATTCCTTTGATATTGGAAAATGCTATCTAAAACAGTTGGGAACCCTTCTTTCTTTGCATATGGAACTTTCCGGGGAACGGAGCTGCCTTTTCTGGCGCAGAGCTCAGTGTGCATACCAAAAACCCTGTGTGAGCCTTAAGAATGGCAGGAAAAGAGCAAAAGTATTGACAAGTGTGTGGGTTTTTCAATAACACAGACTTCTTTGTCAAATAGGAACTTGTAGTATGCACACATTTTAAAGATAATTATTGCCAAGAATTTTAAGTTTTTAAACATTATTTTTCTTGTTAGTGGGATTTTTTTTTATGTGCAGATTCTCTGTTTCAGTATAACACCAATGGAACTGCTATGCCCAGTTAAAAACAGCAACAACCCAGAATCTGCCAGATTCAAACAGGTTCTATGTTCTGGCCAAGCAAAACTTCCTCTTTTAAAAAAAAATACTGTCCGTGATTTGGCACAAGATTGTACCAGATTGTACCAGCTATGCATGTTGAACAAAATTTAGCTGTTTGATTCAATTAAAGAAACAAACCAAGTTAGTTTAAGTGGAATTTAAAAGCTTTGGGGTCATAGCTGGGAAGGATAGAAAGACCCGAAGTTTGACTGGGAACCATTAATAGGGAACCATTAATCTTCCAGATTGGTATGTGACTTGGTAGACTGTGGATTCTTTTATTGAAAAAATGGCTGGAACCAGTTGCTTTAATATTCCTGGGTTAAAATCTAGTCTATTTGAAAATTGTTTCTTATATTACATATTGTGGCTACAGCATAACTCCCGGGAGATAATGTCATATCTACATAGTTGAATCAGTGTTACGCAGTTCAGGGACCTGCTATGGATCAGATATCTGAATCATGAGTCTGTTAGAGGAAAATCAGTAATATAGTTGGGACTAGTTGGTATGTTTGCACTTGAGAAAATGAAATCTTGCACCTATAAACTTATGCTAATAAATGACTTTATGCAAATTAGACTAAATTATGTACATTATTTAACATTATGCTTTCATTTTGAATATGATTAGCTCTTTAAAATAAAAGCACAGTTAAGAAAATTTGTCAAACATGTTATATTGGTAGTGAAGAAAAAACATTGGCCTTGGATATTAAAGATCACTAAAGGTTATATGCAGCATAATTTTATTTTGTTCCTAAACAGGAAAACAGAAACCTCCTGTACCATTCAAATGTGACCTGTGCTTGGAATAAAATATATGATAGATGTAAATTTTATTTTACATACATTTTCTGTTTGCTCTGAACTGATCTTTGAATTTGTTTGAAAAATTATAATTTGGGGACAAGAAGCAAGTTGGCAAGAAAAATATGGATAAAAGAGGGATGGGTGAAGAGGGCTGGGCAGAGGTCAGAGTGAGAATGTAACTGGAAGTCACAGTGGTGGAAGGACACACAAGCAAACAAGCTCCTCTTCTTGAAATGGTGGGGCTCTTGGTGGGCTCTGCTAGCACTTTTTCCTGAATAAGAATATAAAAAGCGCCTAGCTGGATCAGACCAAAAGTCCAACTGGTCCAGCTTTCACAGGGAGAAGGGAAGTGCCATTCCCTGCTGTTTGACCTCAGCATCTTGTACTGGTATATGGCCTCTGCTTAGCTATCCTGGTTAATAGCTATTGGTAGAACTATCCTCTCATTTTCTCCAGGGTACTCAAGTGCACATCTCTGCGTTCTATGAGTTTTGTATGTTCGTGATGGAAGAAGCACTTACAAGGCCAAGGTTCATGCAGTAGCGTGTCACAACCATGGGAACAAGAAATATACATTCCTCCTTCTCTCCCACCCCCGCCCTGCCAGAAAAAGCAGGGCAGAGATGATTCTATAGGAGTAGCCAGATTCTTTGTCATGTACCATATTCCAGCTGGAATTCTACATGTGTGGGGTTGCGGAAGTATTTGCCATCTACTTAAAGTGCTTATGTGCTTATGCAACAAATTCTGGAAAGCATCCTAAATCTGCAAAAATTAAAAGCAGAAACAGCCTGAAATTACAGGAAATAAGATTTCTGTTGAGGCGCACCTTTTGACAATCAGTCCATATGAAGTCTGATCTTTAAGGTCCATTTCAGCAGTTTGATGCAGCAAGTAAAATAATAGGATCATACTTTGTGTACTATAATCATTTCACTGCCTGCTCAGGCACATGGATAATTGCCATGATCAGTTCAGAGATTGATGTTATTTCCCAGCAGTTGCTATGTCACATGGAAATGGATGTTTCTGTGTTCAAGAGGATAGCAAATAGTGGTAGATTCCAAGAGCATGATCTGTCTCTGTCCATGCAGGCTGAGGAGAAGTTTTGTTTCCCTGAAGACCGCTTTGTGTGAATGTGGGCCTCAGCACCCACAGCCTGCCCTCCCATTGCCAGTGTGGTGTCACACCACTCAGCTGTGAAGTTCTCAGGGTGACTCTTGGGCCAGACACTCTCTCAGCATAACCTACCTACCTCATAAGGTTGTTAGGAGAGGTTGAGGAAAGATCCACCTCCGCTGCCCTGACTCCCTGGGGGAAGGTCAGGATAAACATGTCGTAACTACATATTAGTTCTCACTTTTGCATCCTCTCCAGAGCCTCCCCCATTCCCATTGCAGCTGCCTTCTGCAGTGGGAATGTTCCTACAGAACGCCAGTTTGTAATGGCTGTAGCATACCACAGGTGTTGTAAACCAAATGTTTGTCCCCTGCCTTAGCTGTAGCTGCTTCTTCCAGATGGACAATTGATGAAACACAGTTTCAGGGTGGGAAGATGATCGGGCATAGCCATTTGAGCTGCTACAGATGCAGGGGGAAGGAAGGTTATTGTTCCATTTCCCTTGCTGCATTTATCAGTGGATTCTAGACCCTGGTTAAGACCTGCTTAAGATGTTGCTGTGTAAGGCAGACCCCCGCTCCATAAGGACGTGGCACTCCTTCCTGCCTTGTTGGTTTTTGTGTAATGCTTTAATGGGCTTCTCAGACCATTTGACATAATTTGAATAGATTTGTGCCCATCTCCATTTTTCCTTCTCGCTTATGTTTATAGAGGATTCTGTTCCATAGTTCCATAGGCCTGCCATGACTTCGTTCTTCAATATTATTCCAATTTGCCGGAGAATCCTGTGCTGTAGAAGAACATGAGAGTCAAGCATCTGTCTTGAAGGCAGAAGGTCCCAGATTCCCAGCATTTCCAGGCAGTGCTGGGATAGAAATCCTGGAGAGCTGAGGCAAATAGGTTCAGACGGTACGGTGAATGTGATTCTGATTAAGGCAGCTTCCATGTTCCCTTCAGGTTTTGTTCCCTGAACAGAACTACTTTCTGCTTCATGGTGCTCCTGGAGAAAAATGCATAATGTACATTGTTGTTTTTACAACTTTAGAACAAGGTGTTTAAAGCACTAGTAGCATATGAAATTACATTTTTATTCTGTTTTGAGGCACGGGCATATGTGGAACGGAGAGGTGAAAGTCCTATGGACTGTGTCTTCAATATTCTTCTTCTGGGACCTTGAGGAATAGTCAGAGGTTGAGATGTGTGTTCCTTTGGATGCTTCAAGTCACCCAAGTGCCATGAAGTGCTGAGCTTTTAGTATGTTCCTGGCATCCACGCTGGATCTTCCACCGTCTTTCGTCAGACAGCCAAGGTCGCATATTTGCTGGCAAGTTCCAGAGCTTGCCAACTCATATCAGTAGTGCTATTTGGGGAAAAAACACTGATGTATTTTGAAACTACTATGCAATGGCTTTGTGAAGTTTTCATGCTCAGATTTAACTGTTGGCTGAAGGTTTCTTAAATCGGTTGTCTTATCTCCTGTAGATGTTGCCAGAATTGCAAAAATGGAGTTGAACCTTACTTATCTCGCAGTACATCTAATGGTGTTTGTTTTAGCCATTGTCTCAAGACATATTTCCCTGCACCTCTTCATTTTTCTCTTCTAGGGCTTCCTTGAGCTGTTGGTATAAACAGTTCCCAAAAGGGGCCTCTTCAGCACAGCCCCCAGTAGCAAATTCCAGCGTAATTCCCTGAGCCCTTCTTTAGTAGTTTAACTTCATTGTATCATGCACAATGGGGAGAGATGGGACACCACTTGGCAAGCAATTCTGCCATTTCTTTAGTATTTATTTGTGTATTTATTTATTTAACTTGCATAATTGTCTCATGTCTGGCAATGCCCTGCCTGCTTCATCAGTGCAGTGCAATTTTATTGCACAGAACATGCGGACCTCAGCATAACCTGTCCTGGCCCCTCTTACAGGGAAGCAGAACAATGGAGGGGCATGTCCCCCCAAGGGACAAAGATGTTGCCGCCCACCTTTAGGCAGCAGTGAAATCAAGCACACTTTGATTCTTTCTTCCTTTATGGCAGTAAGTCCTTAGCTAACCCTTACCTTTTAACTTAAAGAGTGTTGGCGTTGATGCGAAAACCAATAAAAGAGGACATTTATCGTGCAGTTTCACTGGTGACCTCATTGAAATATCACAGTTGCAGCTATAGCAAGCTTTTAAAATCTGCTGCAATGTGTGTGCATACTAATTTATTTAACCTACTGTGATTTCCTAATTTAGTTTGGCCTTCTAAATTAACGTGCAGCTTTGAATATGTAGGTGCCCCATAGACTATAAGATTCATTCACTACTTAACTGGCTGCACTAGTGTTATAGAGAGAGATATTGGTCGTTGTCTGCTTTTCATTTAGTTGTTACGATGTTTAATCAGAACAAGAGCATGACATTAGTTGCAAGTAAACACTAGTGTTGTCTCTTCTCCAAAATGAATATTTCAGCAATGGTTGGTGTAACAGAAACTTTCTGTTTTGCCTCTGAGGATGGAGCCTATTTCGTGGTTTTCTCGCGTTATGCATTGAAGCCCCCAGTATCTTTTGCTCGCTCAGTAAATGAATCTAATTGGGTGAACAAGCTCTTAAGGGTACACTTTGCTCAGCTTTAGCCAGAAGATAGCTGTGCATCTGCGGTTATAGGGACAAGAAAGCAAAGTGGCCCAGAATATTTTATAAAGTTGGGATGCAAAGTACAATTCAGCTAGAAAAATAGTTGCAGGAAAGCGACTTTTGTAGTAAAAGCTTCTGCTGTTCCTCCTGACTGAATTACATGTAGTTGTTTTCTGCTGCCAAACTTTTAATTCCTTCTGAACAGAGCTTGTGAATGGGATGGTTTGCAATATCTTGGAAGGCATTGAGGGCAGTTCTCTGTTTGTGATTACCTGATAATTGCACCAGACAATGATTAGTTGGATATCTCCAGGAGATTCAAACCCAATTAAAAATATTTAAACTACCAATAATGGCAGTTGTTGATGACTGGGTACATATTTTTCCTATGGGATAGTTAGACTAAAGAGTACAGTTGTACGTAGATTAACAGAAGTGAGTTTTGAAATTCAGTGAGGCTTTGTATTGCATTTGAAGGTCTCATCTGATTTGTAACAAATCAAACTGGCAATTAAGTTTAAATGACTTAATGTGAAGGGTTGCAAATGAGCGCATCCCAGTGTATTGGGGCCAATGTGTTCAGCAGAGACTACTCATTCTTTCTTTTTCCTGAGTACTTACCCCACCCCCCAAAATATCAGGAACCGGAAGGTGTCTCTCTGCCTAAACAATGAGTTCCCTGAGACAAACTAGGTTTGAGAGCAGGGTCGAGCTAGATGTTCTACCAAATTCAGAGTTGCAGTTGAAAACAGTGCCCTGTATGTCTAGTTCCACCTGTTTTCCCTGTCTCCATGTGTAGTATCAATATGTGTATTCTGTATACACACAGATCCCAACCGCTAATGTATAAAGATGGATTAGACAATGTACCACATGGTGAAGACTTAAGTTCTTGTTACCCCACATTATGGGACAGCAGAGGAGGCACTGGCTTGGGTGGCAACTGCATGTTTGCAGGATTCACCTAACCAGACTTCCACTTGTGCAACAGGGCTTTCCACCACCACCACTGCCCCCAAGTTGGCTGGGGGTGTTGAGAGAGCTCCCAGAGAGAGAGCACACTGGGGAGAGGGGTTGTTTCACCTGGCAAACTGCAGTGCTGTGCAGACAGTACGATTGGAGATTGCAATGCTGAATTCCACCCAACAAACTCTTGAATGTTTTCAGTGAGCTCATAATCAGCGCTCTAAACGTCAGCAGCAATTCTGTAGTTCTTTGGTGCTATTACTTGATCTATGCATAATTAAGATCCTACTTTTCAGCTGCTGGCCTTGCAGTCATGCTTTTTACCGCCTAGAGTTCAACCTAATCTGATGCACAAATTTCAGATTACGAAATTCCAATTTACTTTCTGTAAATTGAATTCAGTGGAGTTTAAACGTAAAGTCCACCCAAAGGGGTGTGTGCGTTCAGTCCCTCCACCCCCAACCCTTCTCACTCAGTCCTGTTTTGCAATTTGGGGTTAGTCCAAAAGATGACTTTTTCAGGATGGTTTTTCATAGGTTTTTACTGTTGGTTGTAGGCAGATTCCTGTTATCCCAGGATATTTTTATCATACCCAACAGTGTGCAAGCCAGTTCTTCTAGGTCCAGTATACTAACACAAAGCTTACATTTTCAGATTAGCTGATTATACATTGTAGGTTACAGAAAAATAGTCTGGAACTTCTTGGAAAATCAATACCCAAGATAAAGGAGGGTCTTTAATCTATAGAGAAGCTCCTCTTTGTGAGCTCTAGATTATGTTTCTTATCATGCAGTCTTGTTGACAGGGATGGTTTTCTGGGCCACTTGGAGACCTACGAAACAGATTGCGGGACAAAGTTCTGGTAGGTGCAGGGGGGAAGTTGGAGCCCCCCTTTAGTGATGCTAGTAATCCCTGGCCTGGATGTGAAATACGCAGCTTCATTTTGCTGACAAGTACAAGAAAAGACAAACCTGTGTTGTTAAAAAATGCATCTAAGTATTACAGCTCAGCGAAGTCTTTCCAGCATCTATTGCAAATCAGCTTTCAAAAGTAGTGTGGCACTTTAAGTAGGTTGTTTAAGCACCCTCACCTCTTTCCTCCTGTCCCTCCCATATGCACTTTAAGCTCTGTGGCTGTTACCTGTTACATGCAGGAGGGTTGTCTTGGATGGACAATGGGTAGTGGTGATGTTAACCTTGCCTGCCATTGCTGCCTCCTCTATCTCCAGAGGCAAAGGCATTGTGTGTACCCTTTCCTGTCTCAGCATGTCCACACCACTCAATAATGTGAAAGCGAGAACGTTGGCATGCAGTGGCTTTTGTGAAATGGGCTAGCCGATTTTTGACTGTTCTCATGAGCTAAGCTGTGGTTTTCAATGATCAGCTGAGCCACAGAACCTAAGCTTTTAAAGAGCGATGGACTAAACTGCCATGGGATCAAAACTGTATTGAAATTCTGTAGGTTTTAACTTTTCCACGCGTTTCTCTTCCTGAACTTCTGCCTCAATAATCTGTTCTTGGGTGGATTCTTGCTGAGACAGACTGAAAGCTGGCCCTGTATTGGATGTTATGGGCTAGGGTGCCACCCTCTTGAATGCCACTGATGCCAAATGAGAGTGCCTGTAAAGGACAGGTGGTTTGGAATGCTGTGCTGCTACCTTGAACCCATGCATTATAGCTATGCGTTGTGCATGTTGCCACATCACGAATGAGAGCACCAATGGGATATCTGTCTGAATTGCACAGCACAGATAGATACTTGGTGGCATTTCAAAGGGTGACACTCATGCCCACTTTCTGTGGTCTGGCTTTTGGTGGGATGTGTGGGAATCTTGAGCAAACTGCAGCTCAGAATGGATCACGGTCACTGGTGAATTATCCAATTTGATTCTTCTGCTGCGCCCCACTCCTAAAGTTTTAAATATATAACTCTTCTTTTGTTAAAGAAATATCCTAATCATGTGTCCCCTCCCCTCCCCCTTTAAAAACTAATCAACCACCACCTGGCAGACCCTTTAAAACTATTGCTCTGTGAATCTGAAACACACAAGATATCTGTTGCAGTTCTTGAACTGCTCTTTTTTGGTTGTATTGCATTGCATTGCAACAGAATTCATACTTCACTTCTCCAACAGGCTGAAATGTGATCTAGTTGTTTGACAATAATTGATAGCAGAACAGCCCAATTTATTTTTTATTAGCATTTTCCCAAACCCACATTTGGTGCATCCTTTATTCTCCCATTGATCTCCATGCACATGGAGGAAGAAAACAAAAGGGAGGTAATATAGTCATTATTCTGTGAGTGTGTCTTTTGGTGGTGGTGCTGGTGGTGGTGGTGGTGGGGAGAGTAAAACAACAGTGAAGATAAAGACTTGTACAAACTTATTTAAAGCAGTTTAGCAAAAATAAATAAACTAAAAGCTCTCATTGAACAGCTTTAAAAACAATGTGAATGGAAACTTAGAAACTGGGTTAGGACTCTGAAAAATTCTATAAATGTATACTTGAAATTCTGTTTGTATTTTAAAACAAATGCATTTTCCTCTTTAACACTGTGTAAAAGAAATGTTATGCATGTGAGTGGTTTGAGAATTAAATGGTTTAATACTCATAACTGGAGTGCACTGTCTTTTGTTTGGCTGTCTGTCCACAGCCCTGTGTACCACCTCTTCCATTTAACAGTCCCCAAACTAAGGTTTTTTGTTGCCACCCATCTGTCTTGCGAGACGATGGAGTGCACCTCCAGGGGTGAAGTAAAACCGGTATGTTATCAGCACTGAAGTGACCTCCCCAGTGCACAAGCCTGGGCAGTGTGGATGGAGGTCCTGAGCTGCCCAAATGACAAGATCAGCCTCACTGATGTGGCCCAAAGGAAAGCGGAACAATACTTTTGGCACCAGCTTGGCTGCAGGAGTTGCCAGAAGGAGGCATACAAGGGCCATCCAACCATCTTAGGGACTTCACTCCAGATTTCTGCAGGGTTTACTCCTTAGCCTTTTCTTCTCCCAAAGATGTCCTGCAAGGCAGTGGAGATGGAGGATCAGAGTTTTCCTTCTCTAGATGGACTGCCTTCCCTGATTGAGGAGCCCTGTCTGCCCCTCACTTCCCTCTACAGCACATGCGGAAACTGCATTCTTGATCGTTGGGCCCGCTCTTGGTTTCATCCACCCAATCTGCTGGAGCCTGTCTTTGCATGCAGGGAAGTCCTTAGCTCACCAAGGTTTAAGACCCATCAGCCACCCTCATCTGGTGAAGTCTGTCAGTCGAAGCTATTCCCAGGCTGTGGCTGCTGTTGCATGCTGACAGCTTGTAGGTACCACAGGTGAGAACTGAATGCAAGGTGGGGACCAAAGGTGTGCAAACTAGCCCTGAAGGAGCATACCGGAGGCAGTGCCCCTCGCCTAACAACCCATACACCCCAAACTAAGGTTCACTACTCACGCAAAGTCAGTTTTCGCATGTCTTTTCAATTTATTGGAGCCCCTCACTGGTCTTCGTGGACAAGCTGAAATCATTCAGCTTTCACAGTGGTAGCTTCGTACATGCCTCATGCCATTAATCACTCTGTCACCAAGCAAAAAGCTATGTACAGTGGTCCACCAGGAAAGTTGTCAAGTGCAAAACAAAATATGAGTGATAGGCTGTGTTTGCTTTCTTGGGTCACAAGTTGTACAACCTATCCTTCCTGGTTTTGCCATTGTCCATGGATTGCAGCCCTATAATATCATTCGCTTCTGTGGCAAAGGCTCTTCCAAAAACCACAGCATGGGCTTTAATGAACAACTAAGATAACAGCCATCTTCTTCAGCAATTCAAAAATGTTGCTAAGATGGCAACCGCTAAAGAAACGCTCTAAAGCTGTATCCTATGCACAATTACAAGGATGCAAGGTACATGGAACTAAAGGATTATCACTTCTGAGTAAATATGCATAGAATCAGGCGGCATATACTGAAAGTAGAATTCATTTCAGTTCAAGGTGCAAGTAGGATCTTGAGTGCTCTTCCAGTGCTCTTCAATGCTTCCACTGTTCTTAAGTGGAAATAAATGCACAGATTGCTATATACACCATGGGGCAGGCAGGGTGTTTTTTGTTTTGATACCCCATTTGCTATACCTTGTATCTGTGATCAACCTCCATTAATGGGACTTGGGGCCTTCATTTTATTAATCAAAGTCAACAAGTTAGAATTCAAATTTGCATAGCCAACTGTTTATTCGGTAAAGCTGTCATCAGTTGGGAATGGCTTCCAAATAGCTCGCACGCTGTTCCTGGTCTTTAGGAATAGAGTGGCCATGTTATTTGCAGGGCGGCTGGGGGGAGGGATCATTCCCCAATACACCCCTCTTGTGGTGCAGCTAGCCTCTCCAAACATCTGCCATCTTAAAGGTTAAATAAAGGTAAAGGTAAAGGTAAAGGTACCCCTGCCCGTACGGGCCAGTCGTGTCCGACTCTAGGGTTGTGCGCCCATCTCACTTAAGAGGCCGGGGCCAGCGCTGTCCGGAGACACTTCCGGGTCACGTGGCCAGCGTGACGAAGCTGCTCTGGCGAGCCAGCACCAGCGCAGCACACGGAAACGCCGTTTACCTTCCCGCTATAAAGCGGTACCTATTTATCTACTTGCACTTAAGGGTGCTTTCGAACTGCTAGGTGGGCAGAAGCTGGGACTGAAAGACGGGAGCTCACCCCGCCACGGGGATTCGAACCGCCGACCATGCAATCGGCAAGTCCTAGGCGCTGAGGTTTTACCCACAGCGCCACCCGCGTCCCTAAATTAAGGTACCACCAGTTAATAAACTACTGTCTCTAAACATAGCTGAAGAGGCAGGTGTGTGTAGTAAATTGTGAGAAACAAATCTTTGTATCTTCAATTTATTCTTCCAAGACTCAGATTTTCAAAGAAAAGAAAATGCTGCTAGCCAGGAAGGACAGATGGAAAAAGAAAGACATGAAAGAGGGAAGACACACAATATGCAAGCAGATGGTGCCTTCGCCTCTGCAGATTGTCCTGCAAGTCTTCCTGTTGTGGAAGGAGGAATTTTTGGGTTGTCTTTGCTTTTGTTTTTATTATGCATTTTTATATATTTGTGTTTTCATATTGTAACTTTATGTCGTGAACTGCCCTGCGGTAAACAAATTTAATAAAAAAATAATAACAGAATAATAATGATGAAGGCATTTCAGAGTCAAAACGCACAGCTGAGTAAGAATGGGTTTAGTTGTAATTTGAGAACATGTCATACTATAAGAGAGATACAGCAATGATACCTTTTTATTAGCTGTTTCAAAACAGGAAGAGGACCACTGAAAAACAACCTGAGGTGTTAAGAGCAGGGATTGGCTACTCTGCCCAGGAAGAGAATGGCATTGATGTCAACTTCCCGTATGAGCACCAAGAAAGGTCTGTTAGCATTGAAGACAAGTTTGTTCAAAGGAAATGAACGGCCTGTGATCATGACTGCTGTGGAAGCAGCTGCCTCGCTGCCTTCTTCATTCACCTGCCAATCAAAGATGCACAGAATTTAGGCCACACGTTTTCAAGAGCAATTGCACTGGAGACCAATAGAAATAAGGGCTTTCTTCTTCCATAATGCCCTATACCTTGAGAACATAACTAGGGTTGCATGTTTCATTTACTAACTGGTTAGATTAATCAACTAAATAGGTGCCCCCCTGATTACTTGGGAAGCAGATTTTGAAATATATACATATGCTGCTCAAAAGTATAGTGGCAGACTCTCCAAGTGTCCTGTTTCCCAGGGATGTCCCTGATTTAGAGAAGCCGTCCCAGTTTCTGATTTGATCCTGGAATGTCCCACTTTTCCTTAGACTGTCCCTATTTCCACTGGAGAAATGCTGGAGGATATGGAGTTATCTGACCCCGAGCCATCTGAATGCAATTCTGTATAGGGAAGTTTTTAAATGTTTTATTATATTTTTATATACGTTGGAGCAATGGGATGTCCCTATTTTCATCGGACAAATGTTGGAAGGTATATAGTGGGCAATCACCATTTTGAGGCATCCGCCCTTTTCTCTTACAATGGTGGAAATGTCTCTCCTAAACAACCTGTTACAACATAAATGCCTTTGAGATAGCCCCTGTGTGTGAGTGCTGGAGCTGCCTGAAAGGTGGTTGAAAGCGGCAATGAGAACAGCACCAGCTTACCTCTAGAGAGGCTTTGTGGAATGCTTCAGATACAAAAACATCCCTCCGGGCACCTGAAATTATCCCTGAAAAAGACAAGAATTACAGTAAAATTACAGTATAAATTGGGGGAGTGCAAGCTGCCTATTGGGGAGTTTATGATGTGGCTATTAAGCATTGAGTCTGTGGAGAAATGACCAGCAAATGGTGAGAGAGAGAGTGTGTGTGTGTGTGTGTGTGTGTGTGTGTGTGTGTGCGCGCGCGCACACCAGCCACATCATGTGATCAATTCTGTGGAGTGGGGCTTACCTGCCCCCCCTCAAATATTTTATTCAAGTTGGCACCCCTGTGATGGAATATATACACTTATGGCACTGCTTCTCATTGCATGAGAAGCTGTAGAGAGGATGCAAAAGGTGGGAGCCATGTGTTTGTGTGTGTGAGAGAGAGAGAGAGAAAGAGAGAGGGGAAGGAAGGAAGGAAGCTGCAGCAGCTGCATCACAAACCTGGCTAAAATTGATTGCAGAAGAGAAGGAATGCACTAGAAGGCCTAGAGCAGGCTGTAGCTAGAATGCCCTCCAGCATATGGTGATGGACTTCTATCCCCCAATTCAAAGTGGCACAAGATGGATCTCTGAACTGGACCTTAGAGATTGTATGCATGTTGACGGTCTGAACTGATGGATCATATAAACCAGGTGTGGGGAATCTCTGGCCTCCAGAAGTTGCTGACCTACAACTTGCCATCACATCTGACTATTGCTAATGCTGGCTGAGGCTGATGGGAGTTGTAGTTCAGCAAAATCTGGGGGGCCAAAGACACCCCCCAACACCTGATATAATCAGGAGTTTCAGGGCAAGACTTTCATTTTATCCACCAGATGCTCAAATACACCTGGGGACGGTGGGCTTTCAAAACCAGGGCAAAAAATATAATTGTAAAGAAGTTTGTTTAGTTTTATAATTAGGGTTGTTTTTACCATGTGCTTATTATTTACTTTTTGGTATACATTCTTAGAAAATCTGGAGAGGCTACTTTTATTTTGTCTCTCATGGTAATGAGACCAAGGCTATTCCTAATAAATTGTGTGTGTGGCCTGGGGCAGGGAGGTAGCATATAAGCAAAGTTTTGCATATGATTGTTAAAACTGGATATATTATTTTGAAGTCAATCTTTACTATTTGAAGGTTTTGGATCTTTCATGACAGCATCAGTGTGGCAACAAGAGAAGTGGTGCCGGTAAATAAAGGGGCAGAGAACATATAGTACGTGACTACAGATCTTAGAGTGACAAGCAGAACGTAGAAGCTCCATGAACTTCCTGAGACCAAACACAGGTATGCCAACATATAGAATCATAGAATTGTAGAGTTGGAAGGGACCCCAAGGGTCATCTAGTCCAACCCCCTGCAATGCAGGAATCTCAACTAAAGCATCCATGACAGATGCCCATCCAATCTCTGCTTAAAAACCTCCAAGGAAGGATGTTTTTACAATAAGGAGGTCTAGAAAGTTGTTATGCTTTGAAATAAAATATGAGAATCTTAGGAATCCAAGTTGTTAACCTCCAGGATCTTTGAAACGGAATGCCCCCTTTATTTTTTAACATTTTTTGCCAGGTGTGAGTTTCTATGCATAAAATGTTATGCTGAGGGTGGTTACTTGGAAGGGCAGAGGGGCATCCTATCCTCTTTCCAAGCACAGGAGCCCTTCAAGACTCACCTGGCAGATTGGCATCTTCTGGTCTGAAAAGATCCTTCAGACCCATCTGCTTTAGCTTCTCCTTCAGGCTGAAGCTGTCCTCCAGACGGAAGCGGGGCAGATGCACTGAGATGGAGACCTCTCTCAGGACATTCAGCCAGCCTTCCAGCTTCTCGGCTGTCAGCCCCTGTTCCACGTCTGCCAGGGGGGTCTGTGCAAAGGGCAGGATGAGCACCATGGTGATGTCATCTCCTTTGTAGGGCAGCTCCAAGACCTGCACTTTGGAGCTTGCAATAGAGGCGTGCTTGAATGTCGCTTCCTGATACATGGTAGGCACAGGGCAAGGCTCAGAACCAGTTCTGTAAAAGGTCTCCACCTTTGTATTTTCGAGCTCGAACTTTGATTTCCAGTGGCCCTGGGTTAATGCATTAAAATAAAAGCGAACAATCAGTCAGAAGCCAGGGATCTGGACTACCCAGCAGGTTTACTCCCTACGAGGAAATTATTAATCTGGAATAATTACCACACATGGCTCTGCATCACTGAAATGGATTGGGATCTACACAAAAGCATCTGAAGATTTGGGGGGGAACCCCATCTTTGTTAAGACAGGTTCAGAAGTAACTATTTCGTGTTCAGATGTCTTGAGCGAGTGCCCACTGAGAGGGATCATGACAGAAACAGGCTTCAGGTACACAAACTGATGATCTCACTTCCATTCCCACTGATGTTTACAATTATGCCTTTTAAGGTTGGGCAGGCAATCAGACAATGCTCCCTCACAACTGGCTCCTCATCCACTCTGCAGACTAGCTATATTCCTGCCATCGGCCTCTCAGTCAATTTTGTGAAGCCAGCATCATCATGGGGCATGGCTGCCACACGCACTGCCGTCAGGAACATAGCTAGGCTTGGTTTCAGAAAATAATTTTCTCCTTCCATCAACAGCCCCTCTTCCCTCTGTGAGTGGGTTTTAAACCATCAGTTCAGGCATGTCACTCTTGTGACTTTTCCATACCTTAAAGTAAATAGTGTTGACTAGTACCAAAACGGTGAGGGCATCAATGCCTCCTTCCGGGATCACATTCTTGATGAGCTTCTCTGTTTTATTTGCCACCCAATCATTAATGAGTGCCCTAGATAATTCTGGCTTCTCCTGAAACGTGGGACATAGAAAAGGCTCTATGAAATCTCACATTCTACCAGACAACATATTCAGATGTTTAATTATTTAATTTGGTTCAAAGCTAATAGAATTTCTCAACCACAGTCCCTCAGTACTATTGTTCAACACCTACAGTAAAGGACATAATACTTTTCAATAAAGAACTGGAGACAAGACCATCAGCCTATTTGGAAAAAACATGTGGTTGGTCATGTGTCCAAAGTCATGGTTACCAACCAGCCAAAACTATACAGGTCAGTAAAAATTGGCCTCTTGGCCAGTTGACAGAATTGGAGGATTAAAAAACCAAGAAAAATGCAGTATGGGCATAAGTAGCACTCACATGTGCACTAAGGGAAGCGGCTGTGTTTATAAGTGAATGGCACATGCATGCCACTGTAAATGAATGCACCTTGCAGGGCAACTGTGCTCAAATCACAGCAGTTTCTGACTGTGAAAGAGAATTTCCTTGGTAGTAGTTTGCAGTTCTGGAACTTCAAGGGAAATTCAATGGACCCCATTTGTCTTGACCTTCTGTAAAAAGAATAGGACCTGTATATGGGTGGGGAGGTAATATGGCTAAGCCAACACCAATGAAATAACAGAGTAACACCATAGGGGAGGGGTGGAAGCATATTTTGTAGCATACGCTGTCTTAAATGCAGCTTATTGATGACTTGTGACAATGTCTGGTTGACATGGAAACTGCTTCAGGGGTGGGGTTACAGTCAAGTGGTATGTAAATTTTATGAAACAAATGCATTTTCTGAAATAAACAGAAAAAATCCAGAGAACGACTCTAAGCCAAAGCCCCGAAAGTAAAAACCATAGGTGTGAAAATCTTAATTCACACCGAACAGTTCTCCATAACGTTTTTATTCCATTTTTTCCATCATAACAATTCATTAAGAAAAAGGCAACCCTATAACTTGTCCATAACAGCAGCCAAATCCAGAAGTAAATTAGCACAGAATTAGAAAATATTACCACTGAACAAATCAAGTAAAGTTGCAAAGTGCTGGGAGGCGCAGGGCAGCCCAGTAGGAGGGGGCAAAGAGGAGGAGGAAATCAGGTCTGGATGGAGGCTGGGATGTGAGTCATTTGAGGAGCAAAAGTGAATGTGGAGCGTGGAGGGGGGACTAAGCTCCCAAACAGCAACAAAACAAAATAAAACCCTGTGTTAACTTCTAGTTTGCAAAAATCAGTATTTATCCTTCAAGTTAAGAAATGTCTAAGAGAATAAGAAATATATTCACACCTCTTAATAGCATCATCACATTTATGACTCACTTTGAAGTTCAAAGGCCAGAGTTTAGCTCCATAAACCACCTCACTAACATTCTGATAGGTTTCATTGAAGCTGAAGGACTTTTCCCCAAAGAGGCGGTTGGCTGACACCAACTCTGATGATTTGTTGGCTTTCTTGTAAAGTCGGCAGTTAAGTTTGGCAAAGAAGAAGTGGATCTGATCTGATGTCTTTTCTGAAATGGTGTCAAACTGAAAAACCTGGAAAAAGAGGAAGTAAAGTTCTTAACCCAAGGTACTATTTCAGGGTTAGCGGAGTCTGTAACCTGAAACCTCTGTAACCAGAAGCATCTGTAACCCGAGGTACCACTGTATTTCCAAACGATGCGTCTGAAGCGGCAGACTTTTTTAGTCTACCATAGCTTATAATGCACTTGGCTACTACTCTGTTTGTTGGGATCCTGGAAGCCTAGACCCAAGTTTGAGGCAAGAACCCCAGCAGAGATTCAACATGGCAAAACATGCAGCAAAGAAAAGATGGAAATATAATAGAATGTGCCCTTCCAGTGAGTTCCTAAGTATCCCACTTCCCTACCTCACAGACAGACCACATGTTTGGGAACTTATAAAATGGTTACGTTACAAAACTATTCAAAGGTCAGATTCATGTACTTTTCCATACAGCAGTCAGAAAAAGTTGCACAGGCAGTAAAATATTGCTTGATTACAAAATGGTACAAGTTCTTAAACCATTGGTATAGAAAAAGGCTAGTTTCAGATTGCATTCTTGTTGATAAAGCCATGTGGTTGGAGGGAGCAGCTCAGAGCTCCTTACACAACCAATTTCACATGTAGACTGAGACAACGAAAGGCTTGGTTGCCCATTTCCTCCCAAGGTGAGGGGAAGTGACCTAGGCTAAGCTCTACTTTATGGCTTTAACCCAGGCATCCCCAACCTTCAGCCCTCCAGATGTTTTGGACTACAATTCCCATCATCCCTGACCACTGGTCCTGTTAGCTTGGGATCATGGGAGTTGTAGGCCAAAACATCTGGAGGGCTGCAGGTTAGGGATGTCTGCTTTAACCCCTTCATGCATTAATTTGACTCAAATATGCTTATATGAGGCTGGTTACTCTACACTGTTTATTCTGCATTCATCCTGATTTCCTGACATTAAGTTTCCACAATGGTCAAACTATGTCTGGTATTTACTCAGCATTTGTACTGATTTGTTTGTGGGGTAGTTCTATGACAATGGACATTCCGCTTCTGGTGTGTTTACACATCTTTCCTCATCACTTTCCTGATCACAAAATGTCATTTTCTTTCTTAAACTGGATTTGTTGTGCTAGGGCAAGAGAGCCCTTTCATCCACTTTAACTGAACAGCCCTAAAGTTCTGGTATGTACTTGAATTTCTCCAGCAAAATACCAAGAGTCTGGAGGAAGCTTTAGTTTTCAAGATGAAACATGTTATTTGCGGGGGGGAGAGCACAATTTCCCCTCTGTCCCTTGGGGGAGGGAATCTATGAGACTGCTCAGCATATGTTGATGGAAGAGACAAGGGAGAGCACCAGGGGCATAGGAAGGGGGGTACGGGGGGTACGGTCCATCCACTGGGTGGGGCAGCACTGGGAATGACACGTGGGGCTTGCGTCCACCAGGCAGACTCTGTGGGCAGCTTGCCACAGCGCCCCCTTGAGCGGGTCGCCGCCGTGCCCCCATAAGGGGCTTGCCCCACCCCCACCGTTCTGGGTCCTAGAGTAGCTAGCTACGCCCCTGGAGACCACTGTCCACCTGCAAGTCCTCCTGCACAAGCCCCACTGAGTAACAGCCCTGGAGAGCTCATGGTTTAGAGATATAGGGGCCTCCAGGTGGATATGCCAGTTTGCCTGATGTGGACCTGACGTTCCAAGCAAATCACAATCCATAGTTACAAGGATGAAAAGATTGTCTTGTTTTTGGTAACTGAAAGCTTATGATTTTCAGAACTTAAATTTGTATGTACAGATCTAGGTGGTCTGCCTCCTCTGCCTCGGCAGACGCTGGGAAGCCTGCGCTGGTCCACATGGTCTTGGGAGGCGCAGTGCCAGTCCACACAGCCTAGGGGAAGCTGCGGCCTCCTCCTCCTCAGCCAGTGCCAGAGACGTACTTCTGGACGTCAGCTTCTAGAAGTGCCACAACAGAAGGAGGAAGAGTGACGGGGACAAGGCACGGCCAGAGCATTGGAGCCAAAGCAGGACATTCTGGATTGGGATCAGTAGCCAGGGTGGTTTCTGTCAACCTGAGATATCCCACTTAAAGCTGTATGACCTTCCAGTGCAGATTTAGGGACACATGAGAGGGGGGGAAAGGGGGGGGAGTCTTGTTGTTTAATGGGCACTTGTTCTGTTTGCACAACTGCCCTATATGCAACATGCTGATCTGTGATATTCTTTATTCATGGTGGCCTATGGTTTTAGATGAGCTTTAAGGGACGCAGGTGGCGCTGTGGGTTAAACCACAGAGCCTAGGGCTTGCTGATCAGAAGGTCGGCGGTTCGAATCCCTGCAACGGGGTGAGCTCCCGTTGCTCGGTCCCTGCTCCTTCCAACCTAGCAGTTCCAAAGCACGTCAAAGTGCAAGTAGATAAATAGGTTCCGCTCCGGCGGGAAGGTAAACGGCGTTTCCATGTGCTGCTCTGGTTCTCCAGAAGGGCTTAGTCATGCTGGCCACATGACCCGGAAGCTGTACACCGGCTCCCTCGGCCAATAAAGTGAGATGAGCTCCGCAACCCCAGAGACAGTCACAACTGGACCTAATGGTCAGGGGTCCCTTTACCTTTACTTTACTGAACCAATACCTAAAAACCATGTGGAAAGATTAACAACCAAGCATAGAGTGGAAATCGTTGAGTCTTCCGAAAGGAAACACTCCAGTTCAGTCTTATACAAGAAGGCTGCCCCCACATAACCCTGCCCCCACGTTACCTCCATTAGCTGCTGGAGGGTGTTGCCACAGGCTCCCAGCTTAGTCATGGCAAAGGCTGTGGAGATGCTGAGGGGTGACAAGAAGATGTTCTCATCGGCATTCCTGGAGCTGGTCAGATTCTTGTAGAAGAGGGCAGCAAAGCGAGAATTGGCCTTGGACAACTCCCAGACACGTGGGTTGGTGGAGCTGGGAAGGTTCTCTTGAATCGGCCCTGAGGCTGCAGCCTCTTGGGCCTTCTTATCTGGGTTGCGGTAGATACACATAGGGTTTACAGGGATATCCTTTGGCTTGGCAGTGCATACATCCTTCACTAAATGGTGGTGTGGAGTTACAGCAGACAACATACAGATGAGAAGAAGTAGTGGGAGCTGCATCTTCCTGTAAGCAAGAGGGGGTGGACTAAAGATGAAGAGATCCAGCTTTCTCAAACATAAATGAGCATGCATACAGATAAACAACCTACGGTACTTCCCGCTGAAACAGCCACCCATGAAGTATCTTAGTGCAGGAAATCAGAGAGTAAGCAAAATGGTGCTTATTCCTCAGTGAATGAGTTCAGGAGCAAGACAGATGCAGCAAACTGCATTTTACTCCTGTAATGATGGTGCTGTAATCTAAGAGAGTTTAAAATGCAGAACTGGACATATTCGTTTGCTCTTTTAATTGGGATTAGCAATTTTATTTTTTATTCTTTTGCTCTAATGCATTCAGGATGTAGAAACAATTGTAAAGCATGGAATGCCAGAGGGGAGTGGGGAGAGAAATGTTAATTGCATGCTTCACAACTGAAGTAATACATGTGACTGCCTTGCAGGGGGTTGGACTAGATGAACCTTGGGGTCCCTTCCAACTCTGTTTCTATGATTATCTGAGTGTCTAAAAGCCACCCCTCCCCCCAGTAAGGCCATTAAGTCCAGCGTCTAAAATTACCTGTTTGCCCCAATTGTGCCTTTGAGGCATAATGCAGCCATCAACAGTCTTATCTTCCTTGAATCCACCAAATCCCCTTTTTAAAGCCATCAAAATTGGCCAGACCCTTCACTGCTACATTTTGTGGTCACAAATTAAGAGTTTAACTTTGCATTGTATGGCAGAGCACCTTCTTTTGCTTCGCCTTAATCTTTCACAGTTTCACTGGGTGGCCCAAAGTTGTATTATGAGAAGGTGCATGTTGTGGATAAGAGTACCGGTAGTTTTTCTCCATCTTATATACCTGTATCATGTTCCACAATTAATCACCTTTTTTTCTACAGCATGCCCAAACAGTTTAGTGCAAAAATTCAAATGGCTGCCCCACTGAGGTAAGGCTTTACTAATAATTGAGGGAACTACCCCTTTGCTGTCTTTTAATAGTACCCCAAACTCCACCACCTGAAGCAGGTGACCTCACCTGGTTGAATGGCTGGACTGGCTCTGATTTAAAGAAACCTTCAAGAACTGGGATCTCTTACCTCCTCCTTCCTGGGGCTTTCTCTCCTCTTAAGGCAGCGTGAGCAAATGGCTGGTTTGCTTGCTTTTGGCAAAGTTCATCCCAGTCAGTAAGAGTGTTCCTTCTACTCAGCCAGAGCCAAAACAAGGGAAAAGGGGGTGGGAAGGCCATGGAGGTCAAAGGAGAATGACCAGCTGAAGCAGGTTAAACAAAGAGGGAGGCCAAGCAATGTTTGATCTGAGAGGCGATTTAATGTTCAACTCGATGTGGGAATGTCTGGATATATACTGCACATACGAAACTGCAGAAAGACCCAGCAGCACTGGAGAAGCAGCAGCAGCAGAAAGTAGCTCTGTTTTATTTCTTAAAACTATTCTTCATTCATTTTGTTGAAAACACGCAATATGAATAAAGCAATGTAATCCTACTCCTTTTTCCTGGGAGAAAGCAGTTTCGCAAGCCAGCCCTCCTCTTTGCAACACATGGCCTTTCCTGGTCTTAAAGGTGGCAGCTATGGGATGACAACATAGAGAGGAAGGGAACGCCCAGCCAGCCTGCTTTTAAGAGCACTCACATGAGAAGCATGCCTACCCCCAGAATGGTTTCATAAAAATAAGTATTGCTTGCACCAGCACCTGCAGATATAACAAAATGGCCATGCCGGGGGGGGGCAGCAGGGGAGAGGACTGGAAGGTGTAGGTGGAATAGCCCAATGACTGGGATGGGAAGAAGAGTGGGGAGAGACACAGAGCCTGCCTACATCATGCATTTCACATGCTTTAACAGAAGCTCCATCTCCCTGGGAACTCAAAGAGCTCTATTTCTGTTAGGAGGGCTAGGAATCTCCATCAGGCAATGCTCAGGGCCTCAACAAAACTATAGTTCCCAAGACACTTTTTGAAGAACCTGCAAGTTATGCACTGTTCTTGGTTTGTGCCTCTGACAGAGTTGGGAGTCTGGATTGTCTTCGGTTGATTTTTGGCTGCATACACTGTTGTGGAGGGTGGGGTGATTAAAAAATCAATCCTCCCATCAGACTGAGAATATCTCCTCACTCACCCAGTTTAAGATATTCCACCATTCTTCAGCAGGGTTTCTTTTCTTTCAACAAAGTAAGAGGCTCACGTATCTGTCAAACAAAGCTTTCATAATAAAGAAAATTGTCACACAGCAACATGGTGTCTGAGAGAAACTAAAACAACACGATGAGGCAATAATGAGAATTTGTCTCTCTAACTGAACTGAACACCCCAAGAGAGGGGCCAATTCCAGAGCACAACACAAAAGTCCTGCCCACCAGATGCCAGACATTATACTATTCAAATTAGGCCCTCGTGTTTTCCTTACATACACACCATGCTCTGAATGCGCGCCCACCCACCCACCCAAATTCTGGGCACTGTAGTTTACCTCTCACAGAGTTAAAATTCTCAGCAACCCTTAGCAAACTAGTGCACAGAAATCTGCTTCAAATGTGCTTTAAATGTATAACACGCATGCAGCCTGTAATGTATGTTTTGGGTAGGAGGCTTGCAAACATATGCAATTGTTCCATGGACCAGTGTTTGGTTTGTGCTGCTGGGCTCTGAATACTTAAGATTGTGCAATATTTGAGCATGTTGATGAAGCCCTATATTCTCCAGAAGCAAGTCTGCAGAATAATGTGATTAGCAGACTCCTAGTTTCAATCACATTCCTGAAGATACTGTGTTCTGCAACTTTCAAATGTCATTTCCAACGTCAAGCCTTACAAATGAAGCTTTTTTAGCTAGCCAGGTAAATGGTAGTACCAATCCTATTGTTAACATCAATGCATTTAACATTTTTGAGCTAGGTTTGCAGCAGTATAATTGGCTAGAGACCCAGTTCTAGGCTTGTGGAGGGGGTTTCCTAAGAAAGCTACCCTCAGGACTTCTCCTTAGTAACCCCCACTCCCATGTGCTTGTTTGCAGACCAGCAGATGGCCTGCCCAACAGTTAATGGCAGTGACAGCATCCTCTTAGCACACCCCCCCCCGGTTCCTGCCATAGGATTAGTGGGCTCTGATGAAACTCTGTGCTTGCCAGAGTTTGCTGTGCATCTGAATCCTCTGATTTTGTTTCATTCATTTTTATATGCTTTTATGTGTTCTTCATATTGCCATTTTACTTCTTTTAGGGTGTGTATTTAACAACATATTTGTTTTCACACTGTAGAAGACACACTTGAGGGAAGAAATAACTCAATCTAAAAACATATGTTGATAACAATAGCTGTCAAACCTGTAACCCCCAAGCAAATCACAAAGTCAATGAGCTCATTGCCTTGGAGTCTTCTTTATTATCACCAGCATCACTTTAGACAATTTTTTATTTTATTTTTTGTTAAATATACCTCTGCAGGGCACAATCACATACAATCAATACGATTGGTAAATTACATGAGCTCTATCCCAAGCATATATGCACCAAAATGTCAAAAAAGTTATTAAAAAATGAACTCCACCCAAAAAGGTGATAATGACTTAAGAATGTCTCGGGGAGACTGGTACAATCCTAAAAAGACCAAAGGAAACTTGGCTTAGTACCCCCCACCCCCGCACACAACCATAAAGAATGCACACAGATATAGAGGAATCCCACAACTGGAAATGGCTTGGGAAATGTGAGAGAGGCAGGTTTGATGAACAAAAATAGGAAGTGAAATCTAGATCGAAGGCTGCAAGTCCATCAAAACTAATTTTAAAATGCCACCATGCTGCTGATAAGGTCGCCTTGAAGGAAAGGGTCCATGGCTAGCAAAGAGGCTGCTTACATAGCAAGCAGAGACTGTAAGGCAATTGTAAACTCACAATAGGCAGCAGAGACTGAATTTAGGGATCTGTACTGAGCCTGAAACTGTGATCTGTCAAGACAGCCGGCAAAAAAGGGGGGCACTGCCAGTCTTGCTCCCCACTCCTAGCTGCCTTTATCTAATGCTAAGCTAGGGGGATCTCCCTAACCAAATCCAGCTGTGGGATTCTGTTCCAGTTACACAATCTGGTTTTGGATGCCAAAGACTTGTGAGTATTGTCTGCCACAACAAACTAACATTAACGACAAGAGGGCACAGGGGGTGTCTTCTTGCAGGCACCCCATGAATTCAATGGGACTTGCATGTAGAAGACAATCCCGCCTACAAATGGTGCCCAAAGTCACTTTAACATACACAGAAGCAAACAAATTTTGTTTATAGCAAACACCAAATACTCCACAGGATTCTGTTATTTATATATATAAAAGATATGTATACATGTAACATCAGCATATCTAATACTTTTGAGAGAGAGAGAGAGAGAGAGAGAAAGAAAGAGTCTCTGCATTTAAGCATATGTTTTTCTTTTGGTAAAAAAACCCCAAACGTTTGCCTCCAAAATTAGATACTTTTTTGTATGTGGGGAGAAAAGCATCAGGCGGTCATAAATACATAAGTTATTTAGATATAGGCAACATCAGAACAGAAGCTACCCAGAAAATGGCAACTGTAGCTATTAAGGAACTTCTAAGATACTATCATAATGAAAGCTGAGAGTGTTTGCTGTCTTTCAGAACCAGAGCCTTAGGCTTGTAGCTTAAGAAATCAAAAAGCAATTTTTTGCCATAATAAATAATTAAAACACTGTGAGTCCATTGGCAAATCCAGCACAATGTTTACCACAGGAATCCCATTGAAGCAGTGAAGGAAAGGAGCCATTTTCTTCTCCTTGTTACTTTGGATGTCATCAAGATGTCCTCTCAATGAGCTACCCTTTTAATAAGTACAGAACTGTCTCTGGGTTGATTTGGTGAAATAGGAAATAATTTGGTGTTTTTAAATGATGAATATTAGGCAACTGATCCTGAAAAGGGTGGAGTGCCCTTCCTCCAGAGCTGCGTATCAACCCAAGACCAGCAATTACACCAGAAACCATTTGGTGATGCAGGGACATAGCTAATCTCATGCAATTTAGTTTACTCAATCAAGGCCATTGCTTTTAGTGTGTCTGTTTAAAAGCACAACTGTGAATTTTGAAAAGATTCATCTGTTGTGTTTTCCACATAGGGGAGTGGGAGAAAAGAATTGGAGGTGGGAAATTCTGTACCAGAATCTCAGTAGCTTGGTTTACACGTTACATTAAATCATAATGTAAAAAACCCTGTTACTTCATGCTTACTTACCGTGTTCCTGCCACAGATAAAACAAGCCAGACTCTGGTTTGTTATACTGTCCAAACCTGGGCTTGTGGTTTGCTTCCTCCAAATAAACCGCGAGTGGCAAGCCTGGAGCCAGTCTTGGTTACAGTTCATGATTTGGAGTAAACAAACCACAGGCTGGGTTCAGAGAACATGACCAGCCACGTTCTGGCTTGTTTTATCTGTGGTGTGGCGACAGAAGCAGGGAGAAGTGCCACTGGAACTTTTGAGCAAGGTGCAACGCCCTGCTCCTCATTCACACAAAACCAGTTTGTTTTACACGGAGATATAGAGTCCTGTGTTAACTGGACCCTATCAAGCTAAACCTTAGCATTACAAGAATGAGCCTCCACAAATCCTGAGCTTATGTACTCATTTCCTCCTCCAGAATGGTGGCAAGAAGATGACTAGAAGTTTATTCTTCCCATTCAGATGAGCCAGTTTACCTGTTGTCCAAACCGTATACAGTAATTAAACTTAACTATGATTCAACGACAGAAGCCTGGCTACTAACTATGGTTTGAAGCTGGCTTGTCTCAAAAAAGGGGTAAGAAAAGAAAGTTAAGATTAAGCACTTTTTCTTGGTGCAGACAACATGGGTGATATTCTACTAATTTTTACTTAAATTCATTAAATTTAATGCACCATTAGAAGAATTACACAAGGACAATTTTTTAAAAGATGATTTCACTGCAATTTGGGTTGACAATAGATTTTATGAGTATAGCCAAACATGGCAATCTTCTGGCACCCACTCCTCACTGTATGGTTTCCTAACCCCCTTCTCTTGGTGAACAAGGCTCATCTGTGGAAAAAATAATCCTTATACCACTAGGTGGTGCTATAGTTATATGAATATTTTGAATAAAGGTTTAATTATTTTTATTACTTCAATCCATCTCAAAGCATTATTTAAGAATTTGCACTATATTTTGGGTTTTTTCCCATTTTCTGTGTGTATTGTGATTTAGTATATATTATTTATAGTTTGATTTGTTTGTCATATGCTTTTCTGATTTTGTATGTTACATTGGCCTAATACCAAATCAGTTATTGTGTAAGCTGCTACTATGGAAATTCCAACTTAGGTGTTTTACAGGTCCTGTTTTGCAAATATGATGTTCATTAGTCTTACGGATAAAAAAATAAAATAAAAACATTTAAAAATTAATAATAGGACAAAGTCAGGTCCATTAATTTCAGTGGGTCTACTCTGCACAGAACTTCATGGCACAATGCAGTTAATCTAAAACTGAAAGCTTTTGAATGCCTCTCTGCAGCTGTTCCCAGGAGAATGCAAACTCAAGGCTTACACAGGCTTTTTCTTGTAATGCTAAACATAGTTTAGCACTATGTCTGAATGAGGCCACTGATATACCTTTTTAAGTTCTTTCTAGAGCAAGTCAGTACACAGATTTGCTTCATAAGATGGAGTCAACTGCTGGTATTAGTCATTCACTTTCCTATAGTGGGTGGAATTCAATGCAGCACTAAGGAGACTGTTCCATCAGCGCAAGCATTTCTTTCTGCCTGCCTAAGGGCTTCTTTTCCTCCCCTGCAGACTCTTCTAGGGGTTCTCCCAACCCTCCAGAGCAGGTTGGAGGAAGGTGCAGGGGGAAGCCTCATGGCACTAACGTGTCAGGTAGTTGAATCTGCCGTTCATAATCAATTTCGTACTTCACAAGACACACTGTGCCAAGCAAATATCTGGGGTTGTTGGACCACAGTTAGGTGATCCTGTCTGCCCCTTTAGATATTTTGAGGCAGGGAAGAGTATGCAGCTGCTAGCTTTCCTTCCACTGGTCTACTTGCCTACCATCCACTTCCATGTAAGGTAAAACTGTAGTCTGTTTATAACAACAGGCAGGGCATGGGGGCAGATGAGAGGCTCAGGATGGGAGATGCATCTGTGGTATAATTTCTTCTGCTGCCTCCAGATCTTAAATGAACAGGTTGGATCTCAAGAATACAACTTGGCAAATCTAGCGCTGGAAAAAGTTCCCTTCCATAGACAGAAATATTTGCAAATGCGTAGAACATAATGTAAATTCCACTATGAACATACTGATGAGATATGGGGAAATGACTGAAGAGTGACCTCCTTGAGGCCATTTATTTTTAAAGAGCCCATGCCTGCTAAGTTAGTAGAACTATGAAACCAAGTGCTTTTTGATTACATATGCTTGTCTTTATGGATTCATGTATTAATTGGTCAGAATGAAAGAGGCTTCTATATAGCTTTGGACATGCAGAAAAATGGTATAATGTGTCTAAGATACAACTCAATACACTTTCTGCAGCCAAGTACCACAGAGCTACCTGTGCAGTCAGCATGAGCAGTGTGTTTGCATGCATTTGCTTCTGCATTTAACTACATCTGGTGCTACTTCTACTAAAATTCTTCAAGCTTCCTTATATTTATTTTTACTAGACCTCAATAGAAAATTTCAAGCAGGAATAATGACAGTAAACAATAACTTTTTCATAAGCCCTTTTTTTGTTGCAAATTGTAACTTGATGTGTGATGGGAGAGTATTCAAGCATTAAAAAAAATAGAAAAGGGGATATATAAATGGCTGCAAATTTAATGAGGCTTAAACACACCACTTCCAAAATCTAATAATTTATCATCACTGAATGTATTTTTGTAAGGCTCAACAGTCATAAGCTTTTAGACATATTTACCAGTGTTAAGAGCTGAAAACACAGAAACCAAGTTCAATAAAAACTGGCTAAACCAGTAGGATGAATAAAATAAAAATACCCCACCCCCACCCCCAAAAAAACCAACACCCAAGAGTAAAGCACAAGTCTTTGGCTCTCCTTGAACAAAAAGCAAACAAACCCAAAAAAACAAACAAAACCAAAAAAAGGTATTTCCCACATTTATACAGACCCCCCATTTGCCTACCAGTAGGGGCAATATCACATTTGTGCATCACTGAGTAATAACACCATTAGAAAAGGCAACTTCACAGAAGTTATTGGCTAAGCGAATTCATTTGAATGCTCTATTTTGAGGCAGCAAGCTTTTGACTGGTGCATGATCAGGGAGGGTGACAGGCACATCTACAGAAGGAAAAGGAACAGAAGCAGAAGAAGCTAGAGCAGTTAAATTAGAATGGGTACTGCAAAAAGCATTTAAGTTATCCTGTAAATCCTTCATAAACCTTTTACGGAATTAAATTTTGCTCTAACCACCAAGGTTACCTAGGGCAACAAAGGACATCCAGATCAAAATGCTCTAATAAGGTTTAAAGTGAACAGGGTGTTGTAAACAACAAAGTGGAAAGAAAGGAGTAATCTACAGAATTGTTCATTAATAACAGCTATTAACATTGTATGCTAAATGTATCAGAGAAAAATAAGCCAAAACTTAAGCACAGTATACAGGAACAGTGGAGGAGGATGCTGTAAAGGTTTGTTGACTATTGTGAAATACATCTATGTCTGTTTGCCTATTTCCTCATTGCTATAAGGCATCCAGAGTACAAAGGTTACAAAGCAGGCATCAAGAGAAGTGGAGTCTGGATCCCACGGACAGTTTAAAAGTCTAGTGTGTTATGATGTTTCTCTTAAAATTGAGAGAAACCGTATGAAAGGGGGGCGGGAACTAGTCCACTGGTGAAACAGCAACACCAGCAGACGTCTCTCTATTTCTCAAGTTTATGAATCTCCAAGCTCAAAAGATTCAGAAAAGAGCTTTTTGAATGCCACTAGAATATAGATATTTCTCAGGTTTCAATATTTTCTATGTCTCCTTTACAAAGAAGGAAGGATTCACTGCCAACCAGCTCCTTACCTTAAATAGTGCTGAAAAGTCCTAGCAAACTAATTTAGGAAAACTAATTATAAAAGAACAAACTAGATGAACTACAGAATTAGATTCTTCTACTTGAAAGCCAGTACACTTTACCAAAAAGTCACTGAAAAAGCCTTTTCCTAATTCCTTATGTGCTCACCTTTGCTGAGTAAATCTTTGCACCAAAAAATGAGGGAAACAGGAAACTCAGCCAAGATCAATGTGGTTTGAAAAGATTAAACAAAAACCTTTGCTTGTGCAAACAGGACATTCACCTGGATAGGACACTGTGCACAGAGTACAGCCTGGGTGGGGGATGACACAAATATTGAGAGATCTAATTTTTAAGCTCACATTCAGAGCGTGTACTTTTATAGTAGAAGCTTCTCAGTATCAGCAATGGCATTTCCCTCATGTTCTGCCCATTCTTCCACGTGCTCAATGAATACACCCATGGCAGGGTGATTAAGCCTCTGTACAAACTGCTTTTTGCAATGTCCCTAAGCAAACAGACAAGCCTCGCCACATACACTTTGTACACCCGTGGGCAAATTTCACAGACTAGTGAATGCACGTAGATAAGGGTAGCTGGACTTGCCGCCATGATGCTGCTCCCCTACACCAAGGGTGAACCATCTTTTTGGCCCAGTGCGGCAGATCCTTCTCTCTCCCTCCCCATGGGCCAACACTGACAAGTGGGCGAGGCCACCCACCCTCCTGTCAAAGTTGGCCCACAGAGGTGCAAAAAGATAGTGAGCAATGCAGCAGTAGTCCCATCTCGCCTTCTGCAGGCTTTACGCGTGCAGCTGTCGGCTGGGTGGGGGTTGTCCTGCTTTCTGCAAAGATCAACTGCCTGTGCCGGTTGCCGGCAGAGGGTGAAGCAGAAACCAGTCAACACAGCGGAACTAAGCAGGACGGAGGTCCACCTCCTATCAGGTGACACCACCTGCTCCCAGAGTGATGTCACTTGATTGTCAAGTGGGTGTGCTTTATGAAATATAGTCTCATGGGCCAAATTAGAATCTTGGACAAGCCCAAATTGACCCATGGGCCAGAGGTACTCCACTCCTGCCCTTTATGCATGTTCACAGTATGCACATTAAAATGACTGAGAAGTGCTGAAGTCTCTCTTCCCTGAAGTTAGAAAATTTTCTGTATATGAAATTATTCTAAAAGAAAGCCAATTTTTCTCTTTTTTCAAGTTAGGCTCTCTCTGGAGGGGAAGATCTTTAAAAGATTGCTACATAATTTATGTACAAGGTTAACTAAATTTTGTTTTCTTGCAAACAAAGATGAGATTTTGGGCCAGGCCCTTCATAGACCTGATTCATTCAAAGGAGTTCCTGTGTTGTGAGAAATAGGAATAATAGTACTTACAAGCAAAGTTAGCTTGTTTCAGTGCTCTCCTGATATTACTCTTGCTTTATCGCACCAGGAAAGGCAGAAAGGTGTGATGGGCTCCCTCAAGTGAACAATTTTCATCAAGAAAAGAAAGTATTTCTATCTAGACTGGAAAGCAGGGCAAGGGGAAAGGAAGGTAGTGCGAAAGGAGAAAAAAATTTCTCATGTTAAAATTCTGATAGAGTGGTGTGTGAAGTTAAGAGAAGCTGAAGATGATTGTTAAAATGCCTTTGAGATATATTTTCTCAGTGCCTCTACCTCCCAGATGTTTTATAACAGCTGCACTCATGTGAAAAAATTCTTAAAACATACCCAATATATATACAGATATAACTACATATATGTGTATATATACATACATATATAGATAATTTTTATTTAAATAAAAAAATGAATGCTCGAATCCCAAGCCAATACATGTATCAAATTTTTGGCCAGCCAGGTCTGTAGGGCATAATCAAATTCAATGTGAAATAGTATATAAATGCGGTGCCTTGACTGGGCAAATTAAATAATCACTACTCAACAGAGTCTTCTGCTTGGACTCTCCTACTGGTAGGCAACAGGGGGGCTGTATCCCCCCATTTTGTTCAATGTAACAGTAAGACAGATGCAAAATAGCTGAAGGTTGCTATGACCTCAACAAGGGTTTAAGGGAAGAAAAACAACCTAAAACAAGATTAATAAACTTCTGCTTTTACCCAACCAAAGCAATGCTTCAACTTATTACATAACCAGTGCTTTCTGAGTTTTAGTAGTCTAATCCATATGGGAGAAGTAGGCTTAAGAGATGTGTGGGAGCTTTTGCAAGGGTTTCCACTCGGAGCATCTCTACCTACATATAAACTTGGAGGGAAAGAGTAGGAAGTCAAATTATGCACAGCACAAGTAAGACCACTGCCTGCAACAGTGGCATTTTAAGGACAATCTTAAATGCAATGACGTATGCAGCAAGAAGAAAGGTTTTCATCCCATCTAGATCCTGAAGGGTGTTGCTGTTGAGACAGAGTTGCTGAAAGTAAATCTGAGGAGTTCTATTATCTTGTCAATCTCTCCCATTACTCAGAGAAAGCCTTCACTTTCAGAGACTGAATACAGCAGGGACAGGGAACTCCCCCACCCAAGACAGACCAGGGACAACCAAGAGCAGCTTTGGATGCAATAAAGATGCAGAGGGAACACAAAGTAAAGGGGCCTGCACTTCCTGTCTTCTTGCTTCTCTCCTTCCCACCCAAACTATAACTTCTACAGTTCTCATCTTGGGCAGATGCAGCAGCTTTCCCTGCCTTAGGATATCATGCAGTCCCCATCCTTCCCAGAAACAAAAGTTAACACAGAGGTTGTGCTTTAGACCTGACAAAGAAGCAGAGAGACCCAAATTTCTCAACCTAACCCATCTCTGACAACTGAAGCCATTCTTCACTGCAGTTTAGAAAAATACAATGGATAACGGTGATGTCCTGGCATGCTTAAAGAGAGTTACTTTCAGAAACTCTGCAACACGTTTTCTGACAAGGCAATTGAGAGCTTCCTCCTCCATTGCAATACTTCCTATTTTCTTTTCAAACTCACACAAAGCAGTGGTGAGTGAGACTGTTTTGAAGGGAGAAGAAAAGAGGAAATTATACACTGGGTATGTAATAATACCAAAATAAAAGAGAAAACCTACCTCATTAAGATCATACAATTAATCAAACAGAGTGTGTGTATATATATTTATATATATAATATCTGTTTCTTTTAAAGCCCTGGCATTCAAGGCATCCAAAGTTATTAAAATAAAGTTCATTCACAGAACAAAAACAAATTTAATCTGAGTTGCTTGCAGATACTGCTAATTTTCATTTTTTTAATTAAAAAATGTGTTAATGTGAACTATGTGCAGGGTTTGTTCTAGTAGTGGTGTTGTGCACATTGTCTCAGGACCTGCCATTGTTGCAGCTCTTGCTCAGTGTCTCCCATTATATCCCAAGGAGGGGTAAAGGTGACCCCAGACAGAAATGGAGAGATGCTTTTGTTCCTTCAGGGAGCAGATGTAGGTGTTGCTCCTGTCCTCTGGGCATCCAAGTCGCCTCCTCCCGCTTCAGTATCTTCCGACAAGCTCAGAGCTGCAGTTTTGCTTGAGAGGAGGCCAATGCTTTCTTGCGCTGGAGCTGCTCCATTTGGAACATCACTGCTGAAGAATGAATGCCAACAAGGGAAATTAACAGTGAAGACAGTCAGGTAGAGAAAGAAAGAAACTGAATAAAGTTTTAGAAAAAGAACAATATTGAGAAGACATCCTGAATACAGTTGGCCATGGTCTTCCAAGTGGCCACTATCAATGACAATCAAAAGATCAGTACCGTCTGGTAAAATACAGAATACTCTAAATACATATTCAGTGAAGAGAGATTATGCATTCTGAAGGTAGTGGAACTGGTTTACCTCACATTTGCTGCGTTCCACTGTATCAGTTTTCTAGGCAAGGCACGTGGGTGGAAGCAAATTCCACATATAGTCGTACCTCGGAAGTTGAACAGAATCCATTCTGGAAGACTTTTTGACTTCCAAAACGATCAGAAACCAAGCTGCGGCTTCTGATTGGCTGCAGGAAGCTCCTGCAGCCAATTGGAAGCCGCGGAAGGTGTTCGGGTTCCAAAGAACACTCTTTGGAACACTCACTTCCAGGTTTGTGGCGTTCAGGAGCCAAAACATTCGAGTCACAAGGCCAACCAAGGTACAACTGTACTTTAGAATGCATTTCTATGTTTAGACATAAAACAATAAATAACCGAAACAAACGGAATACACAAGAAAAAGAGAATATATTGCCATGTTTATTTTGATATCTTTAATCTGCCTTGTTAAGTTGCATCTGTTTGGACCTTCCATCTCCATTTAGGGAGCAGTACCCCAATAGGGACGCGGGTGGCGCTGTGGGTAAAACCTCAGCGCCTAGGGCTTGCCGATCGCATGGTCGGCGGTTCGAATCTCCGCGGCGGGGTGAGCTCCCGTCTTTCGGTCCCAGCTCCTGCCCTCCTAGCAGTTCGAAAGCATCCCTAAGTGCAAGTAGATAAATAGGTACCGCTTTATAGCGGGAAGGTAAACGGCGTTTCCGTGTGCTGCTCTGGTGCCGGCTCGCCAGAGCAGCTTCATCACGCTGGCCACGTGACCCGGAAGTGTCTCCGGACAGCGCTGGCCCCCGGCCTCTTAAGTGAGATGGGCGCACAACCCTAGAGTCGGACACGACTGGCCCATACGGGCAGGGGTACCTTTACCTTTTTACCCCAATAGTGTAATATGTTACAACCACTAGAAGAAGAAGAAGAGTTTGGATTTGATATCCAGCTTTATCACTACCCTAAGGAGTCTCAAAGCGGCTAACAATCTCCTTTCCCTTCCTCCCCCACAACAAACACCCAGTGAGGTGAGTGAGGCTGAGAAACTTCAGAGAAGTGTGACTGGCCGAAGGTCACCCAGCAGCTGCATGTGGAGGAGTGGGGAAGTGAACCCATTTCACCAGATTACGAGTCTACCGCTCTTAACCACTACATCACACTGGCTCAAAGCGGAGCATAGACAGAGGTGGTAACTGGGCAAAGTAAGTTTGACAGGCTACTGTGTGCTCTGTGACTGCATATATTTGCATGGTGATAGTGCTCCTGTTGTGACCCACCTTGGATCAGCCTGTGACCCACCAGCTGAAGACCAGTGCTATTACCTGAATGTAAGTGCAACATCCTCAGCTGGTACCTTGCTTTGCTGTCCATTTTCTGTCTGCTTACTGGCACTCACTTTGCTTTTCACTTCCAATGAAGACTGACTCTCCTAGGGAAAGAATAGGAATACCTACAGTTCACTAAATGTAGGTAAGATGTTTTCTATGCTTGTTTCACAGATGAGGAATAAGATAATTGTAAAACCACTGCGCAGACCAACTGACACAAAAGCCGCAGGACAAGGGAACATCTGAGACATATCTGCCCTATCTATTTGTTCAGGATACACAAAAGCACATGTATCAAGCAGCAAAGGCTAAAGCATTCTATCATCACAGGCTTGAAAACCACTGCCCCATTTCCAAATGCCAGCTAACAGGTGTGGTGCCCAGGCTGCAACACAGGGCATGCAGTGGTACAGTTTTGAACTGCAGAAGCTCATAATGAGATCTCCTAGCCATGCGCCCTAGGAGAGTCTAAATATGTAACCGTGTTGATCCATTTTATGATAAATTTTATAGGGATCAGCTGACAATTATATCATAGTGAGCTGGCAAAGGTGGTGTAGTTGTCAGCATATGGAATTTGGCTGGGGACACCTGGGTTCATATCCCTGATCTGTCAGGTGACATGGCCGCAATCTGATATATTGGTGCTTACTTCTGACTGCACGTGTTCAACTTGTATCACACACTAAGAATTAACAAAAATATATTTAGTCCACTGAAATGCAGCCTTTAGCTTCCAATTAGAAACACATGCAATCATGCAAAGTGATATTACCATTTAAACTGCTAGTGTGAGGTAGGAATACCCACCAAGGAAAGAGTATCTGCCCTCTGCTTGGTTACTTTCCTCATTCTCCAATTTCCTCTATGCTAATCTGTCCCAAATAGTAGTACAACTTGAAAGCCTCGTTATCACCTCATTCACGTGCCAAGGGGGGCGGGGGTGAGTTTTTCAATTACCCTGGCACTCTAACACTATTTGCTAAAGGAAAACAAAGCCTGAAAAGCTACAGAAGTCAGAATATTTAAAATCACTATAGTCTCAAAAATAAGAAGAGTTAACACTGGCAGCTGTCATCTAGAATACCACCTTTGTGTGACGAAGCGCAGCAACTCACCCAGCAGCAGCAGTTTCTTTTTCAGTCCCCTCTGCTCACCCTACAAAACACTCACCATGCTCAGCTCCCGGGTTCTCTTCCCGATCTCCCTCTCCACCTGGTGCAGCTCCAAGCTCAGCTGTTCACTTGAGATCATTCCAGGCCACTTGGGAGGTGGCGGCTGTGGCTGGCCTGCCAAGGGGGTCGCCTCCCTCTGCAACAGCAGCCTGTTACTAACAGCCTAAATGCATAAAGCGAAGCACATACACAACTGAGCACAGAAAGAACACCATGCAGACATGAGGATGAGGCCAAATTTCAGGAGTATTGCTTGGTTCCCAAAACCCAACCTTCCTTCCTCTCATGTGAAATACACAAATTGGTCATTACTCCCAAGAATGTTTCACACACACATGAAGATCATCTTAAATCAGAAATACAGTTTGTGAAACATGCAGCCCTTTCCCCAAGCTTTGTGAACAATCTTTCAGTTCAGCTTGTAGCATAGGTGGCGATGCCTGGATCCATGCTCTAAGGAAGATGTGAGACAGAAGCAAACAACACTGACATAAGACGTTCATTGCTGAATCGGGCCAAGGGTTCATTTAGTTCAGCACTCTCTTTCTGGGAGGAGGCAGCCAGGAGCATCTGGAAAGCTCACAAGCGAGAAAAGATAGCGAGCAACATCCTGCTGTTTCCCCCCAAAATTCAGAGATATACTTGGAACACAGAGGTTCCATTTAACTGTCACAGTTATTAGCAAGTTCTATGTGAAGCTATTCAAGCTAGATGCCATCACTCCTTCTTGAGGTAGTGAATCCTAAAAGGTAATCTGATGTTGTCTGAAGTACCATGTTCTTTTCTCTGTTCTGTCCCTACAGTCCACAGATTTCACTGTGTGACTGAAAGAGAAGCATGGTTGTGTCTCCTGTTTAAACTTTGTGAAAAAATCTGGCATGTGCAGGGATTGGCCACCTTGCTCAAGGCATCTCACTGATTGTCTGTAATCAAGTTTACTACATGCTGGTGCTGTGGTGGAGCTGAAACCAAGAATCTGACTATAGTCCTGCGACCCCACTCACCCACATCCTGGTTTTGAAGCAGTGTCTTTCTGTGATTTCTTGAAAGCTTACTAGAGGTTACTTAATGAGAAGGAGGTGATGGCAGTTAAGCCTCCTTAAAATATAGTTTCCCTATCACCAGTGATCTTCCCTTGCAACCTGTAGTTGCAGGAGTGGTGCTCATAATTTAAGAAGTGTTCATAAAGGGCAGCAGTGAGGCCAAATAGGCTTGGTAATCAGCTGACTGCATCCTAGAACATGCTCCATGTTACTGAGCAGTGCCAGGAGTCTGCAACAAATCAATGTTGAATGAATTGCTCCTAGCCTGAGAACCACTGTTCTAAAACGGATTATTTCTGCCTAATTTGCACTGATCTGGACCTAGCTGAACGAATAAAAGATAAGCATGTTGGTATCTAAATGACATCTGAAATTAAGAATTGAATTATATACGTATATGAAAATGTGTTTGAATGATTTCATCTTAAAAGTCTTGGCACTGAAGCAATATTTCAGAAATGTCTGTCACAAAGCAGTTACAAGTATCTTTGGTCTTTGTTTTTAAGTTGCATATTATCTAGTGCAACATTAGGTAACTAAAACAACAACAACAGAGAGTAACAGTCATGTGGGTATTTTCAAACCATCCAATACTCCTCCATTGCACCATCAGCAAAGGCAGGCATGCCAAAAGTAAGCACCTATTTGTCTTTTGTTCTTGAATAAGAGCACAATATTGCCAACAAATGCATCTTGCACACGGTGAATAAAAATCAATGATTTTTTTTAAAAAAGGATTTTTTAAAATTTAAATCGGATTTTTTTTTTATTTAAACCAGATTTTTAAAATAAAATGCTTCTGGAGGAAAAATCTTTTTAAAGATAGTTTTCTATTTAAGTTACATTATAGTCCAAATTATTTCCATCAGGAAATAAGGATTTGTTTTAAGTTTTGCATGTGTGCTAAAACTCAGTCTAAAGTTTTTTTTTAATTGTTTAACCACATCAGTTAACAAACATGTATACATATGCTATAATATTATTGTTTTAGTTAAATAATTTTTAAAAATTGTTATTAAGGAAATTATTATTTTTCTCCTCCCAATAAAATACAGCAGAAAAGTTGTTGAAATATAAACAATAATTTCATAATTACCTGTCTTTGTATTTTTAATAATATAACCAAAATCCGTAATTTTTTACAGAACTGTAAAAACTACTCTGAAAATTTATTATTCCAAAAATGAAACCTTCATCTGGTTGTAAATATTAAGATTATACCAGCAAGAATGAGTCTTTCTGTTAAAAAATGATTAAAATCAAGTCTTACTGACTAGAAATTTAAATCAATTTGATTTATTTCAAATCGACCCTGATCTTGCATCTATCATTTCTGTTCAGGGAACCTACCAAGTTCATAAAAACCACCTGACTTTAGGAAGTCAGGCCTTCCTAAAATGAAGACTGCTTGTGATTGCCACTGCAGAAAACCTAAATTGAGGTAGCTGTAAACCCCCAAATAGGCAGCCACGATCTCTCACTGGTTTTCTTTGCAAGAACACTTCTATTCTGGGATGACTATGAGCTACAGGTATCATTAGTGTTCATTGCTGTTGTCAGAGATATATATTTTCACCCTAAGAAATCAATTCAACTGTAAGATATACAAGATGACTTTTCAATAAATTGTGTATAACCATTGTTCAGCCTTAGACGGTTTGGGAAGATAAGGCCAACAAAAAATTAGATAGGAAGCTCATTACCCAATATATCACTACTTTGAAGACCAGAAAAATACAACAATAAAGTGTGTGTGTGTGTGTGAGAGAGGGGGGAATATAAAAGAATACAAAATCGGAAGTCTGTAGGCAACGGCAGTATTGGTGCCAGCATCTTTTGTAACTTTTAACCACACTTGAAATTCCTAAATGTTATGAAAACATATATAACAGAATCAGAGGAAAATAAATTATATTCCCACTGCGCGCGCTCTCTCTCTCTCTCTCTCTCTCTCTCTCTCTCTCACACACACACACACACACAGTTTCTCAAGTCCCTTACTGCAAAAAGACTGGGGATACAAGCACCCACCTCCAATCCTCGTGTCTGCTGGCTAATCTGATGGTTTAGCTGCTGCAGTTCAAGTCGAAGCTGCTGTTCCCTCTCAGATGAGGGCAAAGGCTTCCCATGGCCAGCCACGTCTGTCATAGACAATCTCTCCCTTTGATGACAGAGAATTTATTTGAAAAAGAAGCAAATGTTTCAGTACTCTCTTTTCAAGGCGTTAGAAAAAACAAAACTTGTATAGTATGTTCACCTAAACACAGCAGGTTTGGATACTCTTACCTGTCACTAGGGCGTCCCTGAGAAGAAGGTATGTTTTGATGGGGTGAATATGGCGAACCTCCCCATGCACTGTGTGTTTCATAAGGGCTGTAATCTACAAAGCAATTGGAAAGGTCTATTAAAAAGTGCCGATTCAAATGACTTATATTAATGGCAGAGAAGATGAAGTTGCACAGTTGCTAAGGCAATGTATGTAATATTAGCTGATTTTTCTTTGCTTTTGTGAAAAAAATGTGTGTTGAAGAAAGTCTGCAAAAATACTGACAGACCTGGGTCATATTTTCCTCTCCTTTTAAAACAGCCACCATAAAATGTTTGGTGGCTGGGATGGGAATGGAGGAAAAGAACAAAGAGCAGTTGAACAACACCACAGAGAATGTTGGAGACCTTTAAAATACCCATTCCAGCTTTCAAAAAAGAAAGATAGAACTGCAGAAGGAGCAAAAAAACTCATTACGTCTAGCCTGGGAAAGGACTGCTTATGTAGGCTAAAGGGGTATTGGAGAAATCTACCTACTAGGAAAGAATCATCTTCATGCTGACTTTTGCATAACATTTAGAATTTGCTTGTATGTCACTAAAAGGCTCGCTCACAGGTTTGCCACAGTGAGTATGCTGAATAAGTGGCAGTGCAGCAGGGCCATGTATCCACTTGGTACAATGTATGTACCAAATGCCTCCATTTGCTTCTCTGCCCAAACTGCCCCTGTGTAACCTGAAATCACTGCACAAGGCAGAGCTCCCACCTACTTCATGCTGCAGACAAGCCCTGGGACTCAAGGAGGAACTTCAGGCACACTCAAGGGTTTATGCCAGCTCACTGAGAATTGTTAAAAAGCCTCTCCCTATGGCATTTCACAAACCCATTTTCGGATTTCTCAATTTTTGAGCTGTTTGCCACATGGCATACAGGCTTTAGTTGAAGAAGGACAGATACGAACACCAACTAGCTGTGGAATGTCTCCCAAGGTTGTCTCTGAAGGGAGGAAGCCCCTACCGGAAATTCTAAATTTGTGTGTCTATTAGCAACTCCTATTTCTACACTTCGGGACTGATGAAAGCCTACTGTAGAAGAAAGCAGGCCTCCAACGGGGTACGCTGCATACCTGAAATGTTGCCTGGCTTTGTAGATGCCCCTTGAACTGCCATGGCTTGCATGGGGCCAGGGTTCTGATACATCGTCTTAGATGTACGTGAGATGGCACCGAACCTTGATACCGTAGGCCGATCTCCAAATGGAATAAGATCATCATCACCAGTCTCTGCTGCTCTCCTCTGCAAATCCAAACGCTGGTCTCGCATCCCCTTGCTATCCACGTTCTGGAGGGTGAACCAAAAGGGTAGGGAATTATAAGCAAGATTCTCCATTTTGACTGACTCTTCTCAGTAAGAATAAAATTATCATTTCACAGAGAACTGGGGATGGGGCATATGTGCAGAAAGACACTGTTCCAACAAATTTCTTTCAAAATCTAGACACACTTAAAAAATATTAACACCTTCTAGGATTTCTCTTGGACCCTTTAATATTTTAATATTCTATAATATTTTATAATGTGGCTGCCCAAACCACTACCAAAGACAAATTAAAACATGTATATACTGCTGTTCTGTTGAAAGGTTATACCGTTGGAGCCACTATTCTCCTTCCTTCCAGAACGCAGCATCTCTCACACAGCTGAGAATCTCCAAGAGGAGCAGAACACAGTCAGGGCTACATCCAACCCCGTTCTCCACTCCTGGTTAACCCCACCACCACCACACACGCCATTAAAAAATGTTGAAATGCTGCCCTCATTTTACTTGAGTGCAAATGGAGTGGCAGAAAGACAGGAAGGGGGGCGTTTTGGCTCAGCGCTAAGCATGCACACATAGGTTGATGAAGGAGGAAAGGCTAGAGCAGTGGATCAGATAGAAACACAGCAAACAGCCTTCTCTGAGTAGATACTTTTTTCTCACAGGAGTCTTTAATTGAAAACTAATTTTTCACAACACACGAACAGTTCTCTTGTGACACATGGTTCAGAACCATAACACTAACTTCTAGCTCCATTCAGACAACAACATAGTTTAGAAAAAGACAAACAATGATTTGAGTCTTCAAATGCTCAACCGACCAACCAACCATACTTTAGAGATGCTTGTCTGGTACTATTTTCACTTCTCTTCACACTCAGCTTCCTAAGTTGACTCTCATTTCCATGGTGCCTCTAGCTCAGAAACTACAAGCCATTCAAACAATGGTTGCAAATATTCTTCAGAGTACAGTCTCCAATTCTGTACTCTTGGTCAACTGCAAACCAATGCCTGTCAATTTAGATATCATGACAAGCCATATGCAAGCCTTCTTGCCCTTGGTTTTTAGAGTATGATATTTAATCTGAGCTCTGATAATTAGAAAAAGGGACCCAAAATTGCACTGCAACACCAGTAATGATCCAAAAGTGGTCCACACCTTTTAACAAATAGTCTAGAGCTAGGATTTACTGCATGCTAAAACCAACTTATTATAATCTGCCCTTCTGGTACAAGGTCCAATTTGAACAGCACCCTCTGGCACTGGTCTTCTCTGCATGCTTACCCCCATCTCAACAAGTCCCACTGCTGCTGTGTCTTTGGGTTTTGCATCTTTGGTTCCAATGTAGGAGCCAATGGTTTCACATGACCAGGGAGAGTACTGGCTGTAATCATTTCCTTTGTATTTGCCAGCTACCTTCAGATCTTCATCTATATACTGCAAAAAAACACAAAAAAAGAATAACATTCAGTTATTGCAATAGTACTAAAATTAAAATTTAAAAAATCCTATGTGCCTCCACTAAACATCTGAATTGACTCCAAAATCGAACTTGAGACAAAGTGGTTTGAAAGTGTTCAGACACTTCCAGTCTGGCTATTGCATATGGTATTTCTTGCATAAATGTGCATAAAATGTAAATAAACGTGCCCAACATAGCAAGCCTAGTTAACACCATTCTAATATTTAATGGGAACATGAAATATAGCTGTTAATAGAAAAAACCTTCAAATATAATGAGTGCACTCAACGTGCCACTAAAATTGGGGGGCCATTCTAGTGGACTGGCTTATTTAGAAGTCAGCTCTAAAACGGGAAACTGATGGTACAGTATTTCTCTGAAGCTCTCATTACTGTGTCTCTAGCCCAGTTCAGACATGCTGCATCTAAAGCATGGTGGGCAAGGGAGAGAACGCCTTCCTTCCCCACACAATCTGACAAGACCCTCCTGCTTCCCAAGCCACTGAATCTCCACATGTGGCATAACATTTAAATAGGGTGCACATCTTTAAAATCCAATGTGCATAGGTTCAGATCATGTGGACAATTCTTAGAATTCATCTGACATGCTGATCACGCTGTTCTGGCCAATGTATGTATGCACTCTCTCTCCTACATATGGTTGGATGCAGTGAGATTCTGGCAGGACATGGTTCAAATGCACCTTTCTCCCTGCATGTCAATTTACATACATTGTTCATTACCAGGCATGTCCAAAGTCTGTTTCGGGGGCCTAATCTGGTTGGGAGTTTATTTCCTGGGGGTGAAAACCCTGGAAAAGCTCAACAACTTCAATCCTAAAAAAAGCTCAACAACCTTGGGGTAAAATCCTAATCCAACAACTTTGGTTGGCCCTCACACATGTTCACTTCATCAAATCTGCCCCTCTTTGAAAAAAAATTGGGCACCCCTGTTCATTACTAAACCTATTTCCATGACTACTGCTAAAGCAACTCAACAGCTATATTTTAAAAACATGTTCACCTCATCAGTGTGTAAAGAGTGAGGCAGAGTTGGTGATGGTGCAAAAGGAGGTGGGGAGATGACCTTCCTTTCCTCTAGCTGGGCCATGATCTCCTTTCGTCGTCGGTGCAAATCATCTAGACTGGGATGAGGCTGAGGGGGAGGCCGGCTATAAGGCTCCTGAAGACAGAATATCATTTTGAAAAATAATACTTAAAACGTTTAAAGTTTAAGACACAATCAATTATCCATTCTACAAGTGAATCTAAAGCTGAAGCCTACAATCCACAATTGTTAGATTTACATCAATGACAAAGCACGGAGGGGGTGTACTTTTGTCCAAATTTGAAGACTAGAATCCTTTATATTTGAGCAACATGCTCCAAAGGAGAAAGTAACTCAGTAATACAAACTGGTGAAAACATCAAACCATTGTTTATGAAAGTGGCTTGTTTCAACAACTGGTAGTTAAGAAGAACCACCGTCTTAAGGTTGAGACAGCACACTAAATTGTGATCTATCTAAAACACAAGTGGAAGCTTCCAACTTTTTTGCAGCTGTGCTAGAAGAGGGGTGAGGAAAGCAATCTATGGTTCATTCTCATACTGCTAAGTCGTAGCTTAGTGTGAACACAGCCATTAAAAGTTCAGAAGAAAACAACGAAGACACTGAAAACTGTTAACATACTAATTTTAGCATGCACAAAGTGCTATGTAATAGATATATAGGTATTTCTTAAGTATATTTATATTAATAAAGTTATTTACAAGTTTCAAACCGCTTAGTGTATCCATTAATTAGACATGGGCAGTTTTCCACAGTGGAAATTATTGTGCAGAAAATGTTCTGGTCCACTGCTCCTAATAACTGCAGCTTTCATTTGAAAATATGCAACTTTTTAGCTCTTGTGGTTGCAAAGATACCCGTCTAAATAAAAGAGCAATGTTTCCTGAAATCTCAAAAGCCATGTGAGTTGTCAAATAATATTTCCATACAAATCAAAATCCAACTCCTATAGAAGAACAGAATCATTCTGCTCCTCCAAAACTCTGGAGTTGACTATAATAGCCTCTGCAATTCACTCCAGAAGAGGACAGTATTACCCCTTGATTCTCTGCAGAAATTCAGTTCCAAGACAGAGACTGTACTCTGCACCCTGTGTGGCAAAGTCTCCAACTATGTGTAAGTAAAGAAGTCCCAGCCCTCAAACTACAGATCTTTGGGTGAGGATGTGCTAGAACCCCACTTTGTATGCCTCAAGACCTCAGAGTCAGGCTGGAAGAAAATATCATCTTGTTCCTCCAACAAAAACACCTGTTTCTGGAGTCTAAGCTGCCAGGAAGGAGCGAGTCTTTGGTCACTGTAGAAGTATCTGTGCTTCCAATGGAAGCTATGGTTCTGGTCTAGAATTTTTTGAGTGGGAATACACTGCAAACTTGATCTCCCATTTTCAGCAACTGAGAGAAAGCCTTCCCTGTCTGTATGTCCCATCTGGTTAGCAGAGGCAAAAAGAAATGATAATAAATAAATAAATGTATTTTTAATTATAAAGGTTGCAAATTTTACCTTTTGTTATTGTAGAATCTTAGTTTCTTTGATGTACATTTTTTTTCTTTAAATGAAACATATGGGACTGATCTAGATGAAAATCCCTACTTGGTCATGAACTTACTCAGTGGCCCTAATCAAGCCCAACTTTCTACTTCTCCCTTGTGTAAAATGGGATTTCATAGAGCTGCTGCAAGAATGAAGACTGTATAGCATTTCATAGACTAAAATGCCAAGCTCCCCCCCCAGACAGACAAACAAACAAATTAACAAACAAGAAGTGACATATAGAACTCGTACCCTGTGATATGAAGGTCTGATCTGATTCAGATGTGGACCAACTGGATAGTAGCCTTCCATCTGTGGATATCTGTCTCTTGTTTCAGGTACATATGGTGACACAGCTGGTGGAGGAATTTCGATGGGCACAGGGCTTCCTCTGATGATTTCTTCCCTCTGGTACGGCTGGGGAGGGGGGTACATGCGCCGGCTGTCATAATGTGGAGGGTACATGGGTTGTCCCATAGGAGGATATTGTTGGGGCTGCGCACTGTACTGAGAATTCACCATGCGGTCCTGGAGGTATGGTGGGTAATGTTCTAAATAAGGAGGGCCTGGTTCAGGAACAGACGGTGGAGGTCGGACAAATCGAGACATACACTGCGAAGGCTGAGCTGCAGGATAATACACACCTAAATACACAAAATAAAATTTTGGAAAGGTGCTTTAAGGCAATTCACTCTTTCACCTGCTTCAGAGAACGGAAGTGGCAATAAGTTGTCACTTTAAATTTCCTTTTCACTTTATGTTTGAAGATGTTAATCCATTTTTACCAAGTTACAGCTGTTTGGAAAGAGCTTGGAAACACTTTGCATTATAACAATAGATCATCACTTGTCTTAGCTTTTGGCCAATGATGTTTTATAAATTACCATGAGGAAAACATGTGGAAGCCTCTCAAGGAGCCACTATAACTATGGGCCAAAATTGCTCATCTACTCACCCTGCTTGGGAGTGTGTGGCTCCCTTAGACACTAGCAGGAGCAGGAGTCACCAGGAAGACCCTGTCCTAAGAAGCCAGATGATGACAAGGGGGCTGCATAGGCAATAATGGCAACAATGCTGAGAGGGCTAGAATGGAATATATCCTTTTCTAAAAACATTGGCAATATTTTGTGTTGAGATCCCACAGGAAAAAGGGATTGGTGGAGTTGTTGTTTGCCACATGCAGATAGGAAAACAGCTTCAAAAGGATTAGATTGTCATAAAAGCTAGTGGGATGAGATAAAAGAACCTGGAGAACATGAGCAACTTTGTATCACAGGATTGTCACCTTTCACTATGTTTTCAAGAAATGGGTTAATTCTTGGGAGTGGTACCTATTTCTAAATATATGGCTGACACACAAAGAAACTTGTGAACTACCATCTGCAAGTATGAATGCTTCCAGTTGGTGGCAGCAGTTTTCAACTCTGAAAGTTGCTACATCTAGCCAGACAGCTCTCTTCTGGCTTGATGAAATAAAATAAGGCACCGCATTTTTCGCTCTATAAGACGCACCCGACCATAAGATGCACCTAGTTTTTAGAGAAGGAGAACAAGAAAAAAAATATTCTGAATCAAATGTTGAAGAGGCTTCATGCGGCTATCCCTGAAGCCAGAACAGCAAGAAGGATTGCTGCGCAGCAATCCCTCTTGCTGTTCTGGCTTCAGGGATAGCAGTGCAGCCTGCATTCACTCCATAAGACGCACGCACATTTCCCCTTACTTTTTAGGAGGGAAAAAGTGTGTCTTATAGAGCGAAAAATACAGTACTTTCATTTCCCTATCTGCAAAAATTGTGAAATTCACTTAAAATTTTCAATAAAATTTGTAAAAACACAACTTACTTGATCTTCTTAAATACAGAAGTGGTTGTGCTTATACACTAGATCTTAGCCAGAAGGCCAAGTAGTGATGGGTTGTTGGGATTATAAGGAGAGCTTGTCATCCCTTGCAATTCTGAATGTGTGAACCTCAACAACCTAGGATCGCTTACAAATGTGGATTCATGATAATTTCAGTTTTAGTTTAACAAAAAGAAGATATCTAGCTCTCCTAGTTACAAAGCATCCTCTGAAAAATGTGTAGGTCAGGGCTTACTCACAGGTAAGTGGGGCCAGGATTGTAGTCTAATATATCACAGTATCTAGCACCCCATCCTTCCTCTAGGGCAAATAAATAAATAACATGCAAACCTTTGCCCCAGGCCCAAATTTTACCCAGGTGGCATTGTTACCTGATTGGTAAGGTGGAGATTCAAATGGTGGACCTGCTCCCCGAGGATCTGGGTAAAACACATCTGTTTGTGGAGCTGGATACAACTGGGAGCCTCGTGGCACCATTTGGAGTTGCTTCCCAACAGATATTGGAGGCAGGTCTGCAGGTCCTCGGGGGGCCACTGGGTGAGAGTTCACTGGTAAGGCAGATAGAGAACTCTTGGGAACGGATTCCAGCCTAAAAAAGATCCATCACAACATTAGAGCAGCTACAAACCTGGGATGAATCCCACTGAATATTGCTGCTTTGGCGCCTACATTGATTTGTACATTGTCTTCTCAGCAACCAAGCATATGCAAGAGGTAGCAGAAGATGGAAGGTGGAAGCATCACCGCTGCCAGCTGACATTAAGGGAGTCCAGCTAAGGTTCCAGCAGCTGCGGCAATCCAGCTTAGAGAAACCTAAAAAGAGCCCTGCTGGATTAGACAAAAGACCCACTTAGTCAAGAAACCTGTTCTTATCAGGTGCCCATGGAAAGCAAGCACTCTCCCCCCTTGTGATTCCCAGCAGCTGGTATTCATTGGCAGCACAGCCATCACGGCTAGTAGTCATGGTTAGCTTTGTCTGCATGAATTTGTCTAAGTCCCTTTTGGAGCCAACCAAGTTTGTGGCCATCACTACATCTTGTGAGAGCAAATGCCATAGTTTAACTATGCACTTTGTGAGGTCCTTTTGAATGGAAGTAAAGGTAAAGGTAAAGGTACCCCTGCCCATACGGGCCAGTCGTGTCCGACTCTAGGGTTGTGCGCCCATCTCACTTAAGAGGCCAGGAGCCAGCGCTGTCCGGAGACACTTCCGGGTCATGTGGCCAGCGTGACGAAGCTGCTCTGGCGAGCCAGCACCAGCGCAGCACACAGAAACGCCGTTTACCTTCCCACTATAAAGCGGTACCTATTTATCTACTTGCACTTAGGGATGCTTTCGAACTGCTAGGTGGGCAGGAGCTGGGACCGAAAGATGGGAGCTGACCCCGCCACGGGGATTCGAACCGCTGACCATACGATTGGCAAGCCCTAAGCACTGAGGTTTTACCCACAGCGCCACCCGCGTCCCTTTGAATGGAAGTACTGCCACCTATATTTGAATGTGTGTATGATGGTAAAGATACAGATGTGACCTGAATGCAAAAGCCATGTCTGTGCATCCAATTTATGCACACGTGGACTGCATTCTCTAGATTGGGCAGTTTATATGAACACCATAAAAAGGTAAACGTACAAGTCAGGAGGTGACCCAGGGGCACTGCTGCTAAGGTGGTCAATTTTCCCGGGCTTCAAGGCTGAATCATAACTGGAGTCGGTTCCACGAGAGATAAGTTGTGTAACTGCGCTGCCTGTTGAAACAATCCCATTTGGCAAGGCAGAGGGTTTTCTGTTGGGCAAGTCCATACTCCCTTCGTCTGAGAGGATAGCTGCTGCCGATAGGCCCACTTCATTCAGCTGGCCTAAGGAGGCACTCAGGGGTCTTCGAGGAACCAGACGTTTGTTCATCTTACGAAATCTTCAGGAGGAATTATAGAAAAAGGATGAGTTACAGCTCAAGCTGAACAGTTGTTTTTCTTTTCCTACTCAAATGCTGGAGCGCAAACTTTAATTCAGGCACGACTTCTGCAGCTGGAACGCCTGCTATGCCAAACCTTATTGGTGCAATGAGGTTAGCACACACTAGGCACCGTGCAGCAAACACGGCTGCCTGCTGCTTATAAAATGTCACAAGGTGTTTTACTCAGTTGCTGGGATAGTGAATATGTAACTCGTATTTTCACTCAGTTCTGTCCTCTTTTACAGCCTATAGCACACAAATCTTACTGTCTGTCTCCATCTCATCTCATTTCTCTCTCTAAATCAGGGCATAATTTCAGTTTGGCAGTAAAACCCACACACTAGTATGGCAACAGCAGACTATCTAGGGGCATATTGGGCAAGATACTAGAAAGTTAGGAAAACAGGGCTTACCCCTGCAGAAGCCTTGTTAGTTGGTATAAATATATTGACTAGCTCTAGAATTTAGTTCTTTCACCACCATTTTATTTTATCATTGTAGATTGCCATGTCTTGCCCAACCCCCATGCAGATGATCTGAAACATTTATACCCTCAACCCTAATCAATTATCCATTCTAAACTGGATACTCTCCAGTTATGCAAATGCTCCGTTTGCACAATCTGATAAGTTCACAATCAGAAGTAGAATAAGTCATGGAATCTTACTTTTCTAGTTCTTCCTGCGAGTGTGCAAAGGTGCAGCTGGCCCCACGGGGGCAACCTCCTCTCTGCTTCATGTCTCGGCACATATATGTCTTATATTTGCTGTGTTGAGGAGGCTAGATCAAATGGAAGAATAAGGAAACTGAAACCAAAATTCTCAAAGTCTACAATTATTCTGAAAATAATGCTCCAAATAAAATAGAGGAGGGAGAAAGGTTGTTTTCTGCTGCTCCAGAGAAGCGGACACGGAGCAATGGATCCAAACTACAAGAAAGAAGATTCCACCTAAACATTAGGAAGAACTTCCTGACAGTAAGAGCTGTTTGACAGTGGAATTTGCTGCCAAGGAGTGTGGTGGAGTCTCCTTCTTTGGAGGTCTTTAAGCAGAGGCTTGACAACCATATGTCATGAGTGCTCTGATGGTGTTTCCTGCTTGGCAGGGGGTTGGACTCGATGGCCCTTGTGGTCTCTTCCAACTCTATGATTCTATGATTCTATGAAATCCAGAATTAAAATTAAAAAAACTGTGTAGCTAGATCTCCAGAAAGAAAGCCAGTGAAATATGCCAGTGAACTGAGGACACTATACAACTTATTTCCAAGTAAGCATGCACTGGGTTGTGCTGCATGTGCTGTGATAGCAGATTTAATAAATGGAATCCACCCACCTCTTTATTCAACACCCAGTGTTAGAAACTGAGATACAAAAGCTAGGAGCTAAATGGCACCTTAAACCTAGGTTATGGGCACAACAACGGAATGTCTAGGCATGCTTTTTTATAACAAGAATACAAAGCTGAAAATGAATGAACTGCAGCTAAAATATTATGTTCATTTTTCACATGGTCTAGTCCTTCCCCTGCCCACCCCCCCCCCAATAGTCTCAAGAGGGTCTCTTCTCCAGTCTTCAGAGAGTATCTAGAAGTGGGGAAGCGGGGAAAAGTCCTCCTTTCCTTCCACTCTGCAGTTTCAATCTGAAATCTTAGGTGCAGTATTGTGCCCAGGGCTCAGAAACGTGCTCACACTAACGAAATTCCCTGTCGCAAAATGCACCTGGGACAATGGGAGTTTCAAACACTGTCAACACCTTGACAATATTAGGTATGGAACCATTAGTATATAATCCTTTTCTCAATGATGTAGCAATTCCAGGGTTGGAATTCCAATAAAGAGTTCCATTTTTAAGTTGCTTTTCTGTCATAAATTCTACTGTTTTAATGTCGATCTCATCTTTTTCTCTATTCATGGTGCAAAAGTTGCAAAGTACTACACAAACGCAAAAGCACTGCTAAATATTTCAGTGGTTTTTAAAAAATATTTCACATCTAACCTGCCTGGTATGTTCTTCTCCTTCTACATCCCCATCAGCTATATGATTCAGTCACCATATCACACCTCTCCAGAGGTGAAAAACACTTTATAGGTGTGTTTTTTAAAAAAACCTATTATATTATTAATTATTAATATTTATATACTGCCCTATACACACAGGTCTTAGGGTGGTTCACAGAAGTAAAAACTATGGCTACTGCAATCCAGTGGAGCAGTGGGGCACTGTATGCATGAAGGGAGAAGTGCAGGAGTTCTCATTATGTTCTCAACACTCCAACTATTATTTGGAAGTTGTTCCTAAAAGCAGGCTTATGACACACATGCACACTCTCTCTCCCTCTTTGTTTTGACTTGCATTCTCTCAGCTTTATGTCTATGAAATATTACTCATACACAAATTATCATAGAAATTAAAGACAAGTAACACAAAAGAAGTATTACACAGTAGTGAGCTATACTGTACATAGCATAAGAGAAAACACAAGCTTCTTGTTCCAATAAATTATAAAAAGCCTAATTACATTTATTTAATACTTGCTACCTCTCTCAAATTTTAATGTAATTAATAGCCATCATTTCTCTACTATTCTGAATTTTAGGTATGCTTAGAACTTTTTTTAAAAAAGAAAACACTTTCCAGTGAGTAGCTTTGATTTTCTTTCTACAATTAAAAAGCTTAATGAAAATCTTCAAACTGCAATTTCCAATGTTTCCCTTAAATCACGTTAAAAAATAGTTACTGGGCACTCATAATCTGTGAAACCCACAGAATATGTAGTTCTTCCTCCCACCTTAATAACTGGACAAAACGATCAATATGCACAAAATGTTATGACATCTTCTGGATTTTGGGATCCCAACTAGGATCAAACAAAACTAATTTGGATATGCCTGAGGATGTAGGCTATATGCCTAGCAGAATTTCTAGTCTTGGTACAGCTGACCTCCATGCTATTATCACAATCTGATTTTAAAATGCCTCTGTTTCAGAAGAGCTTTGTCATGCAGCAAGGGGAGGTAAGTCCAAAGTTGCCCAGGGTACACAGAACTAACTGCATGGTTCTCTGGGTCTATGTCTGAATGAGCTGTGATTTATGAGAGTTCAAACACTTTGGAATGGCTATGAATATTTCAGATGTAACAGTTCCATGTTTCTTGCTGGATTCCACTATTTACACATTTCCACTGCTTTGCTAGATATGGGTTCCAGAACACCTTATAGCAAAGTACATTATACTTTCATTCAGTACCCTTTCAGTTAATGTGGCCACATGAAGAATTTTCAGACATGCAGGCAGCACAGATAATAGTTAGAAATGCTGTCCCAAACAGTAGAGCTAATATGTAATATTTGGATGCTTTAAATGGCAAAAAGAGCCAAGTTCATTTGGCAAGGCAAGAAACCAAGTATTACATTTAAAATATTAACAGATACTAAAGAAAAAGGTAAATTCTCACTTCCAAATCTTTATTTATTTTTTTTTCTTACAATGTTAGGTTAGGAAGAAAAGGGGGAAAGAGGGGGCTCACTTCCAAATTTAAAATTGTATTATGATGCAGCATGTTTGACATGGATAAAGGAATGGATAATATTGAAAAAAATACTAGATTGCTGGATCTGGAAGGATATGGTAGACGATATGGGTGATATGCATATCTGGGGTAGGAAAAAAAACAAAGGTACATAAAGACTTTCTAAATTACTCCATAAGGAGAAGTTTATTTGGAGGGCTATATGTCTTCAAGTACTGTATAAAAATCTACTTGAAAGAAAAGCACCACTGCGGTTATCCCCTATAGAAGCTTGTGCCCAAAAACAAATAAACATGAAGAAGAATTGGGGGACTTATAGAGAATATTAAGTTATACTGAAAGTGGGTATAAACTTGAAAAACTGGAAGAAATTCAAGACTTGGTATTGGCTTGGTTTTAGTACCAAATAAACAAGCTATTTAAGAAGAATGTGTTAAATGGTTTTAAGGAACAAAGATCTGATCTCAAACTGGGGTTGCTTGAGAGTAATGAAAAACTGATTTCTAAAATTTATAAAATGTTATTAGAATGGGATACTAAAGATGATACAATGGACTTAGGTCACAGTAGTGATACAGCTTCCTATGGGAAAAGGATATGAAATTCACTCCTTGTTATACACTAAGAGAAAACTATTATTATGTACAGGTAATATTTAACACCAAATAAACTGGCCAAGATGTATAAAAATGTGTCAAGTAAATGCTGGAAATGCAAAGAGATATAAGGCTCATTCTTCCATATGTGGTGGACATGTAAAAAAAAAAAAAAGCTAAAGCCTTTTGGGAAATTATATAATGAAATGAAGAAAATGTTTAAATGGGCTATTCCAAAAAGACCAGAAGCTTTTCTTATAGGGATAATAGTGACAGATGTTCCAAAGAAGATGACCAAATTATTTATGTACGTGACAACAGCTGCTAGAATATTATATGCACAGAAATAGAAAGAAGAGAAGGTTTCAACAAAGGAGGATTGACTTTGGAAAGTAATGAACTATATAGAAATATCAATAATGGACAAAAAAAATAAAGAGATCAAAATGATGAGCTTTTAATAGAAGAATGGAGGCCGTTCATAGACTATTTGAAAAAGCATCATAGTCAAATGGAATCACAGGCAGGATTCGAGATATAAAGCAGTGGAAGAAAAATTATAAAATAAATGAAATAGAGGAATATTTTATAATAGATGAAGATATCATGAAGTAAAAAGCGTTTGAGCAAAAACACTGGAGGTGATGGTGAGAAGTCAAGTCATGGAACAATGTGCTTTGATATGGTCAATGTGAAAACGCTGCATGTTGTTGAACACATTTATTTTTTCTGTACTGCTATGATCTGTGGTCAAATTCTGCCAGTGCTTCAAAAACCTCCACCCAGAAACCAAAATGTGTGCCACAGACAATGACGGCTTAATCCTACATCCTGCAAGTCTCTGAAAGACTACTACTTGTCCTCAGCCTCCTGTGTGCAATGTATCCCCAATGTGACTCACATAATCATTGCTGATTTTGCTGGAGGTGGCAGGGAAGGACTAGACCAACACCCCAATTTTTACAAAAGCTTTGTTTTCCTAGAGTACTTCTTTCTGAGAACTCCGGGCATGAAATTAAAACATTCTTCTATTTTGTTGCTCCAATAGAGACGAGTGGATATTGGCAACTGATTCACCTTTTTTATTTTACATATACTAGGGGAAGCATTTCCTTTCCTTCTTTTTTGATTTGGCAAGGTCTACTGTGACAAAGTGTGCCTTCTGACTACAAGAAGTGCCACACAATACAGTACCTGCTGCTGGTCTGCTCCTTTCTTGCTGTGATTTTGGATGTAATCAACCAGCCCGTGTACCACAGTCCGCACAGCGACAAGTCCATTCTCAAGCTGCTCCCAGGTGGGTGGTGGGGCATCTACAGTGTTTATAAGAACAAATGAATTTATCTCTCGAAAGTGAGAAATCCCGTAGAAACAAGATCTGAATCATAGCAAGCATCAAAAAATTTAAAACATGCAAAATTTTAGTTCTGAAGGAAGAATAAATCTGACAGGCAAGACTAAGGAAATGTCTATGGAAATTCAACACTGATTTGCCAGATTTAGGGAGCAGCAGCAAACATTTCCTGCCTGTTGGTAAGGAATATTCAAATAGGAATGCTTGAGAGCATTTGAACCCTCAGAGAGACACCCCCCCAGAAAAAATATTGTAATTGTGGGAAATATGGCAGGAGATTAGAGGTAATAAAGGAAAAGCAGCAAGGTCTGAGAGAGCCCAAAAGAGACATTTCTAGTGAAAGGACTGTCTCATTAACATGTGTTTCCTTTTGCTAAAATATGGCAATATAACCCCACTACAACAATGATAAGCAGAGAAACATACACAGACATGTCCTCCTCAGAAAGGGCTGGACAGGGTTTAGCAAGACTCTGAGCCTAACCTCATGAATTCATAGAAAAATAATCCTATGATCCCGACCCATTTAGAATTTTTCAGGTCACAAGGCCTTTTCCTATGATCATTAAGGTCTGTGGAATCTTATGGAGTAGCCACTGTTGCCACAAAACCAACAAAGTCATAGGATACCTTAAAGGCAAACAACTTTATTGTGGCATATGTTTTTGTGGGCAAGCCAATCAGTATGTGACTTACTCCCAGCTAATGTCCATTGTTTATGAATAAACAGAGCAAGATCAGTAGTGTGAATGAACACCTGTAGCAGGAATAGTCTGGGGTCAAATGTGGCCCCTCCAGGTTTTTGGAACCCTCCCTATGCCGTTCCCCTCACCATCTTTATTCTGTGCACTCTTCAAGTGCTTTCCCCAGGCTGGAATGTGTCACTGAACTTTGGTGCCTCTTGCTTGCCAGGAAAGGGAGATGTGTTATGTATAGAAACCTATATACATGTAACACGCAGCCTTTGCACAGAAGGAATGTAGCCTGCTATACAAAAGGGTGATCTATTCATCCGTTGACTTTCACTCCTGACCCTGTCCATCACTGGGATACAGCCCCTGGAAGGTTTTCCACAAGGGAATATAGCCCTCAGGTTGAAAATGGTCTTCACTCCTGTTGTCTCAACTCACAGGGATGTTTTTATGCCTTAGAACTCCCAAATGCTGAGACTGCCACAACTCTGAGAAGTTTAGGCACATGGTGGGCAGAAGGTAGATTTGTACTTTATAACTAAAGGTGCTCCACCCCTGGATGAACAATTTTGCACCCTGCTTTGGTTGATGGGTCTTAGTGTTCTAGTAAAAAATAAACAAGCCTGAAGTCTGTCCGCCATTAGAATATAAAGGAGACTAGAGCATCTCAAGAGAAACAGCTTTTTTGTTAACAAGGAAACAAGAGAGTAGTCTGTTCACCTGTGCTTCTCACATTGACTTGTATCAGTTTGATTGAAAGATATGTAAAGCCTCTTCTGCTGCAGTGAACATGAACACGAAACCACATTTTTAATAGTTACCTGGGCTGGGATCAATATTTGCAAGGAGTTCTAGATGGGGTCGAAGCCGGTTCAGATTGGCTGGGTCACCAGTCCGCTGGAGAGCGATTGTTAGTTCCTGAACACTCTGTGCAAAAGAGGCTGGGGTCTGCAACTTAAATATATATGTACATAATTAGAACTGCTTTCTGTACTCCTAGAGACCATCTTCAGTGAATCAAACCTAAAAGATACATTTTTAAATTTCTTGTCTCACCAGCACTCAAGATGTGTGCCTTGATGTGAAACCATTTTTTCAACAGAGATGCACTTGCCATTCCTAGTGGTCAATCACAGCTTAGGCCCTCTCCAGTAATACAGACTGCGTGTTCATTAATTGTATATACCAATATACAATGCATCAAGGCTCAGCGATATTAAATCCTGTTTAAGAGGACAGTTCTTACAGAAGTGAAAATGGAACTGGCAACCCCATCACAGCTCCACAAAGCAAAGCACATTCCTGAGACAATCTCCCAGCCACTTTTCTGCTTCACGCTCACGAGGAAGGCTTGGGTTTGTCCTTGACATTAAGAGTACCTGAGAAGCACGGTATGCCATAGGAGACTCTTGATAGCAAGTGGGACATGGGAAGAAGAACCGAGGAGCCCCACTTACAACTAATATCAGCAATAAAAACATAGTAGAAAATTAAAGGATGTGGAATAATTTGAAGAGAATGTACCTTGTCAATAATTGACTGCATGTGGGATTTGTGGGACTGGTCTCCATACAGCAATGAAGACCACTGATCTGGGGCAATGCGCAAACCAGCCTCCATAGCAATTTGCACAATCTGGGAATCGTGTTCTCGTCTCAGAGCTTCATAGGTTCGGAACTCCTCCTTTAACTGCATCAGGGAGGAATCCTCATCTCGTTTAGTCACCTGGAAGAAAAAAAATCCATCTGGATTAGGTAAGATGACAATACCCAACTTAACCAAATAAGGGAACAGTTTCTCAGTTCAGTTCCCTGGCCCAAAAGTACTATCGCTCAAGAATAATTCTTCCAGTTTGTATGGGGGAGGGGGTCCCCTCTCCGATGATCAGATGAAAAGCTGAGACAATTGGGTATTAAATAATACACACATTCTTAATAGATTTAGCAACAAAATAAAATATCTATACAGAAAGATTAGATTATCATTACTAAAACAAGCCTAGAGCCTAGATTCTCTATGAAGTGGGATTCCTCTCCCTCTCCAAAGGCACAGAACATTCTTCAGAGCAGTTGTGAAGCCTAGGATTCTATGAGTGATTCACTGTAACTAAAGGTGAGAAGTTGTTCAAGGAGTGTTAATTCTCTCTAAGGAGAACTCTTTTCTGTGTCTCTTTAAAGCAAAAACTTGACAAAGTGCAGCTGGAACAAAGAACTATTCAGTTTATGTCCTTCAGAGAAGGCAGCAGTGCTCAGTTGCCTCCAAAACTAAAGGGATATTGGATTTTCTCATGAAATGCAGTACATGAAATTACAGAATGAAAGCCAAGAAAGAGAAGAGTGGAAGGGGAAATAGGTGTTCTTACTAAAAGCACCTTTACTATGCCTTTGACTTGACCAACACACTCATATTACCATATTTTTCCATGTATAAGACTAGGTTTTTTCCTTTAAAAATAATGTCAAAACTTTGGGGTCATCTTATACATGGATACATCTCCCCCCCATTTTCTTAAATCGGAGTCCTCCCAAATAGGCCCCCTATGTCTTATACATGGGGGCATATTAGACGGAAAAATATGGTTAATTGTTATGCCAACTACTGCAGGCAACAATTTCCACACTGTCCTTGGGACGCAGATGATTGATGTAGGGTGGGTAGAGGAAGTTCAGAAGGGGGCAGGTTGAGAAGCTTTGAGAAACTCTGTGCTTAAGTGACTAGAAATATAAGATTAGAGTTGCTAAAGGAGACAATTCAAATGATCCGATTTTGATGAAGAGTGCTGTACCATAAGAAACCAAGCTCTGTACTTTTAACTTTGCTTTTGATCAAATGGATCTGCTTGATACCATGGGCTTCTCTAGTTCAACACCTTTTGGCAGCAGTGGAGTGGAGTGTATCATGAAGCCTAATGGCTGCTTCAAGAACAAGGCTTCAATAACCAGAAGGCAAATATTGTAAAGGGTGCCTGTAAAGCTAATGCTGCAAGGACTGAGAGGAGCTAAAAGCAACTGGCCAAAAAAAGATACCAGAGCTGAATTTGAAGCAGGCTATTCAGACCTATCATATGAGGCAGCAGAGACATGGTGTGGGGAGGTATCCAATGTCAAAAGAGCGCAAAATTGACTAATGTCATTGACGAAACTGCGGATTCCGATGTGTACCTGGATAAGATCAGATCGGCACTGGCATCCAACAAGTCAGTGGTGCTGCAGACCCTAGAAGCTAAACTTGATTATCTAGTCAAACAGCTGACATTTCTAAAAGAGCAAATCAAGTACTCAGTAGGGCTGCGCGATATCTGGTTTTAAACATTGTGATGTATCAGCAGCTAAATACCACAATTATACTGATATATCACAATGTCTGGAATGTATCATGGCTGCTTCTCTCCCACCACCACCACCTTAGGGAGGAAGCAGCAGCTGAGATACATCGCCTAGCCCTCCTGAACAAGGCCTGATACCACTCTGCTTCATGTCAGGAAGAGGGGCATTGGGGCTTTGTTAAACTGCTCGGCTGGGGACTCAGGCTCATGCAAGTCAGAGGAGCTCCTCAAAGGGACAGGAAGGAATGTAGATGGAGCTTGAGAAGGCAGGCACTTGCCCTGAACCTTCTCAGGCTCTGCCTGCCTGTGCCTTTGCTGTCTGCAGGCAAGCTGAGCTGGTGCGATGTACTGCCAGCTCAAATTGTGATCTGAACATCATACAGTACTGGTTTCAGAGCTCTAGTGCTCAGTTAAGTCTTGTTGCAGCTCATCAGTCTGAACTGCAACTCCAGCAAATGGCATTGGAAGTTTTAGAATTAAAGTGAGAAGACCAATCTAATGAAGTTCGGCAAAATTTCCTCATACTAGGGTTCTAGGAAAAGGTGGTGAGAAAATGCCTGCTTTTCCTGTGACCTAGTTTAACAGCTTAATTTCAGACTCTTCTCTATGTCTGACACGGAAAGAGCCTCTTCAAGGCAGTGTCTGAAATTCCCTGGGCACCAGGCACATTTTGCTACTGGGGTGGGTCCAATTATAACCACATGGAGATTTCTGGGCACCAGATAGCGACTGTCATCTCGATGGAGTCAGCTGACTCGTGTGTGGCAAAAGATGTGTGTGTTTTCCTTCTGCACTGCTGCGAGAATCATGGACATCTTAGTCCTCCATCATCCCATCAAGGAAAGTAAGTGCAGGGCTGAGTACAGATATACTTGACACTGCAGCAACCTTTCCACAGGCCTCCCAAATGAAGCTCACAGACCACAGTTCTTGCGTACTGGGACAAGTGAATCATTGTAAGAGCAAACTACAATCAAGCAATGTAGTTGAGATAACAGAATCATAGAACTGGAAGGGACCCCGAGGGTCATCATGTCCAACCCCCTGGCAAATACACATCCTGTTGTGGTGATGGTGACTCCGGTTTAAGGGGCCTTTGGGTGCCTAGCTTATATATCTGAGTTTCTAAAAGTGGATATTGGGCCTGATGTCCCGGCGAATGATCAGCCAAGAGATATTCTGGTGCATTTTGAGTACTACACGATTAAAGTTTCTGTTTCTAAAGCTCTTTGTAATATTCAAACTGGCTCCTTGATGTGAAGGTTTTTCTGAATACAGGTTATTCTATCTGCACTCTTTCTGCACTAATAATAACAACCCAGTATCTACTTCAAAATCCCTGAAACCACAACCAGAACAGCTTGCTCTGTACCTTGAAACAGGAGGCTCTGTATAGAAGCTGGACAACATGCCCAATGCTGGTTTTAGAAGCCTGAGGAAATCGTGGCTCCAACCTCTGTACCACAAAGAGAACCAAGACTTTCCGAGACAAAGCAGATCCATCTTCCAAAGCCAAAAGAACTAACTTGAGAGCTTCCTCTTGCATTGCTGAAAAATAAAGAGTAGCATGACAGAATGCCAGGTATTAAGAGCAATTTCAGATATATACTGCTTATTCTATTTTGTTTAGGCCTTACATACCGTATTTTTCGTCCCATAGGACGCTCCGTCCCATAGGACGCACCTAGTTTTTTGGGGGGGAAATAAAGGGGAAAAAATTTCCTTTATTTCCCCCCCAAAACCAGGTCGGGGAAACCTCCCTGCTGCCCCCCGAGCTTGTGGGGCTGGCCGATGTCTGCCCGGCGCGAGGGGCACTCTGCTTCAGGGCACCCCTCGCGCCGGGCGGCAGGCTGCTATCCGCAGCGTGGGGAGCCCTGCGGGGAACTCCCACAGGGCTGCCTAAGCTGCGGATGTGTTCCCGAAGCGCCGGGCGCTCTGCTTTCAGTGCGCCCGGAGCTCCGGGAGGCAAGCTGCTATCCGCAGCCTAGACAGCCCTGCGGGAACTCCCGCAGGGCTGCCTAGGCTGTGGATGTCTTCCTGAAGCCTGGAGAGCGAGAGGGGGCGGTGCACACCGACCCCTCTCGCTCTCCAAGCTTCAGTGAAAGCCTGCATTCGCCCCACAGGACGCACCCAGATTTCCGCTTCATTTTTGGAGGGGGAAAAGTGCGTCCTATAGGGCGAAAAATACGGTAACTTAAAGGTAAAGGTACCTCTGACCATTAGGTCCAGTCATGGACGACTCTGGGGTTGCGGCGCTCATCTCGCTCTATGGGCCAAGGGAGCCGGCGTTTGTCTGCAGACAGCTTCCGGGTCATGTGGCCAGCATGACTAAGCTGCTTCTGGTGAACCAGAGCAACGCACAGAAACGCTGTTTACCTTCCCGCCAGAGTGGTACCTATTTATCTACTTGCACTTGACATGCTTTCAAACTGCTACGTGGGCAGGAGCTGGGACCAAACAATGGGAGCTTACCCCATGGCAGGGATTCGAATCGCCAACCTTCTGATCGGCACGCCCTAGGCTCTGTGGTTTAGACCACAGCGCCACCCTCGTCCCTTACATAATTTACACCAGGCTTAATGACTGCATTAGAGGTTCTACAAACCTCACTGTTATGGTCAAGCTGTGAAATGTGGCACCCACTATACAAACAAGCAGCTTGAGTAGAACCCCGACAACATACAGTTTCACTTAAAAGAAAATCTTTAGTCTATATCACATGGTTTTAGAAATGTCAATAATCCAGTGTACAGGCAGGTCTACTGTTGAAAATACTGAGAATCCCAATTCATTTTTTGATGTACCCAAATCGAAAGATATTACAGTATTATAACTTACAGTCTGATATTATGACGGCTAATAGGAACTTTGTGCAGGTTGTATGGAAAACAATGTTGAAATATATCTAAATCAATAGTTTGCTTTCATACTCCGCATCTAAGCTCAAACTGAATCTGTCTTCTCATTATTTCGACAATTTAACAGTTCTGTACTCAGCTGTTGCACTGTGCTGATTAAGCATGGTGAGACTGCTAGGCACCTAGACCACATGGTCCCAGAGTGGATTTGATTTAAATCAAATAGATTTAAATCACGATTTAAATCACTAGTCAGTAAGGCTTGATTTAAATCATTTTCTTACAGAAAGACTCATTCTTGCTGGTATAAGGCTTCATTTTTGGAATAATAAATTTTCAGAGTAGTTTTTACAGTTATATCAAAAATTACTGATTTGGTTATAGTATTAGAAATACATAGAGAGATAATTATGAAATTATTGTGAGGTTTAATAAGTTAACTGTTTATATTTTGACAACTTTTCTGCTGTACTTTTTTTAGAGGGGAAGGGGGAAGAGAGATATAATTGGTAGGCCTAGGCTGGAAGAGGCTTGCAGAAAGAGCAAGCCGAGGAGAAACAGGCTGGTGGAAAGCTGGAAAAGGGGAATCAAGGACTGGAACAGAGAACTTCAGGGATTCCTGCTGCAGGACTGAAGTTCCAGGTAGAGACTTTGTTGTTTGGAGAATGTCAGGCAAGCCCTGGGAAGAAGGGCCTGGAACCAGTGAACTCTTATTAGTTGACTGGCAAGCACTTCAAGGTCTCACTGAGAACTTACAGATCCCAGTTACTATTTCCACCACCACCACCCCTTTGGATTTGCTTCTACATTCAGGTGCCTATTCTATACAGTTAAGTGTTAGTGCAGTTGCTGGAACCCAGTGGGATTGGGAAGAGGCTGCCAGCCCTGAAGTGCCTTCAGCACTTGCCTCCAGTCTGAGTTGCACAGACATGCAACTGACTTGCACAATTGTTACACAAAGATCCTAAGACTCTTGGAGTATTCTGCTCACAAAGTTGCGCTTTCATTTTTACTGCTTCACACTTAGCTACTTCTGGAGATCTATTCCACTCCAAACAATCTATTCATTGAACCTCTTGGAACTTAGCATTTAAGAGGTAAGGGGTTGATTCTGTGTATATAAATTTGCAAAGGAACAATGGGATTAAGGTTTTTTCCTCAACTCTGTATGTTTATTTTATAACATTTTTCCTGTAGACACAAATTCACACTTTCGAGAACTGCAAAAACAAGCATCTGTGATATCTTCTTGTTAGAAAAACTGCCCCAAATAATCTTACAGAAACCTCTGGAAGCGCATGACATTGTGAATGGATTAATGGAATTCATTTACCAAAAAAATTACACACTGCCTATAAAGCCTCATGCTACATAATCAAAAACAAATCCTTATTTCCTGATGAATAGCCTTTGGACTATAATGTAACTTAAATAGAAAACTATCTTTAGAAAGATTTTTCCTCCAAAAGCATTTTTTTAAAAAAATCTGATTTAAATAGAAAAAAAATCATTGATTTTTATCCACCCTGCATGGTCCTAATCTAGTAACGAAGATTAACAGAACTGTGGAATTGCAAGGGGCCACAAGAGCCATCTGGTCCAGCCCCCTGCAATGCAGGAATATTTTGCCCAACGTAGGGCTTGATTCTATGACCCTAAGATAAAGGGTCTCATGCTCTACCAACTGAGCTATCGCATGTCAGCAATATTCACTTAATATATATATTTTTCATGCGAGTGGGTACTCTAGCAGTTAAGAAAAAGCACACAACTATGTGTGTATTCCAGTGCACATGACAAACAGCCATCCTACCGAAGCTGAACAGGTCTGGCTTTGGCCAATGCCTGAGAGAGTCTACCTGGCAACCCATGTGTGCTGTCTTGGCTTACAGGATGAAAAACAGGATATAAATATAACAAAAACAATAAATTCATATGTTGAGATTATCAGAAGTCCTCCTCTGCCCCCTCAGCAAGGAAGATTTTGTCATTTGCAATCAAGAACAGGGTGTTTTCAGTAGTCTTCCCTGAGCTTTGGAATGACCTTCTATGAAAAGCGTGATGGTGCACTCACCTGGCCTTTAAGCAATAGCATAAAGCCCAGTCACATATTGAAGTCTACCAGTTCTCTAAAAATTGGCAGGGTAGTTGTAGATGTTTTTATTATTGCTGCTCAGTGATGTTTTAATATTGAGACTATAAGATATCCTGAACCTGGCGAAAGTCAATATATAAATATTTTAAATAATACAGGGTTTAAATAATCCAGGGTTTCCATTTCATGCATCCCACTTCTCTGAATCCATTATCTGTGAAGTTCAAACTGTCAGCACTATAGGGAATAGATATTTAGGGTGATATCAAATATTAATCAGAATCATACTCACAGTAGACCCATAGAAATCAATGGACTTTTCCTTATTGATCAGTTCAACTAAGTAGTATTTTAGTCATTTAAAATTGTAAGTAACCAAATTCACCAATTCCCTTAATTTTTGTTACTATACCAAATGCCATGGCTTGAGTGATATATACCTGGTCCAAGGAACTGGCAGCCTCTGGCCCTCACTGCAGCCCAGAGGTTGGAAGAAAGTTGCTGGGGGTTCTGGTGCTGAAGAATGAGCTCCGTGACAGTTCTTTCACCCAGAGATCGTGCTGCACGCATAGCCCTGATCCGCCCTTCTTCCTCCACTAACTGGCAGTGGACTAATGTCACAAGTTTCCTTTGCATGGGGCGACTGAGTACACTCTGAGTGGTGCTGTTCAGTCCCACACCTTTAAAAAAAAACAGAAGCAGGGAAGTTATTTCTCAGTTTTTCAGGGGCAATGCAAGGCTTATAGTCCATTGGCAGATTAGTGAAATTGTACTTCAGTCTTAAGAGAGTTATAGCCTGTAGAATGTCTTCTGTAGATATCCCTTTTTTTCTAGTTAGTGATCAACTAAAAAATATTCAGTTGTAAACTAGCTTCCATGAAACTAAAACATCAAAAAGTCACTCTGGATAAGTGTGCGCTACAAATGAACTGGAACTGTACAAAGTAGGCCTGCAAAGTAAGTTTTTAATAGATAACCAGGCAGCAGATTTGTTTCTAAAATCCTCCATTTTTAATATATTCTTACATGTTTCATGTTTTCTTTTTTCTTCCCAAAATTAACTCCTTGTCTTCGAAATGAACCAATTTAAGCCATCATGAAGAAGCCTCTCCTCTTTCTGTTTTTGCTTCTTTACCATTCATTTCCAAATAATGAATTTCCATATCAATTTATGTTCCCACTACAGTGGTACCTCGGGTTAAGAACTTAATTTGTGTATTCACACTCCAAATTATTTCATTGCCCTTCAAAGTAGCTGCACTGTTCCCATCATGAAGAACTCGCCCACATTTCTCTGTCTCACCCACCCCACCCCGGTTTTCCGCAGTGCAGCTAACAAAGACAAGACTGAGTGCAGGGAATATGCAAGAGGGTTGAGGAAACTCTGTGAACACAGTAGTTTATCACTTGGAAAAAGTGTGGGGCTTTCCTTATAAGAAATCACATGAACCCCCCCCCCCATAGCATTGAAACAACAAGAAAGTCAAACCAAGTGGAAGAAACTACCGGGTGGGGCAGCAGAATTTATTTATTTTTTAAGTGTCAAACATTTATGCAGGTCACTGAAATGTCTTCCCCGTTTTACTGTTTTACAAATATGCAAATTCATAAAGACTTAGCTGATCGTTGCTGGCACCTGTCTGTCTCGAGTACACCTACGGGGGTGGGGGTCAAACCACTGCATCAGCAGCACCAAAGGGACCTCCCTGGGGTGCAAGCCTGGGCAGTGTGGAGGTCCTGGGCTGCCCAGATGACTCTCAGCCTTGCTGATATGGTCCAAAGAAAAAGAAAGCAATACTTTTGGCACCAGCTTGGCTGCAGGAGTTTTCAGAAGGAGGCATACAAGACGCCATCCAACCGTTTTAGGGACTTCACTCTGGATTTGTTTAGCGTCTACTCCTTAGCCCTTTCTTCTCCCAATGATATCCCTCAAGGCAGTGGAGGTTTAAGATGAGTTTTCATTCTCTAGATGGGCTACTTTCGCAGGCTGACAAGCACCATCTGACCCTCATAGCTGATGAATTAACTGATTAAAATTTGCATTTTAACTAAGGGTCCACAGTAACACCTTCTGCTATTTCTTCTTCCTATTTGAAAATGAGGAATAACAGTAATAATTCTTGAACAATCTGATTGCTGAATTTAGCACTAGCAAATAGCCACTCAGCTGGTCACCTGCAACAGGCCTCTTTTGGGCAATCAGAGTTAACTTGCCTAAGACGAAAGCAAGTTGGTTTCTTTTGGGCTACTGATGTGCCACAAAGGTATTGTGTAGGACAGGCTGGCTATTAAAATATTGTGTGTGGTAATGTTTCAATTCTATTTGCAATTTTTCTTTTCTAACATTACTTCTTTGGCACTCAAAGTGATTGTGTTTTCAGCTGCAGGTTTTCATCCATTGTAGTCAATGTAATAGTGTTGGGGGTATTTTTTAAAAACCAATAGAAGCTGCTTAACTGTTTTAGTTTTCTTATAATGTATGAAAGAGCACTTATTCACCTCTTGCACTGCTGAGTGGTTTAAGGTACAAGGCTAGTTCTTCCACACATTTCTTGGCTTCCTCATAATGCTTGGTATCTTCAGCGCCACTACGTAGAGTTATTGGCTGCTGTTCTGGCACCTGTGTATAGATAACAATCAAAGTACAAAAGTGAAGAGACTAGCAGTTCCAGTCATCTACCCCATCAACTGAGGAAAATGCAGTGCATCTCTAAAACTCTTTTAACTTTAAATAACACATATGACTTTAATACAAAAACGGATTGAAAGAAATTCAAAGCAAAAATTCCTGTCACATACTTTTACAGTGAGCCTATCAAATTAATCACATTTGTACCATTCAGTACAATAGTTGCCTTGCAACTATTCATCAAATTTTCTTCTATGACAAGACAATTTATTTTTCTTAGCATATCTGAAAATATTTTCCTTTTTTATTAATTTCCAACCTTTCTGTTTCACCTTCCTATAAAAATAGATTCAATGCAGCAGGCGTTGAAATCAGGAGGAGTTTTTAAAAATTATGTTAGTATCCCCTTCAGTATGAAAAACTAAGAAAAAATATTCAATCTCAAAAGTGGTAGTAACTGTGGCCTATTACTTTGCCTCCAGACTCCTGTGTTTTCAATAAACTGTAACTTAATGACAAGGGAAAGTGGGAACTTCCCATCTATCCTATCCATACTCAAATCTTCAGAACTCCAGCAATTACAGGATTTGATATCGGACAAAAGAAAAGTAATGATGTCTGAAGCAACCCTATTTACTATTTTTGACAAGCTACTACCAACATAAACATGGCTGTTACTAAGAGCTGGTTCACACATCACATTTACATAAGGTTCCAAGTTTGCAACCTGGAGAATGGTAAAAATAATAACAAATCCATCAATACAATAGAAGGGAAAGCGATCATGGCTTCTCTAATTGCCACCCCCCCCAGCACATTTTGCTATCCAACACCAGCCGTCTCCTGCAGCAAGCAGGATTTAAGGTAGGCTGCATAACAGGTGCAGAAGGGTGTGTGTGTGGCAGAACTGGGGCATTAATGGCAGGAGAGGGGCCTCAAGCTACCTTCTCTCCTGAAACACTGGGAATTTAAGCAGGTACATAACTTTACCTCAAGTTGCAATTAGGCAACTTACTTGCACCATAGACCCAAGTTTTTAGGCAAATAGTGCAGCCTACATCATTCATATGTTGTAAACAAAGCAATAACTTTGCAAAGTTAAGATTTGCACGTTGCTCTATCTGCCTTCTTGAGAACAATATAACATTTAAAAGTCCATGATCTGAAATACTTGTTGACTTCTATTGTCTATTATTTGCACATGGTTTTTTTAATGGTGGGGGCTTCACTTATCAATCCTTCCTACCCCTGCCAGCCCCCCCAACACCTTACCAACCTTTTCATGTCGACCACAGCAAACCCTTCACAATTCACCAAACCTCCTAGCCCCAACCACTAACTCCTTAAGACCTTCCTCTTTCTACCTCATGCCACCATTGCAGCCAAGCAGGATGAAGAATTGGCTCAGTAGGGGGAACACCATGGAAAACCAGAAGTGCTGGACAGCACTTCATCTGGGCCAACTCTTCCTCCACAGCTCCTTCTGATGGGTAGGGTGGGTGATGTATTGATACATCGTCCAACACCAGTTTATAGACCACATCATAAGAACCATTTCAAAACAATTGAGTTGGCAATGTATTGCAAAACACAGCCTTCAAACTCCAGGGGGCAGTATACTTGCGATCCTTCTGGCGGCTGGCTGGCTGGCTTCCCTCCCTTTCCCTTCCAATGGCAGAACAGTCCCACTCCCAGCCTGGGCACCCCCCCCCAATAATTGTGGTGTCTCTACCTGGTGCAGGTTGGGCTGCTTTGTCCTTCCCCCTCTCTCTGTCTAGGGAAAAGTGGAAGGAGTTCACCCTCCAAACTTGAGGGCTTGCCTGCCTCTGAGAAGGGGAATCCACAGTGCAGATAGCACATACCTATTAAGCTCCATGACTGCTGCTTTGCCTGATCTCCACTCCACCCGTGTGATCTTCATGACTGCTCCCCCTGCACCCTACATAGTTCCATGTTTCAGACACTGTCATATATCACTAAATCACAATGTTGAGCTGGTGATATACTGCAATGTTGAAAACCAGATATTGCCTAGCCCTACTACTGGGATGACTCTTCATCTTAATTGGTGGAGGTGGAAGAAGCAGATTGCCAAGCTGTCCAAGGAGGAGGAAGGTGGCCAGTAGCAGCACCAGCTGGCCTGGAGATTGCAGGCAAAGGTGAAGGACAGCTGTTGGGTTTCTGTGACAACTTGTTCTGGCTGTCCCTCTGCAACTCAACTGGGCATCCAACACCTATCTTCACACTGCAGTCAGCAGTGCCACTTGTCTGTGGCCAAGTGAATTGCAGAGCAACAACATTATGACATTTTCATTATATATACAGATACATTTGCTCCTTCCACAGTAAACAAATCTGATGGGGGGAAACAGGCTAAGATACCCTTACCTGAGCACCCACAAGCTGCAGCAAGGCTGAGTTCACAGGAAGGTGCTCGATGTCTGTATTGATAGTGGTCTGGTCGAAGGGGCATGCCTTCCGGTGGAGCTTGTTCAGGCACATCTTGCATACTGTGTGGCCACAGCCCAGGCTGATAGGCTTCCGGATTGTTTCGTCGAATGTTTGTGTGCAAATAGGGCAGGAAAGAAAATCCGTCCATTGTGGAGCTTGTACAGGCATTTCTTCAGGCGTTACTTCACAAGACAAAATCTAAAGCACAGATTCCACTGGAATCAACTTTTTTTTGAAAAAAAATGTTTTTAAATATTTTCTGTAAGTACAGACAGTCAGCACATAGTGTGAAATATGACCTGAAATGTAAGCAAAAGAAAGAAAGAAAAAAGAAGTTAGTGTCTATAGATGTTGTACTATAAGTCAGGGGATTAATCTATTTAATTAAGGCATCCAATGGTTTTCACAGACTTCTTGGAAGTAGCATGTTCCATTTTATTCCCAGTATTGGTGAAACTTTCAGAAAAAAAATTTTCCCCAGCCTTGGAATCAGTGGCCCAATTCACATGTCACATTTAAACTACAGTTTAAAAACAGGCTATGGTTTAATGTGCTAATAGATGCTGCTAAAACTTCCCAGAGTACTGCACCATTGACAAACAAGCTAGAGTCCGCCTTGTCATATTATCTGAACCTAAGCTTGTGGTTTGTTTCCCGAGCAAACCATAAGTGCTAAGCTGAAAATGAACGTGGTTGAGGTGATATGACAAACCAGACTCCAGTATGTTTTGTCTGCAGCACAGCCAAAGGAGGTGTGGTGAAGTGCCATGGAACCTTTGAGCAGCATGCACACTGATGAAAGCATGCTAAACTTTTCACTTGGCCACAAAAAACATCTTAATACAGCCTCAATCTAAGGATCCTTATTCTTCTGTTTTGTCCCCTTCTTATTTGTTATTTCTGTGCTGGAAAGGATCCTATTGCAAGAAGGAAAGCATGCCTTTTTCCAAAACTTGTTATTCCATGTCCGTCTACCAGTTACCAGAGCACACTGCCCTGTGCCATCACTGCAGCATGTGACATGCGTTAGGCACAGGCACACTGTGCCAAGTAGATGTGTTTATTCTTATTTCCATAGCCGTGACCTATTAAGGGATAAACTCTGTCCACCTGGATTAAATTGGGCAATATGGGCAGGACTGGCAGGATTACAACTAGACTGACAAGGTGCAGCCAGGGTGAGCATTTCCCACCTTCCATGATTTTGCAGTTTCATCTGGCTATGCAAAAGCATCTAGGATATTTTCTCACAGGACTACAGAACACATACCAACATGGTGGTGTATCAAGTGCCTGAGTAGAGCAGGAAACACCGGCCAACCCACAATGTTACTAGATCACAAATATTTTTCCTAAGCCTATCCCTTCAGGTACATCTGGCTTAAAATGCCATACATTTTACAAAGCTTTCCTGTCTGGTTGTCTGGAAAGAATTTTTACTCAACACAGGTAACCATGTGAATGCACAACTAATATAAATAATTCCCCCCCCACACACACACAAACAAGTAGGAACACCTTTCGATTATCTGCAAGAACAACCACAGAATCCTAGAGTTGGAAGGGGCCCAAGGGGCATCTAATCCAACTCCCTTAAATGCAGGAATCTCAGCTACAGCATCCATTACAGACGGTCATCCAACCTCTGTTTAAAAACTTCCAAGGAATGAGTCCACCACCAGTATCAATAAATTTGAAACTATGCGCTGAGGTAGCACTAGATTCTGTTAAGTTATACAACACTGCATATACCGTATAACACACACCAGACCATAACACGCACATAGTTTTTAGAGGAGGAAAACAAGAAAAAAAATATTCTAAACGAAATAGTGGATATATGATTTTTGTGGTTCATGCTGTGGCCACAGACATGTGATCTGACAGTGAGTTTGGAGTAGCCCAATGCAAAAATCCTGAGGATCCATGCTTTGTAACCACGGAAGAGGGAAGGAAGGGGAACCATGGATCCTCTGCTCACGACCGCAGCAGATCCCCCCGCAGGCATTCGCTCCATAACACGCACAGACATTTCCCCTTCCTTTCTAGGAGGAAAAAAGTGAGTGTTATGGTGCAAAAAATACGGTATTTGTTTCATTTCACACCATTTTATATATTTTGTTCCTTCTGGTCAGAGAGGGGCAAGGAAGCACCAACCTCCGACTGCTTCTAAGCCCATCCCAGGCTTTGTTCATTTCACCAAATGTTGCTCACACACCTTTAACAGCCAAGCTGCCGAGGAACTTGGTACCACCACCAAGTTCCTAGGCAGCTTGGCTGTGATGATGGTCAAGGTGGGAGGATGACGGCAATGGCTGTGATACTCAAAATATGGCATTTCTCAAGATATGGCATTTTTACTCAGTCCCCAATTCCAAGCTTTGGCTGTGCTTACGGAGCAACTTGAGTGTTCACGCAGTGCTAATTATTAGTTAATGTTACGCAGCAAATACATTTTGTACAACAGCATTTTTCATTTACTTACTATACAATTACTAAATGTTCAAAAATGTATATTCTCTTAGAGAGACCCCCCCTGAAGACTATGCACCTTTTAACATGGCTGCCCACAGAGGCATTCATATCTTCAGATGTGATTATCCTTGTTTTCAAAACCTAACAACAACTGGACCTTGATAAACTAGTTGGAATGAACAGTATTAAGGTCTCGCAATAAAGTAACTGTTTTCTCATGATGTATTTGTGCACCTCATAAAAGAAAAGAATCACATACTATTTTTCACACACTGCTTTCAGAGAAAGCAGACAGAATAGATAGATAGATAACTAAATACAGATATATAATCATTTGAGACACAGTAGCTACATTTGTACATCATGCTTAAGTTAAAACTTTGTTTAAACAAAACTGCTTTATTACCTATGGTTTAAAGTTGGCTTATTTCGAAACTGACCATGGTTAACATTAAATCACAATCCCCAGTTCTGACAAAAATACCAGCTAAATTTAAGGGAAACAGAAATCAAGTTTCTGAACTCCTCCAGGCAACATGGGAGGGGGAAAGGGAGAAGAAGTGTCTGTGGCTCACTGCGGCTTGTGCTCACTGCACTGAACCATGATTTAGCACAGGGGTAGCCAACATGGTGCCCTCTAGTTGTTGCCATTGATCATGTTGTCTGGGGTTGGCAACACATGCAGGAAACCATATTGGCCACCCCTTGTTTAGCATAAAATGCAAATACAACTATAGATACAATCCCATAAACTTAGCCAGTTTTATTATACACACAACAGGAGGAAAATAGAGACTTGTATATGGTCAACCAAATGAGTATGTAGTCAATGTGAGTGACCCTGAAGTCAGGGACTACCTGACTTATAGTCCATACTCTTAGCTGCTATACTATACCAGTACCTTGAAATGCTTTGCCGAAATACCATAGTGTGGAGATAGTAAGCTACATGTTCCATGCTCAGAAAGTTCATGGCTCAGAAGGTTGCTAGTTTCTTGTGCTTCACAGGAAGTAACCATAAAATCAAGAGGTAATGTGTGTTTTTCTCAAGACACTTTCATAAGCTTCCTGGCAAAGTTGAACTATGCAATGAATCATTTAGTGAGAGGAGCAGTTTTTGTTTTGTTTCTTAAAGACACCTATTTTTGCGCACAAAAATCATACAGTTCTTTTGATTTATGATGACAAGCTCTTATATTTCCACCAGCCAATATCTGCAAGTGCACAGCCTTAAGGACACCTCAAGTAAATAATCATCCAACTAGATCCTAGGGCTCAGTTTAAACTAGACAGATCAAAACAAATGCATCTGTCATGTGTGCATGTTCATTAATTATGTGTAAAATACAGGGAATGCATTGGTCATGGTTTTCAGCATCCTGATTCACCATCCACCATCTATAAGAAGACACATTTACAGCCCTTGCTGCTGATAAGAGACAAAGTTTGGTAAATCTCTGAAACTTGCATGGAACTTCAGCAATCAGGATGCAGGTTGTCACTGCCTGCATGATTAGCAGAGCAGGAATAAAAATAATAATCATTATTAATTACCCATCCTTCACCAGCAGGTCCCAGGGTGGGTTACAACAATTAAAACACAATGTTAAAAGCAGCTTTAAAAAAAATTATAATTTTAGGTGGGTCTTAAAAATATACAACTCAGGTGTCAAAAGCCAGAGTAAAGAGGTGCATTCACCAAAAGCTAAATAATGAATGTGCCCAATACACCTCTGTGGGGAGCGAGTTCCACAACTTAGGGACTGTCAGAGAGAACGCCCTCTCCCGACACACTACTACCCCGAGCTTCTGTGAGCAATGGAACAACCAAGAGGGCCCCACTGTTGATCTTAACCGATTCTGTAGGGAAGGAGGCAGTCTTTCAGGTATTTGGGGCTTGAGTCATATAGGGCTTGAATTGGGCCACAAAAGAAACCAGCAACTTGCGCAGCTTTTTAAAACAGTGGTCATGTGATATCTATATGGAATATAGTCAATAATTTGGCCACTGCATGTTGGACCAGTTAAAGTTTCTAAGATGTCTTCAAGGGCAGCCCCAAGTCACCAGAGTACAGTGGCCAAGTCAGCTTCAGTTTATTGGCTCACACCCAGTGTTTGAAATTAAGCCGGGCGCCAGGTGCATTTGCAACAGACTATCGGCCACTTGCAACCAAGTGAAAATGCCAGGGCGCCAGGATGGAGCCTGACATCACCACCCCCTAGAGCTGCATGCCGGGGAATCATTGAATCTTGACGGTTCTCACACACTAATACAACATCCTGAAGAATTCTATCCATTATATTTTATCTGCACAATCAGAATGAATTTTAGGAACCAAAATGCTTTTTCTGTGCAGCAGGAGCAGTGAATGGTGTTATACTTAATTGTTGTAGTTTGCCTTCACTTCCCTCACTCCACTGTCCTGCTCACAGTTTTGAAGGATATTCTTACATTATGAATGGTCCATGTCACCATTAAGAAAAAGAGGATGGAATAGGTGGATTGTCCCTGGATAAAATGACTTTTCTGCTTTAAGTTCTCAAAGTTCTTAAGCTTGTTCAAAGTTGCCACCTGAAGTAGCCAAGTGTTTAACTGAAAATCAACCGCAGTCAGTTCATCAATTGAAAAATAAAGACTTCAGAGCCATTTTGCCCCCAAATGGCAAATAGACATTCTGTTTTGGCAGCTATAACCTTGGTTTAAGGAGCGATTTGGCCCCTAGCTTATACAATCATGGGGAAAAGTGCACCCTCTTTGAATTCTGCGGTTTTACATATGAGGACATAATAACAATTATCTGTTCATTAGCAAGTCTTAAAATTAGGTAAATACAACCTCAGATGAACATCGCATGACATATTACACTGTGTCATGATTTACAGCCAAAATGGAAAAGCCATGTGTGAAAAACTAAGTACACCCTTACTGTTTCCATAGAAATTAAGGGGCTAAGTAGCAAACAGGTGCTGCTAATCAAATGTCCTTACTTAATTGATCACCAGCAAGTGTAACCTCCTCTAGAAAAGTTGACGTTTTGGCAGTTTGCTGGTCTAAAGCAGTGTTCCCCAACCTTGGGCCTCCAGCTGTTTTTGGACTACAACTCCCATCATCCCTCGCTAGCAAGACCAGTGGTCAAGGATGATGGGAATTGTAGTCCAAAAACAGCTGGAGGCCCAAGGTTGGGGATCACTGGTCTAAAGCATTCAGGTATGTTTTAACACAATGCCAAGGAGGAAAGACATTAGCAATGCTCTTAGAGAAGCAATTGTTGCTGCCCATGTAATTGGGAAGGGTTATAAGGCCATCTCCAACCAATTTTAAGTCAGTCATCTTACAGTGAGAAAGATTGTTCAAAAGTGGAAAACATCCAAGACAGGTGCCAATCTTTCCAGGAGTGGAAGTCCCAGCAAATTCACCCCAAGGTCAGACCGTGCAATGCTCACATAAAGTTACTGCTGCTAAAGGTGGTTCTACAAGCTGCTGAATCATAAGGTGTACATAGTTTTTCACATATACCTTCTCCATTTTGGCTTTACTTCTGTTAAATGAATCATGACACAGTGTAATATGTCATGCATTGTTCATCTGAGGTTGCATTTACCTAATTTTAAGACCTGCTAAGGGACAGGTGATTGTTATTACGTCCTCATACATAAAACCACAGAATTAAAAGAGGGTGCACTTTCTTTTTTCCATGACTGTATATCTGAATTTCTAACACTGCTCAAATTCAGTCCATCACCACCTCCAACCACTGATCTAACACCTCAACCATCTCTTCTGATTCAGATGGAACAGAGAAACAGAGCTGGGTGTTGTCTGCATATTGCTAGCACTTCACTCCAAATTAGATGACAGCTCAGAGGCCGCACAGAGATATGAAACAGAATGGCAGAAGAAGATGGAACCATGCAGGACACCACAGGACAACTCCCATGGGCCTGAAAAGCAGCCTTCCCTAACTGCTTTCTGGAAATGGCCCTGGAATAGGAGCAAAACCACTAAAGCACAGTGCCCCAACCCCAACTGAGGCGCTCCAGAAGTTTAAAAATCATGCAAAAACAGCCATATAAATGCAGCAGATTATCAAAAATTATACAGGTTGCAGAATTATACTTTTTTCTGGTACACATAGGTTACCATAAAGGTTTTATTTTTTTAAATCACAAAATACACCACTGGCATTTCCCCATTAACAAATGTAGTTAACACTTTCCCAAAAAGAACCACAAGCCAATTTACTGCAGGTCTGCAATTTTTTGTTCAACTGACATTTATTTCAAAATATATCAAAACCCGCTGTTTTGTAATAACAGACAAATAAAAATTTGTCTCCTGCACTTCAAAATCCTCATTCTAACAGCCCTGCAAAGCATTCACAATTCAAACAGCTCTCAAAGTTAAAATCACAACTACACCTTTACAAAAAGAACGACTCAGTTGCAACATACATGAAACTTTCCGAGTTTCTGTTACACAGAATTTCCACAGCTATACAGCGAAACAAAGACTCTCTTCTGATCAAGTAAAATATGCCACATGATAGTGGTAGAGAAGTTTGAGCATTGAAAAACTGGACCTTACTTTTGCTTCTGAAGCTCCTTGATTATCATAGGCACACACTTGAGCTAATATTCTTTACTTAACAAAATATTAAGAACAGAAGTTGTCAGAGCTAGTCTACTGTGTTAACTACAAGTTTTAAGTTTATTACTTCCTCATTCTTTATATATACACACACATCCCACAATTATAGCAACGCCTGTCTCGGTGACACAGTGTTGTCAGAAATCCATGCCTTGAAAGACACAGCTGCATTAGCCTAAGAACAGCAATCTTAGAATCATAAAATCTTCTGCTTTAAAAAGAAAATTACAAGAATCGTGGAATCATAGAATTCTGGAGTTGGGAGAAAAAGATGGAGCCGGGTTAGGTGGAACCCATAATTCATAAGGGTTAGCACCTTGCCTTCCAGCAGCTTTGCTCCACATGTCTTCACATAACTCAGTGCATGACAGGCTTCAGCTAACAGATAAAAGTGAACTAAAGTGAACTAAGGTGGAATAGATGACCCTTTTTCAGTAGAGCTTGCATCAGGGCTATCCCCAGTAAAGTGTGTCCCATGTTACTCCTCAAGAGTTTCAGAAATTATGTTCTTTTAGATACAAACTACCACTGCAACAGTGATAGCACAACAGGGCTAAGTCATGCACCAGTTGTAATCTTATAATCCCTAATTTTTTCCTGGATGTCAGTTTATACTTGCTGTTTGATTCTTCTTTCTCAAGTACAGTGGTACCTCGGGTTACATACACTTCAGGTTACATACGCTTCAGGTTACAGACTCCGCTAACCCAGAAATAGTGCTTCAGGTTAAGAACTTTGCTTCAGGATGAGAACATAAATTGTGCTCCGGCGGTGAGGCAGCAGCAGGAGGCCCCATTAGCTAAAGTGGTGCTTCAGGTTAAGAACAGTTTCAGGTTAAGTACGGACCTCCAGAATGAATTAAGTACTTAACCCGAGGTACCACTGTACAGCATTTGTCCTTGCTGCATTTGTCACGTTCTGTTCTTAGGAACTGCTAGCAATTTTCCTTCCTGGCCAGTACACCTCTTTCCACCCTTCTGCTCAAGCTTCACAGGCAAAATCAGAGGGCAAGGGCTGAGCACTCCGCACTCCCAGATCACCCACAGGGTGAGAGATAGTTCTTGGTTCCCAAGCCCTATTTTCGAGTGCCCTGACAGACACACAACGGTTTCAACTAATAAACATGAAACTACTAAACATTTCCACTAATAAACATGACGGAAAAGATATCCTGGTCAGCAAACATAAGCAGAATTGGGTCCCTCAAGTGGCAGATAAAAAAGCGAACCAAAAAACCCCACCAGTCCCTAACGGGGGTTCCGATATTCACAGGTACTCTATCTTTTTCAGGTTCAGCCACCTACTGCTTGCCTACCCATATTTTGAACCTTCTTCATAATTGTTTCTTCTTGTCCACAAAGCCAGACCTTTTCTACAGTGGTTACAGTCCTTCTCTATCAATTTAGTTACTTGAGTAAAGGAGCAAACTATGTTGGTGTGGTATGGGTTTCACAACACTGAATTACCTGAATGTTAGGTCCTAAAGCAATACAACATGGTAATCTGGGAAGCCCTGAGATTAGAGAGGAGCTTTCTTAGGCAAGGAGAAAAAGCACTGACAAAGGGAGAAAAGGGTTTCCAATAATAAATTCTAGCCATCAAGCCTGATGTTTGGGGGTGCCTATCCCCAGGAGTCACCATAGGGCATATGCACATAATATCCCTGATGTAAGGATATAATCTCTCTTTTCTTCTGGTGCAATAAAATTTTTCTATGGATTTGCAGCTGGGGCAACTAGCAGTTATTACAATTTATATAATGCACCCTAAAAGGTTAACAATTCAAGTGCTTACTGTATTTCCCAAAATGCCTACTTGCAACATCTTTCCATCTAAGGAAGCAACACTAGGAATAGAACCAGTGCAATTCACTACCTAATCACCATTTTAAAATAACAGCTGCTACGATACTGAACATACATGGCAAAAGGTGAGTAAACAAAAAAACCCTTTATCAGGTAATCTTTGGGTTGGGACCAATATGGACATATTCTCAGATAAAGCCCCTAACACAATGTCCTAACATAATTTATGTCCTAACATAAAATTCCTTTTCCACCGTTTTAAAGAAGGCAATGCAATTCAAGACATATTTACAACAATATTCAGTGATAAAATGCCAATGTGTTGCATCCTACATATTCCATTTCTATCTAATTCTGATATCACTTATTTTTATAAAAGTCCGTAGTCAAACATTATTACAAGTTCTGAAGAGTATGCAAAACACAGCCTCCATAAACTACATAAACTAGCCTTCCCCTAATAAATGTATAGTTCTGAAGAACCAGAATATTAAAGACACAGTGAAATGAGTTCTCCTGCACAGATCCTGTTTTATTGAAAAAGGGAATATGTCTCCCTTTAGGGAACACCTCACATGCTCCACAGTGGCTGATTAGAGTCCTTGATATTCCACAACTTGACAGTCATTTTCTTCCAACACCCAATAATCCATCTCCCTGAGTCAGCATAAGGGCAATATGATAATCATCTTGTCATGATCTTCAGAATGCCAGATTCTGCCCTTCCTCAAGTTCATTATTAGTGGTGATGTTGATCCAGTAATAAAAAGGTAGGTTACAGGATTGCTTGGAAATTTGAAGGTGGTGTTTTTTCAGGCAGGCAAAGTACTGGATTTTCTCTCAGGCTAGTGCTTCCCCCCTTTCCCTTCTTTCTTCATTTCTAAGCCTGTCACAGGAAAGGGGAGAGATGTCTCTAACGGCATTTGCAGGAAATGGAGGATACAGACTTTCTGTCATACTTCCTTGGCATGATCTTTTTCAGGGCATTTCTTACATCCGAGACAGTAATAGAGACATGGCGCTTCTTTTTCCTCAAGCGCTCAGCAGCCAAGGACACCTTCTTGTAGAGGTCATGCACACAGAAATGAAGGATGTTCTGGGCCTCATTGGTCATTCGAACACTGTCAAGCCGCAGTTTCTGTGCTTTCTTGGAGGGCCTTCTGTCAGGGAGCTTCTTTCCATGGCCATGCTTTGCACGCCTCCCAGGTATCTTTCCCCCTCTGGGCCTTCTCTGCCTATACTGTGTCCTGTACCGTGGCCTTCGATGCACCTGGCTTTTTTTCCTGGTTCTCCGGGTGGTAGCAGCCATTGTTTGACTTTAAGTTCACACAGCCAAACTCCCTGCCTGCCTGAAAATGCTCATACCCTGTCCCCTGAAATAATCTTATATAGGTCTGGCTATTCAAATAAGCAACCAAGTGCAAGCCCAGTGATTGGCTGACAAGAACAAAGCCCAACTTAAGCGCCTCATAATGACTTAACTGTGATCCATTCATCCTGTACTGAAATGGGAGCTAGTAACAGCTCTACTAACCATGTTGTGGCAGGATACTAGCACAACTTGTTGTCATTTGAACTTTCTTAGAATGAAGAAGCCTGTTTATATATACCACTAAGATGTCTTCTTACTATAACCTCTTTGGATATATTATATTAAAGATGACTAATATTCTCTCAGCCATTCCCTTACCCCATTCCAAAAGCTAATATGACTTTGTAAGTCCTATGGCTGTTCTGTAGACAATGCAGAGCATTTTTGAAAAAGACAGATAAGAAATTCTGGACAGAGAACATGTCACATTTCTACTTCTGCCCTGGAAAAGCGAGCAAACACTTACAATGAGGTTCACAGAAGAATCTCACTAGAATGGTCACTGTGCATGGGCCAGAATTTCATGAGAAGTGAACAGTGGTAAATCTGGACCTGGAAAACTTGGGTTTGAATCTCCAGCTTGGCCATGAACCTCACTTAAACCCAGTCACAGTATCCATGTAATGTATCTCAAAACATTGTTGCAAGGATAAATCATGTACGCCACCCATAGCTCTGTAGAAGGGTAGAATGAAGGCAATACAGTAGAACCTCAGGTTGCGAATGTGATTCATGCGGGAGGCACATTCGCAACCCGTAGCACCGCGTCTGCGTACACGCGTGACGTGATTTGGTGCTTCTGCGCATGCGCCGAAACCCGGAAATAACCCATTTCGGTACTTATGGGTTTTGGCGCGTCCGTAACCTGAAAAGGCGTAACCCGAAGCGTCTGTAACCCGAGGTACCACTGTATAATAATAAACCAACTATTTTACCTGAGGAACTAGCTCATGTCTATGAAGAGCCCTTATTACAACACCATGAATGTGGGCTATCCTTTTTGTAGTGTCTTATCAAAGTTACAAGTCTATATTCAGAGTGGGTACATAGTCATTGCCACTCTCCTGCTCCCCACAAAGTCTGGTGAATCTAGATCTGACCTCAGTCTATATTCTGGATTTCAGGCCCAGGGGTTCCACTAGTGATTACTTCCTTATATCACTCCTTGCGATGTGCCATTTTTGGTTCTTTTCTCTACAAGCAAAATAGAAAAAAAACTGAAGTAGAAAACCATTCCCCAATGTTGAAGAAAAGGGCTATTGGAAAAAAAGGTATGGATTCGTATGGGAAATATTTTGTTACCTTCAACCAGAACAGCTTGTGACAGGGCTTTTCATTCAACTACTTTCAAATCAGGCCAATTCCAGCTGCTTGTGTCATGCTATCTATTAGAGTGTAGGACACACAAGGTGAATATATAAAAAAATCAGTTCACTTTCAGTAGAAAAAAGAATCTCGCAACTCTTAAAAAGAGGTTGTCACAAATACCGTACTGCAAAGTACTTAATCCTGATGACATTATCAAAACCCATTGATTTGTGTTGATAAATTATACTGCATTCTAAAATTGCAATTCCCTCAAGTGTGAACACTGCTGGTCCAATGGGGGTTCTCCTGACTCTCTGGAGCAGATCTGATAAGGGTGTGAGGCAGGTAAGAAAGGGTGGAAGGTCCTGTTGCACTAGTGGGAATCATTATGCTTGTTTCCATCTCAATGATTTAGCTGAATATGTCCTTTACCAAGTTTACAATTGCAAGTATTTTTTATGCTTAGAACTTTTTAAGTATGCTGTCACTTGCACTGAACTCCTGGGATAAAGAAGGATATATATTTAATATAACAAAGGAGGAAAGCATGTTTGAGTGATAAGAACAGGCATCATCCCTAGCTAACAGGACCAGTGGTCAGGGATGATGGGAACTGTAGTCCCAAACATCTGGAGGGCTGGAGTTTGCCTATGCCTGGATAAGAACCTTGCAAGGGTAAAGAAAACATCATGGCTAATAAGATACTAAGAGAATAATGAATGTCTCAGCAAATGTGGAATCATAACATTATTTGACTGTTTTGGAAAAAAATTCAGAATGTATCAGAGAGACTAGGGTACACAACAGTCCAATTATGATTTCCCTGGTTAGACTATGGACAGCCATTATCAACATAGGTGGGCTCACCTATGTAAGGAATTCAATTAACATAAAAGATGGAAAATATGTGGTCCCAAAGTTGTTTGCAGAGTGACTCATTTCCCCCTTTGTTCCTGTCTAACTTTCCAGATGAAGACAAGAGCACCCTGGCCTATAGCACCAATTAGGTAATTAAGAACTTTATCCAAAAATGTTAGAAGTTAGGACATTGTAGGAAACTTAGAAATTCTTTCTTAAACTATGTAACTTGGATGAATTTGGGAAAAGGCCAAATATTTAGAAGGAAGTAGGAAGATTTGGCCTAGGATTTTCAATCAAATCACTTAGTTTGCTTTGCTATTCTTAATCCACATTGTTTTCTTAATGAGTATATCTAACAGAGTAGCCAATGGAACCCAATGAAATCAATAAATTTATATTAGTCACCTTTTAAACTACAACTCCTATCAGCCTCAGCCAACATCACCCGTGGTTAGAGATTATGGACATTTTAGTCCAAAATGTTTGGAGGACACCAGGTTGGAGAATACTGGTCTAAAATCTTAAGGCTACCCAAAATTCACAATGACAATACCACCATGGTGGTCTAGAGACAACAGGCTGCCATGCAGATGACAGTAAAAGTAAAGCATAAACTCTCAGGGGCCAGTTCTTATGATAAAACCATCACATATAATCCATTAAAATGAAAGGAAGCCATCAGTCAGACAACATCTTCATAACAGTCAAAGTGTGACAAAACATCTAGCAAGCTTTTGAGTTCTTCAGGATAGATGCTAAGCAAACAAAGAGTGGAGAGAAAAACAAGCTGTCTTGATGTTGAAGCCACAAAGGCTGCACCTTCAAGTGAGCTTGTTTGGTGAATAATGAAGAAATCAAAAACTAATTCATTATTTTGTGATATTTGGGTTGGCTCTAATAAAGACATAGCTCAACTGTGGATTTTGGAATGTAATCTACTGGAAACACATCCGCATGACAGCTACTTTGTCAGTTTTCCAGAAACATTAATCTCACAGAACAGCCCCCAAAGAACTGTGGCACTAATGCCACACAATCAGTAATAATCCTCACATCTGAGTTTTCTGCATTGCAGACTAGATGACCCTTGAGGGTCCCTTCCAACTCTACATTTCTGTGAACTATGATTCATATGCTGCCCTTAATTCATTTATTAATTTATATCCCAACTCTGGCCTTCTTACACATTTTTCAGGGCAGTAAAATTCTGAGTAAGACAATGTTTAAGAGCCAGCATAAACAACAAGCTGACAACAAAAACCTTAACAATTTTAAGCTTCCATTTCAGATTAATCACAGTTTACAATTACTTCTGAATGCTAAAACTGAATACAGTGGTACCTCAGGTTAAGAACTTAATTCGTTCTGGAGGTCCGTTCTTAACCTGAAACTATTCTTAACCTGAAGCACCACTTTAGCTAATGGGGCCTCCTCCTGCTGCTGCGCCTCCAGAACATGATTTCTGTTCTCATCCTGAAGCAAAGTTCTTAACCCGAGGTAATATTTCTGGGTTAGTGGCGTCTGTAACCTGAAGCATATGTAACCCGAGGTACCACTGTACTAGAATTACAGCTGAATACTAAAACTTAACTATGGTTTGCTTAAACAAACCTGATTTTGGAATTATGTTGTGAAGTTGGATTGTTCCATAAAGCAGTTAAGGTTAACCAGCAGTTTGCCTGCCCAGGTTTGGGCAACACAACAAGCTGCGGTTACTCAAAAACAGAAGGAAAAGTTTCCAAACTCTTCCTCATGGTCACACTGCAGGAGGAAGGAGGAGCACATGAGCCCAAGTCTAACCTAGGCATGCTCTTGTAATGCTAAAGGAGGGGTGAGGAATCACTTCCAGTCAGAAGGGCTGATCAAGAGGCAAACCCTACACAGGCCACTTTCAGCAACAGGATGGGACTGGAATGAATCAATCAATCACCTGTAATCATACCACATCAAACATGAGGAAGATCAGAATGATCTGCCCCAAATGGCCTGGTGGGTCAATTTCAGAGGCCTCATAGGAATAATGAGGTCTTTTCTCAGGCTGCTGCCAACAACTCCCGGCTGGTTGCCCAGGAACGTGCAAAGCCAAGGAAATGTTTCTTACCGTCCTATTTTTATTCAGTATCTACAGAGCGAGGCTATAGAACCCAGCCTTTTGGATAATGGTGTTGTCCCGAGTAAATCTCTACCTCCCTCTCTCCCACTTCCTCATTTGTCTCCTCCACGGGTGCTGCTACGTCCCCCTCTGTCTTTGAGCTCTTTGCTCTCCTACTTTCAGGCTTGCCGGGTTCTGGGAGAAGGGGGTCTGGAATGCTTTCTAAAGACACTGTGTCCGTCAGCTGCTTTCTCCTCCTTCTCTCCCATTATTTCTCAACTTTCCCCCTCATCTGCCTCTGAGCTGCGACCTCCCTCAAACCCCTGTTGTAAATCAAAACTGTCTTCCTCTTCCTCTTCCTCCTTCCTGGAAGGGTCAGGATGGGGAGGCAGCCTCCACCTTTCTTCCTCTGCCCAGGCCCTGACATCTGTGGCCTGGAAGTTCCCCACTATGATTTAGCATTGCATCTGAATTAGCCTGGGGAAATTTTTCAATTAAAAGTTACACTAAAAAAAAACCCAAACCAGTTCAAATCACATTGCTGTGGATTATAGAATGTCCAGATTTAGTTACATATTCCAATAGTGACTGCAGAACACAGTGGGTTTACAGAATAAACTTTTTCTAGTTCGCAAAAAAGTAAATCTCTGGTAGAAATGCTAATGTAGTTTATCACTTAACATCTGCATGTCAGATTACATTTCAGCTTGATTTTTTCCTTGTGTCAAATATTAAAAACTGATTCTCTTAAGAAATTAAAAAATAAAATCCAGACTATTGTGCAGTCATCTTAATTTTCTGAAGCCAGTACTTCTACACGCTTAGAAGTCAACTGGAGGTTCAACATTTTCATTTTTATCACAGCATTTTGCAGTCTTTTCTTTCAGCAGTCTGCCTCATTTCACAAGGAATACTAGTACCTGATACAGAACAAACGTAAGAGATAACTCAATTGTATCAGATCAGGAATCCACAAAAGAAGTTGCCAATGGTAATGACAAATTTTCTTTCTGGCCACCATTTGCTCCTAGAAGCCCACAGCAAAGTAATATATAATTCCCACAAATTCTCCACACAGCAGAAAAGGAGGGGTCTCTTACATCATGCTAGGTGCAAGAGAGACACTGTATCTCCCACCCAAAGTTTTAATGTCGTATACAAATAACTTGTGATGTGAGATTGACACCGCTCACAAGTTTGCATTTGTCTTTAAAAATAGAGAGAAGCAGGAATAACCTCTTTCACTTTTACTGGATGCCTCTAATCCCGGGCATGATAGGGAAGATTGATCCAGTTACTCCTCAGAAGACGAAGGCTGATGAAGGATTAATGTATATGTGGCTCACCACTTTCCTCTTTAAAATACTTGAAAAATGCTACATATTTTATTCTACACATTTTTAAACATCAACAAGGCTAATACAACAAAGATTCTCAGTTTAGAAGCCCAGTACAGATTTTCTCAATAAGTGTGTCTGGCACCTTCATCATACAGCTTTTGGGGAATGCTGAAGACACACCTAACTCTTGCTTTTGACACCTGAAATATATTTTTAGGACACATCTTATTTTTATGGCTGCAGATTGCTTTTAATATTGTGTTTTAATGCTGGAGTGTTAGAGTAAAGGGTGGGCAATAAATAAATAAATTTGTGAAGTTACCACCTTAACTATGACATTGAAAAACCAAGTAGTATATTAAAATGTGGTTATAATAAATGAAAGGGACGCGGGTGGCACTGTGGTCTAAACCACAGAGCCTAGGGCTTGCCAATCAGAAAGTTGGCGGTTCGAATCCCTGTGACGAGGTGAGCTCCCGTTGCCCGGTCCCTGCTCCTGCCAACCTAGCAGTTCGAAAGCATGTCAAGTGCAAGTAGATAAATAGGTACCGCTCTGGCGGGAAGGTAAACGGCGTTTCTGTGCGCTGCTCTGGTTTGCCAGAAGCGGCTTAGTCATGCTGGCCACATGATCCAGAAGCTGTCTGTGGACAAACGCTGGCTCCCTTGGCCTACAGAGCAAGATGAGCACGCAACCCCAGAGTCATCCACGACTGGACCTAACTTTTACCTTTACCTTTATAATAAATGAGGGCCAATATAAGATGAATTCAGCCTGCACTTTGTCTCTTGTACACTTGTAAAGGTAAAAGGCCCCTAGACAGTTAAGTCCAGTCAAAGGCAACTATGGGGTTGCGGCACTCATCTCGCTTTCAGGCCAAGGGAGCTGGCGTTTGTCCACAGACAGCTTTCCAGGTCATGCAGCCAGCATGACTAAACCGCTTCTGGTGCAACGGGACACCATGACGGAAACCAGAGCGCACAGAAGTGCCATTTACCTTCCCGCCACAGTGGTACCTCTTTATCTACTTGCACTGGTGTGCTTTCGAACTGCTACGTTGGCAGGAGCTGGGACAGGGCAATGGGAGTTCATTCCATTACGCAGATCCAATCTGCCAACCTTTCAAACAGCAAGTCCAAGAGGCTCAGTGGTGGTCTACACACTTATATCATTTGTTAATTTGGCTCTAAATGCAAACTCCCGGTGGAAAGGCGATTGCAAATTAGAAGGCTGCTCAGGCTGCTCAAGAGCACAGTCCTAAACATTTCTACTAAGAAGTCCCACTTCTTGTGGCTTCAAGTTACAACAAAGGAGATTCCAACTAAACATTCAGAAAAAAGATTCTGACCATAAGAGATGTTCGGCAGTGGAACAGACTCCCACAAGAGGTTGTGGACTCTCTTTCCTTGGAGCTTTTTAAGCAGAGGCTGGATGGCCATCTGACATGGATGCTTTAGCAGGGGGTTGGACTAGATGAGCCTTGAGTCCCTTCCAACTCTAAGATTCTATGATTCTATGAATAGGACTTATTCACATGAAAGTGCCTGAGGCTACAGTGCCATACAGTTACAGTGCCATACAGTCACATCAAACCTTTTATTGGCATCACATAAAAACATCCAAAACAAATCAATACAGAATTACCACTTACCCAGTGGCACAAAACATTTGCTAAAAGAAAGGAGGCAGAGCAGTCTATCGTCACATCTCTAAGTCTCCAGGGAGATAAGACGTCTGCAGTGTATTTCGACGACAAAAACCCGATTAGAGATATTTAGCCACTAACTTGGTGAGCTCCTGATCATTCCCCAGTAATAGAAAATGTATGAGTGAGGCTCAATTCTGAGTAGATATACACAAGATTGATCCATTTAACTCTACTTCAATTCAGCACTGATAAAGGATGCCAGTCTGAGAGCTAATCAGATGGTATGGAAGTTTCTGAATGCATTTTATCTTTTTTCCTGGAGTATTTTTTTTACAGTTGTAACTCCTTATTGTTTGAACAGGCTTTGCCTGGAAAAGCGGAATATAAATATTTAAAAGAAAATAGCCAACCTGATATACTGACAAGATAAAAAAAATCCAATAAAAAAATTAATGCAGGCATCGCTTCCACTTCTGTGTGACTGCACAGTGCTGGGAAAGAAAAAAATAAATTCAAATCAGGAAATGGCGGGAGAGAGTTAGTCCTCATGGCTTGTGAAGAGACCCTCTCTGGAGCCCAAAGAGGATGTCAACGAGGGCAGAGGAAGCCCCAAAGAGACTGGAGGTGCTGCAGGGCTTTGTTTAGACTGCTCAGCCTCCCCGCCTAACAGCTGATGTGCAAGGAAGCACAGCAGCAGCCACTTTTCTCAGTGTCCTCCAGTCTTCAGCCAGCCCCAGAGCTTAAACTCTAGTTGAACAAAGAGATGTGTGTAGAGAGAGGGCGAGAGAGAGCTGGAGAGCAGGAACCGCCCTGGGACCTGTGGGTATAGGGCAGCTGTACACACAATGCAATCTAAACTTAATTTGCTACGTAAAAGAACATAAAATGCATCAAATGCTCTTGTCGTTCAATCTTTATTGGTTACCCATTTAACCACAGTTTTAATTTAATGTGCTGGTTCTTACCTTTGAAACTGTTGGGACCTGAACATCTTAAGAACCACCATGACAACATTATCTAGCTTCGGTTCCCCCATCTAACTGAGGTGTGAGTGGTAAGTACAAGAGGCAGAGTTTTCCCAGTCTGTTCTCCAGTGACATGGGTGGCGCTGTGGTCTAAACCACTGAGCCTCTTGGGCCTGCTGATCAGAAGGCTGGCAGTTCAAATCTGCAAAACGAGGTGAGCTCCCATTGCTCTGTTCCAGCTTCTGCCAGCTTGAAAGCATACCAGTGCAAGTAGATAAATAGGTACCACTGTGGCAGAAAGGCAAATGGCATTTCCATGCATCTGGCACTTGGCACAGTGTTCCTTGCACCAGAAGCAGTTTGGTAATGCTGGCCATGTGACCCTGAAAGCTGTCTGTAGCTTTCAGATCCCAAGATGAAAGTTTCAAGTAGCTCTTAGAAATATGAAATAATAAATACATTTTTCAGATTTTTTAAAAAATCATATTTTAGTCATTTTTAAATTTTAAATTTTGTAACTTAACTTTAACATTTAAAGTAAGTCCATCATGTGACATATCATATTAAAGCCTATGAAGTTGTGAAGAGATTGGTATTTTTAGTTTTGAAATGTCTGAATTCTGGGCTCGGCTTTTAAGGATTTTGGCAAGGCAAAAATTGTCATTTTTTAAAAAGTTCAAATGAAAACAGGATGAAAGAAAAATTTTAAAATTTAGATTTAAACTTAGTTTTGATCCTTCAACAAATATACAAAATTTTAAGAAAACTGGATATGAGGTATGTACGCAGCTGTTGAGGATGGGCTGTTTCCCCCCCTTGTTTTGTAGGTTTATAATCCCCGTTTTACATTTTCTATCCCACCTATTTTTCTGAGGAGACTGTAATGAATGTACAAGTCACAATAGAAAATGTCCTATCTGCAGTTGACACCAATGTACCTTCTGAGGTTTAAAGATCTAAGAATGTGAGGAGGAACATATGCAAAGAGAAAGTTCCTAAACTACCCCAATATATTAAGGGCTTTCAGGGCAAGATCAGTAAAAATCACAGAGAACCAATGTGATAGAATCAAAGCTCCCATCAACATTCTGCTCCAACAGAAGTTTCCAAATGCTTTTTAATGGCAGACTCAACGTACAGCTTGTTATAGTGATCTAATCTAGAAGTCAATACAGAATAAATGACTGCAGCAAGGTCCACCTTTTATCAGGAAGGGTTGTAGTAGGTGTACCAGCTGAAGCAGGAAAAAGGCATCCTTTGCCACACATACATCAAACAGGAGCACTGCTTCAAGGAGCATCCCCAAGCTACCCACCTGCTCTTTCAGGAGAGTGCAGCCTCATTCAAAATTTGATGTAAACCCAACAGTCCCATCTACCAACAGTACTTCTGTTGTATCAGGCCAATGCCCATCTAGTCCAGCATTCTGTTCTTACACTGGCCAACAAGATACCTGTGGGAACCCCAAAGGCAGGACCTGAGCACAAAAGTACTCTCCTCACCTGTCATTCCCAGCAACTGGTACTCAGAAGCCCTGTTGGCTTCTGCCAGCCATGACAAAAGATGGGGGTGAAAGGTTTCTTTCTTTTCTGCTGTAGTAGCTCCAGACAGAGGCTCCTTAGGGATCTGTGGGGCTTTGGATCCAGTAAATTCAAAGCCTCTGGTGCCCTGCCCCAAAACAATCCATTTCACTGGCTACTGTGAAATATGGCAGTCTTATCACATCACCCACCAGTGGCATTCTTCTCCATCAGCAGACAATTACACATCATTCTAACTCCCAACACCAGTCACCAGCATCCAGGAGACTAGGACTGTAACCTAATGAGATTTTAATTTCTCCAGTTTGAAAAAAGTGGGGAGTTGAAAACTGAAGATGATCACCATTGTGATAAGCAAAGGACATTTATACCATGAGTTTAGAAACCACCATGTAGAGGAGACGTGACCATTATCATACATAAACAACAAAATATCATTTTTAGATTGTAAGCGTGTTTAGTAAATGAACATTACTACTTCACAATGAAGACATGGCAACAAATTTGGATAATTTATCATTGTAAAATATAGCAAGAATGGGCAACTAGATTTGTGGGTTATGTTTTAATTTTTTTTGGAAACCAAAGGTGCACCAACCAAAGCCAGGCACATATGCAAGATGATGGCTTGGGAAAGGAGTAAATTACCTATTGGTATAATCTAACTAGAGGGACGCGGGTGGCGCTGTGGGTAAGACCTCAGCGCCTAGGACTTGCCAATCGCATGGTCGGCGGTTCGAATCCCCGCGGCGGGGTGAGCTCCCGTCATTCGGTCCCAGCTCCTGCCCACCTAGCAGTTCAAAAGCACCCTTAAGTGCAAGTAGATAAATAGGTACCGCTTTATAGCGGGAAGGTAAACGGCGTTCCGTGTGCTGCTCTGGTGCCGGTTCGCCAGAGCAGCTTCGTCACGCTGGCCACGTGACCTGGAAGTGTCTGCGGACAGCGCTGGCTCCCGGCCTCTAGAGTGAGATGAGCGCACAACCCTAGAGTCTGTCAAGACTGGCCCGTACGGGCAGGGGTACCTTTACCTTTATAATCTAACTATATATCTAGTTATCACACATCAGGGTCTCTTAACAGCTAAATTCAGGGGAACTGTCTTTGTTCCAACAAACGGAAGTCACAAAACAGTTCCAATCTACCAAATTTCCAATCTACCTCTTGCCCACCCCTGCTAATACTGCAATTTATGCACACTCAATTGACAACAGGTCCTACTGAATTCAGTGGGACTTGATTCTGAGTAAACATGTATAAGAGCATGTTGCAAGCATCACAGTAATTTGTCCATGAGCCAGGACAAAATTATTGCCAAATATGACAGTAGTGAATGTTATTTCTGGCATGATCAAAGAACAGAAATGAGTAGAGCTGCAGCAATCATACTGTTTTGCATGTAATCACAATTTATATAAGTATTACCTTTACCTAAGCTCTGCAATACAGCAGAATGAAAGAACCTACTTAAGGCAACACCAGCACTAACAAAAGACCCAGAGAGTATTCTGTATGGTGACCAACACTTCTAGTACAGTATCTCCTACAAGAAAGGATTTCATCACATCCAATCAAAAGCTTCCTTTGGGTACAAGACACACACAGCCTTAAGGGTTGACATTAAAAAAGGTAAAGGACCCCTGACAGTTAAGTCCAATCATGAACGACTCTGGGGTTGCAGCGCTCATCTTGCTTTACTGGCCGAGGGAGCCGACATTTGTCCACAGACAGTTTTTCCGGGTCATGTGGCCAGCATGACTAAGCCGCTTCTGGCAAAACCAGAGCAGCGCACAGAAACGCTGTTTACCTTCCCGCCAGAACGCTACCTATTTATCTACTTGCGCTTTGACGTGCTTTCGAACCACTATGTTGGCAGGAGCTGGTACCGAACAACGGGAGCTCACCCGAACCGCCGACCTTCCAATCGGCAAGCCCAAGGCTCAGTGGTTTAGACCACAGTGCCACCCACATCCCTACAAGGGACATTATCTGCTAGTAAAAAGAACCAAAAAAAAACCCCGTGGACCAGAAATGCAGCAGGCACCAGAAGAGGAATGGAGCACTTATCTGCCTCTTCTATTAGCCCAATTGATTTATATGCTATATGTGCAAAAGTGGGCTTTGTGTGTTGTGCCTTTAGCATAGAAATGTGGTGGGCTGGTAGCAAAGCCAATGATCGCCTTGTCCTTTTGCCACCAGCACCCCCTTTCTATACAGTGGTGCCCCGCAAGACGAATGCCTCGCAAGACGAAAAACCCGCTAGACGAAAGGGTTTTCCGTTTTTCGATGCGCTTCGCAAGACGAATTTCCTTATGGGCTTGCTTCGCAAGACGAAAACGTCTTGCAAGTCTTGCGATTTTTTTCGCTCCCCCCCCCTTTTCTAAGCCGCTAAGCCGCTAATAGCCTTTTAGCCGCTAAGCCGCTAAGCCTTTAATAGCCGCTAAACCGCTAATAGCGCTAATCCGCTAATAGGGTTGCTTCGCAAGACGAAAAAAACCGCTAGATGAAGAGACTCGCGGAACGGATTATTTTCGTCTTGCGAGGCACCACTGTACTTTCTATACCTGCAGGGAGGAGCTTTGCTTTCTGCAGATCCTGCAGGAAAATGCAGAAGTCTGGCAGAGGAGGACTGATCACAGCATCCTCCTCTGCCAGCTTGTTTGGTTTCTGGGCTGGTCAAGCGTGGAAGGGATTTCACTCCCTACAGCCAGCACAGAACCTGAGCAGGTGGAGGAAGTAGAGAGCAACTTATCTGTCCTTATTCCACCAGGACATAATGTTTTCATACTTGCTAAATATGATGGGGGTTCAATACCAAGTAATGATGGAAGCTGAGCTAGCAGAGAAAAGGCAGATTGACCTGTCCCTCAGGCCCTGTCATTCTGTTTACTCACTTGAATGCATTTTTACATATCATTTTAGAATATAATCCTGGGTACAGGGACTATATTGATCCTGATCTTTGTAAGCCATTCTAGAAGGCTTTTCAGCTAAAGAATGGAGTAAAAAATTCCTTAAATAATGAATTCTATGTGATCTTCATCACATGTGGCGAACAGGTAAGTAAATACAAATTCCTGTTAATTTTCATGAACACAATTCACAGTGTTCTCTCATAACCAAAACACTATCTGATAGAAGTCAAAATAAATAACTAAATCACAATTTATTCTACCAAAATAATACAGTGTGACAGTTGTGTTTATGAAGAGATGGGTGAGGAATAAAGTAAACAGCCTTCATTTTGTGCAATGAAATTTTACACGGCTTCTTGGTGAACTGTTTGCAGATGTCACTTCCTGCTCAATATCAACTCTCTCCCTGAACACAAAGGTTTGCTTGCTTGCTTCAGGTAGCCAAACCAGATCCTTCATTTCCTGGGAAGCAGACTTTTGTCCAATCCTCTGAAACCATGACACTGAAAGTTACATACATGATAAATATACAGAAGGTAGGGGTACTTGTACGCCTCGAGAATTTTTAGAATTACACTTTGTTCTGTGTTTTTAACGTTTCTTTCCTCCCTGGAGTACAGCGACCACTGCCAGGGATAATGTTCAAAAGATCATGGGGAGGTCAATGTCAGAACCCAATGAGCTTCAGAGACTGAACACAGAAGCTACATTTAGGGAACAGAAGCACAGAATAAAAGCATGTGTGATCTTTTCACAGGTGGGACAGCGCTCTCCCCTAGAAGTATGGACGTGTGCAATGTGATCCGATCTATGTGTGTGTTTACTTTAGAGTGCGACCCCCACACGCTTACTCGGGAGTAAGTCCCACTGAACTCAATGGGAGCGCTTCTGAGTAGACATGCATAAGGCTGAGCTGTCAGAGATAATTCCCACGGAGGGTCAGTGAGGATCACACCTGGCAAGGGCTTCCAGCCACCCCCGCGCACCATTCCCTAGCCAAGAATACTATACCGCGTACCCCCCCCCAGACCCCCGGCATGAGTTGAGACCGCGTGTAACCCCCGGCCCCCAGAATATTTCCCGGCCTCTTCCGAAGCCGCGGGGGCGGGGATGGCAGAAAGCGAGCCCGGCAGAAGCCTGAGGCCTACCGAGGCTTCGGCGAAGTGGAGGGGAAATGGTGGAAGAGGCCGCTGGGGCGCCTCGCACGGAGACCCCGGCCGCAATGCCGGGCCCGCCGGCCGGCCGGCCAGGTAGAGGCGCCGCCCGCCCGAAGGAAAAGAGAGGAGCAGGCCGCAGCCTCCGCCCTATTGTTCCCCGCCACCCGCCCACCGGGGAGACTCCGCTTACCTCACGGCGGTGGCGGCGGCGGCGGCGGCGGCAGCTCCTCTCAGCTGCGGGCCACGGACGGGGCCGTCGCGCCCTCCTCCTCCTTGTCCACCAGCAGCAGCAGGAGCCGGCCGGCCGCGGCCTTCCCTTCCGCCCTCCGGCCCTCTGCTGCTGCCACGGCCGCCTCTGCAGCAGGGGCCATCTTGGGCGCCTCTCCGCTCGCCTCAGCAGCAAAGCCCTGCCTCGCCTCCAGGGCCGCCGCTAATGCATCGCTCGCCCGGCAGCAGCCGCCCGCCCCTTCCTGCTCGGCGGCAGAGGAGGGGCGGAGCGGGCCCGCCAGGCGCCGCCGCCTCGCCCTCCATTTATAGGGGGAGGGGGTGGAGATATAGAGGGGGGTGGATATATATGCACACACACATATATAATCTGTGAGGGGCGAAGCAGAGGAAACCTTGCTTTACCAGGTGTGGGAGAAGTATTGTTCCGAAATCCCAAGAGCCACAACGGCATGCCGCTGAAGAGTTGCTATGAAATGCTCTTTATTTTAGAAAATCCCCTTCTACGTAGAGATTAACTTTCAGGGCTTTACTTTCAGGCTGCAGTACAGTGCATACTTTCCTGCCTTGTGAAACCCGGTCAACATGCATGAGCTTGGACTGCAATTCACGTCAGAGTGTGTAGCTACGCTTTTTTATTGTACTCGTGGCTACTGCTGGTAAGTCACCCCGAGTGCAGGATCCAGTAGAAAGGCAGCTTAAAAATAACAGTCGTTACTGTAGGAAAAGACTCAAGGCTCCCGTGGCAAAGATTGATTACATGTGGTGATTCAGGTGCAGAGCCATACTGAACTTACTATCATGAACAACAAAGAGTCATGTAGCGCTTTAATAACTAGGATGAACATTGCCAGCTAGCCCATGTGTCGCTCTATACCAGGCATAGCCAAAAGGATAAAGCAACTGCTCTTTATTGAAATGGCTTCTAGCATCCCCAGTCTTGAACCATGGCACAAGGATCCATGCATTTCTTCTGTCTGAAAGATGGCTTCCCAGCCTGAAATGATATTAAAATGTCAACTAACAGCAATTCTGATTCGTTGCATTTCCTTCTTGAGTACCTTGTGTAAAAGAGACGTACATGCTTTGTTTGACAGCTAGCTGCAGTTTCCAAAAGGAGAATAATAGAAACTTGAAAATCACTTCCCTGCTCTGTTTGCTTGCTTTGGAAGTACAGTATACATGAAGCATTAAAAGACAAGTCACAGAAGGTAAAATCATCTTAAAGCTATGAGACATCAACAGGCCTAAGAGAATAAAAAGGGCACCACTCTGGAGTCAGCATTCCACAGCTGGGTAGCCACCACTGAAAATGCCCTTCTACCTACCTGGCAGGGCCATTTGAGATGAGCTTTTGAAGGAGATCCCAGCAATTAGACAGGTACATGTGGAGAGAGATAGTCCATGAAGCACCCTGGTCACAACTGCAAAGGGCCTTTTCCAGGTCCAATTGAAGGTGTTTGATATTCCCTCGTTGGCTGTGAGCCAGGGGAGCTGCTTGATCACCAGAGTGGTGTGATTCATACAATCCAGTCTCAGCAGTCTGTTGGCTACTTTCTGAACCAACACAAATTTCCAGAACATTTTAAAAAGCAACAGTGCACATAATACTTTGCAATTGTCCACAGAGGAGGTTACCAAGGCATGAATTGCTGAAGCAAGGCTACTTTGACCAGGTAGTGCCATAGCTGGCAAAACTTCCTAAGTTGGGGAAAGGTACTCTGGGTTACAGAGGCGATATCTGCCCATTACAAAAATGGATGAATGAGCACACTCACCCTCACGTGATGAACTTGGTTCTTTTAGGGGAAATTACAGCCCTTTAGAACGGGATTAATACCTTTTACCTGGGTAGGCAAACTTCCCACTAGCAGTGCCTCTGTTCTGTCTGGGTTGAGGGCATGATCAGCCATTGCTGCGGGACCAAATTAATGCCTGAGAAAGCCAAGAGGACATACATGGGGACAGAGGGAGGAAAGAGAAAACTAAGAAGGCTATGAAGAAGGGCAGAAGAGGAAAGGAAAGCAAGAAAGGGAACTCAGAAAAAAAATACATTGAGGAGTGTAGAGGCAGGGGTTGGAAGGTAGCTTTCTTGTGCCAATGCTACAATGCTACAATGCTTTTTCCTAATTGCTTTGCAACTATCACCTAGTAAAGGATAGTGCTATGAGTCTGGGGTGTGTGCATCTTAAACTGGGTGCTAGACCCCTCTCATCCCTGGATCTAGCAAGTGTTAAAATAATAGCCAGGCTAGCCTTGGGGTGAGGTGTAAGGAGAACAAAGGAAGGGGCTCTGTGATAAATGGCAAATGGGTGGGGCCCCTGGAATCTTGCACCATTTGGAGATTGGGGTGGCATGCAACAGTATCAGTAATTAACACTCCTTCCCTTTTGTGGCAATGGTGACACCCAGGCTAAGGGTGGCAACCTAGGAAACAAAATATCAAAGGTTAAACACAAAAGCCTAGGTAAGAAACGGCATTGAAGGTGCAACATGTAATTGCCTGAGGAATCACCCTCCCTGGAAGCAAGTACTGTACTTACCTCTGAACCTGCATACATAGAGTCTAGTTAGATTACGTGCCATAAAGGAAAAGTTGGACTCATGAGAGAGGGTAACCCAGTGACTCGCTGGTAAGCCAGTAAGGGATATAACTTTAGAATGTTTCTATTGGACAAGATTGCAGGATGTCCCAACCCACTTGTAAAAGCAATGGGCAATACAGTGGAACCTCGGTTATCAAACGTAATCCATTCCGGAAGACTGTTCGACTTCTGAAACATTCGACAACAAAGGCGCAATGGGCAGTCGGCAAATTCTATTGAGAAAATTGAGAAATGCACCTTGGAAGCTGTTCAACTTTGGAGGCTCATTCACTTCCGGGTTTTTGGCGTTCAGGTTCTGAATCGTTCGGCTTCCGAGACGCTCAAAAACCGAGGTTCCACTGTACTGTGAAGAAAACTTAATATTTGCCACTGTCACCATCACTGCCACAGACCCACTAACAGTTTATTCACCTCATCACATACACACATGCCAAAAAAACTCCCAAGCATACAGCAGAACAAGCAATTACACACCTCTGCACAATATGTCCTGTAGTCGTAGGTCATGGTGAGTCATGGCCATAGGTGAGTCAGTGGCCTCTGTTCGGAATTAAGGAAGTCCACACACCCAGACCCAGAGCACATCCTGGATGTGCCTACAATGGAATTTACAATCAGTATGGGGGAATGGTAGTTCTGGGTGCTTTAGAAAAAATTTCACTGGGATTAGGATACAAGTTCTACTCAACAAACACAAATGTGGAAGACTGGTTTAAAGCCCACTCCCCGCTTTGTTTCCTAAGATGTGGCTATCAAAAGTCTAGCACAGGCATAGGCAAACTCGGCCCTCCAGATGTTTTCGGACTACAACTCCCATCATCCCTGACCACTGGTCCTGTTAGCTAGGGATGATGGGAGTTGTAGTCCCAAAACATCTGGAGGGCCGAGTTTGTCTATGCCTGGTCTAGCAGTTGTGCTGCCACAATGTGGGGAGGGAATAGGCTGGTAAATACAATAGTCAGTTAATGATATTTCAAGTCGTATCAATCCACTGATTGCAACCCTCTCTAACCAGCAATCTCCTTAGCATAGCTGGGGTAGTGGTCAATTATGACAATAGAGGAGGGGGACTTTGTGCATTGTATAGTGGCACCATTGAGGAAACCCATCCTTAGGAACCACACATCAGAACAAATCACCACCTCTGTTGCGAGGTCTTGACTGTGCTTTAATCACCATTGCCTTGGCCAACAGTGTTGTCTGGCTTGTTCCTTGTATTCACCTGCAATGCTTCTGGCTGCAACCTAGAAAGTAGAATCCCAAAGAGGATCCACATTGCATGTAATTGTACACTTTTTTCCTCTGTGTCCTGACTGTGCTGCAAGCATTGTCACAATTGTTTCTGCACTGCCAGATGGGGATAAGCATGTGTGTAATGTTCAGCACACCAGAATAATTGCTAGAGAAGCCAACTCTATATGGTCACATTCTATTAATTCTGTCCTGGATTTGCTAAGGTGCTGATTTAACATTAATAAATTGTCAGGCACATTTCAATATCATATTTTTTACTCTCATTTTACAGCCCAAATTTAGCCCTCAAATTTCAACAGCAAATTCCATATCTGAAATAGTAGTGTGCTATGTAATCTTCCACAACAAATTAAAACATACAATTTAATAATGTTACATCTTTGGATTTAATTTTTTTCCTGCAAAGATACCTGTCATTCCCCACATTACAATCTTAAAAACCCATCCCTACAACTTTAAGTTGTAACAAGGGCATTATTTCTACATTGGGTTGCATCCAGTGCTGCACAAATGGAAGTTTCACTTGCCCGGTGGTACTTCCACCTCCGGAGCAGATTTTGTAAGTGTGCATGGAGTTGTAGGCAGTGCTTTGTTCTAGGAGAAAAGGTGCCAGAACACCACCTCAGTCTCCAACCCAGATGCTGATGCCACCATCTTGAAACTGAAATCACATGACAAGATGCTCCACCCACCCACTAAGGCCGCTTCAGTCACCATTGTGCGCACCTTGCTGCTCTCCTGCCCTGCTCAGGCCACTTCAGCTGCCCTCGTGCATGTGCACCTTCCTGCTCACCACTCGCCCCACTCCCCCTGCTCAGGCTGCTTCAGCTGCCATCCTGCACACCTTGCTGATCAGGGGACTTCCTTTGCTGGGTGAGCAGAATTCTTAGACAAAGCAAGGCAAAAAAACGGTGCTGGAACTGTGCTCCAGCACGTTCTGGCAGAAAAAAAGCTCCGGTCGTAGGGAAGAGGTGGAGGGAAGTTCCATTGCATGAGTGACAGACTGCCGCATTAGTAGAATTGCAGCAATGGATACAACCATTGTGCTTAAAAATAAGAAAAACACAGCATGTGCAGAATTCAGAAGTAAAACCCTTGTTCGTCTTTAAAAGGCTTATAACTCATTCCCTTATTTTAATTTAAGCTTTAAAGTAATGAGTAAGTCTACCCCCTTGGCTAAGATTTATGTTATATTTTATATGCAGTTTTAGACCGGGTTAACGGTCTGGAAAAGGAATACAGTGGTACCTCTGGTTACGTACTTAATTAATTCCAGAGGTCTGTTCTTAACCTGAAACTGTTCTTAACCTGAAGCACCACTTTAGCTAATGGGGCCTCTTGCTGCTGCTGCGCCGCCGCTCCACGATTTCTGTTCTCATCCTGAAGCAAAG